GCTGTCAGACTCTCTCTCTCTCAGATCTCCTCAATAGCCACTCATCCATCAGAGCCTTCCGCTCCAGCAGCCATCACTCAATACGTCGGTGGTGCTGAGGACGGAGCGCTGCCGCACGCAACCAGCCGTCACCTTTTCCCGTTTAATTCACCTTCGCTGACTCACCGTTCCGCTCAGCTGCCGCGCTAAAATCCAGTCGACTTCTGGACAAATCGCAATTCGCACAAACCGCAGAACGCCTGCAGAACTGCTCTTTAGATGAATGCTCCTTCTTTGCTAAACAGCTTTACCACACGTGATGTATTATCTCCGTAGCGTTGCTGTTATTGTGAGGTTGCTCCATAGACCTTCCACGTGAGATTGAGCAACACTGTGTTCGCGACTCACTTCTGCAGCCTGCAAGTGGAAGTCAAGTCGTTTCAGTGTTACTGTGCAGCTTTCAGAAACCCGTTATCATCACATTTTCTCCCCAGGATTTTCTTTCGTCCCTCAACAGCCCCGCATGACGTATTTATGTTGTCATGGGTCTACATCTCACCCACCACTCTCTCTGTTATGCTACATTTAATAACCAGGTCGCTGGAAGCAGACGCGCTGAGGTGTCAGCAGCGCGCTCGCACAGTGAACTCCCAAAGTAAACCAGTAATGAGTGTGAGTTCACACTCAACAGCTTCCCCCCCCCCCACTGAGAGCAGATCCTGTGTGCTCATGACTGCCGGCCTCGCAGTGCAAACTAGTCGCATTCATACACTTTGTGCAGCATCTTCCCGACAGAGTAAACAAAAGCACTGAAAGTTAGACCACAGTTCAGGGCACAGATCGGTCCACCTCGCCTTTTATTTCCTCACCTCGCTTGCTCTTTATTTAAGAAGCAGTTTGATGCAAAGTGCTTTTTCTGTGCTTAAATCTTTCAGCTTTCTTTGTCTGGTTTCTTCAATAAACAACATTTACAATGTTATTTATGCGCAGGGAGAGAATTGAGAACAAGGTGAGTCGGCACTCTCTCAGATGGTAATGGCTGGGCTGTTGATTTTTTGAAAAACAAAGCTCTGAGGGAAGTGCCAGAGGTCGCTAATAAGGTCACATTAGTCAAATCTATGTGGGTAATTGCTAGAAAAATGTAAATATAATTCATTCAATATAACAAAATGGAAAAAGATGAAGTAAGTGGAGGGAGAGAGAAACATTAACATCATACAAGGTTATTTAATATCATCCACAACAGCTTTCCCTTTTTCTTTTTTATAACTCGCTGCCAAGCACTTCAGCACTTAGTTATAAAAGCAAATGTATTGACCTTGAAAATCCCAGCAAATAGTTACAATAACAATAAATTGTTCTGTTTTATGCTGAGAGGCGTTTTCTTGTAATCTGATCCGATATGCATTCAAGCTTTTAGCATTCTCTGATTAACATAAATTATATTGCATAGTCAAACCCTGCGCGGATGGCATAAATCATCTAATGTCGTGTCCCTGAGGTATTAGTCATGTTCGCAGTTTCACGGCCTTTCTTTTCTTGCTCAGTCACCCAATCTCCTCCCAGCGATACACACTGAAGTAATGAATTGCCTCAGTGTTCAGACATCAATTCCCATTGGTTCTTGCCTCCGTCCATCTTGTTAGTGAAGCAGCCTGTGTGTCTTTAGAAAATGCCACATTACTGATTTCAGGCTCGGGACGAAAAAGATTAAGATAATCTGACTACAACAAAACTGTCAATGATGCGTCCTGAGTTTAGAGCAACTTTTTCTTTTTTCTCTCCCCGGGAGGTTATTTGTTGTTATTGAGTGAAATTAAAGAAGGATCAAAATTCACATTGTCTAATACATCGGGGTACCGCCTGTCTCATGACTCGTAATGTGTGTGTGTGTGTGTGTGTGTGTGTGTGTGTGTGTGTGTGTGTGTGTGTGTGTGTGTGTGTGTGTGTGTGTGTGTGTGTGTGTGTTACGGTGGATAGTGTCTTTGCACGCGCGCACATTTGTCGGTTACATTGTGTGTTGGCGTTTGAGTTTGTGGGGGCCAGATGAACAGCGCTCTCTACACAGACTCACTGCTCATGTAATTGCTGCTGAAATGAAATGTTCTCTGGATATTTCTCTCAAGAATAGTCAGCCTAGAGGAGAGAAAATTGCAAAGATATCTGGAGTTGATTGCCTTTGATATATATATATATATATATATATATATATATATATATATATATATATATATATATATATATATATATATTTGCAGAAAGTCTCTCCTCCACCAAGCACAGAGGAGATGAGAAATGATGATCTGCTGCTGGTGCTGTTGTATGAATGTTTAATAGATGGAAGGATGAAAAAGAGACGAAGCTCTGTTCAACCTCTGCGGTTAGATATATATATATATATATATATTTTTTTTTTTTAAACAGTTTTAGAATATTATTTTCAGCTTGTCAAATGTTCAGCCTGTATCCCATCTGACTGCAGCTAACGTCCTCGTTTACAGAAAGTCTCGTGCTCTTTCTTCTATCGAGTGTCCATCTTGTGCAATCAAACCGTTAATACAGCCACGCATACTTTTGTGGTGCCACTAATATAGTTCAGGATATTTCAAATATAACTGCTATCATATTGTTTTAACTCAGCAGTTTTGAATAACCTTGAATCGTAGGTAAAAGGATCTGGTCTAATCTGCTGATTCAATCCCCTCTGGTGATGCGCTGCGTTAGTGCTCTTGGGCAAGGTCGCATCCTCCCAAATTGAATGGTTAAAAAAGATAGTCGATTAATACGGTAATTCTCAAGGGATGTAGTAACGTGCACAAAGTAAGGTCACACAGTGGAAAGATAGTTTACTGACAAATGGTCCACAGCGAGATGTTTTAGCTCGTATTGCAGCCGACGTGTGACTTTGGCGTCACTTCGATCCTCCCAATGAAACGCTGAGCTCATGACACTTGGAGGTGTGACACAATTAGACACAGGTGAAAATAAAGAGCCACACAAAAAGGAGTCTGTACACGACTCCTCCTGATACAAATTTCAATTAGTTTTGAAAGCATTCTTTAAATTACGTCTTCAAATGACCTCATTGAAATATCTGCGATAATGCAAATGATTTTTTGCACCAATTATGAAATAAGCAAACATATCTTACATGAAAAACCTTGAACCCCGTCTTTTCCCCAGGCTAATTTTATTACAAAAAGCGCTGTATGCACGTATTGAGTGCTAACTATCCCTGCCAACGCACACAGGTTCATTTTGTCTGCAACAAACGTGAGCCAGCATCAGAAACCACGATTCTACATGGATGCAGACCAATGGATGGATATCTTCTATAGTAGAACGCAATGTAAAACAACGTGACGATTCTCTCCGACGCCGTGTGTCCCAAACTCTTGACACAACTTCTGAATTGGAGGCCTGCACCTCCTGTAAAACAGCAAACCGCGGGACGCGAGGGCGCCGCCTCGCCTCGGCGGAGGGTGGACGGCTCCCCACAGCGCCACTATGGCGGAGCGCCGCTATTCGTTCTCACAGAGCGGGGGCCGCTCGGGAGCTCTGCGGGGAGCTGGGCCCTATGGCTGTGTAGATGTGGCGATGGAGGACTTTGTTTTACTCGATTCATGTCAGGGCGTTAGAACAGCACAGAGACCCCATTGCTTACTTTCCTGGTGACTGGCTCTTCATTTTACGCAGCGTTGGAGGTTTGTTTCAAGCTGTGAAGCAGTCCGTGAAGAGGTTCAGTTAAAGTGGCTTTTTTTTTTTCTCAGTTCTAACTGCTGTGAATATTACAGAGGAAAGAAATCCTCTTCACGGCTCTTTGTGCCCACTCACTTTTTTCACTGTTTACGGTCCGTACCCGTTGGCTGCACCGTGCTCCTGTCTGGAGTTTGAGGTTTCGCCGGGTTTGTTTTGTGCATTAGAAAATACCAGAGGGCCTCCGGAGTGAAGCGGTCGAGGGACTGAGGGGGTGGGAGCTCCGTAAAGTCAGTTGGACGTGGACGTGAGAGCCCTCGTCGTCCCTGCCGGAGAACCCCGGGACCGGCTGCCGCCGCTCCTCCTCGCTCCCTCTGCAGCACTCCTCAACCGAGGGAGTCCTTCTCATTCCAGCATCTGTGCCGCGATGAGCAACACCAGCTAACTAGGCCACTGCATAATAAGCAAGAATAGCAGCAATGAAGAAGTGAATACAAAAAGAAGAAAAAAAAGAGGAAAAAGAAGCGGTTCACGGGGGCGAACGCTTACCCAACATGTGACTGCTGACTAAAGTAATCCTCTGAGCAAATGTTGTCTTTATACCTTTATTGCAGATGCAGTCATTTATTATTGCTTACGTTCACCGATAGCTACTGCAGAGGTGCATCGGAGTTCACGTCTCATTTCGCGCTGAAGCCCCTGAGCTGTACTGTCATGTTACTGACGATGCACCTTGCTGACTTTTCGTTTGGTGTTTGTCTCAACTGCAGTCCGGGGATCACTCCTGGCGCTGCAACATTTCCGTAATACTCAGCATTTTAGCTCTTGATTCACTTTGCCAACAGCTCCATTGTTGTCTCCTACGACGGCGGCGGCGGCAAATGGGGGAATCTTTACTGCTCCTCTTTCATGCTTTACATGCTGGTTCTCACTTGTTTGTTTTTTTGCATTGTGCACGCTCTTGTTATTTTACAATATGTGTGGCTTTTATAGATTTCTTAGAATGACAATGTGAAACAATTTGACAATATCACAGGAGCAGCGAATTATCCCTTGAATGTGTCGCTCCCCTCGGCTTGTAGGGAGCTCAGTAACGGGTTTCAGCTCATTGTTTTTGGCCCCAGCAGGCAGCTTTTTACAGTAAGAAAAGCTCTAAAAAGTTACTGCACACCAGCTGCTCAGTGCCGAAGAGCAGACAGACACAGTTAGCAGCTGATAGCTGGGGAACATAGTGGAGGATTCAGCAGCTAAAGAGGCAGATATTTGTGGAAACGAGAGCCTGTAGGTCTAATCACACATAACTGATGCCTTCTTCCTCTCTCCAGCGTGGAGCACGACTTTCGTCTGCAGGAGGGGCAGGTGGTCCGCACGTGGAAGGTGGGAGACCCTCCCGAGGGCTCGCCACAGACGCCAACCCCCCAGCCCTCCACACCCCACCAACAAGACTCCCCTCAGCCGGTGCGGCCGCCTGCCGCCGCCGCCGCCGCCAGGAAGAACAGGAAGAAATGCTTCTGGTTCCTCTGAGTGCAGGCAGACTGGAGAGAAGGACGTTTTTTTCCATAAACTAACCCGGAAAACGACAAACTATGAAGACATGGAATGAGCCGGAGAATTGAAATAGATGAAATGCCAACGTGAAACTGTGGGAGGAGAACTGGGTACAGAGGTTGTGGCTGTGCGGCTGTGCAGGAGTCGATGAGAAGGGTTTGACTGGGGCGCACATGTTGTTTCTGCCCTTGAAATGCCTCTTCAGCACTTACAGGTTTAGTACCGGTGCAGGTGGAGTTCAGTCCACAATATGACTCACAGAAGCATTTAGGAGACCTAAAGAGAATATATAGTGTGTGGAACGGGGTAAGGGTCACCGTACAAGAGGCAATACAGCAGAAAGGATATTAATAACACATAAAATGAATAAAGTTTATAGACAAAGAGAGAAAAATACAGAGGATTCATCTTCATTAATGGACTAATGAGGGTCAGAACACCAGCTTTTATATCCAGATACATTTAAAAAGAATTATTATTATGACCTGTATTTAACACTTTTATTATACTGTAATTGACAACACACTACACAATCCACATGTACATACAGCACACACACAAGTGCATAGATAAACAAAAGAAGTGACATATTTACATAAAAGGCGTGTGTAAACGGAGACATCGAGTGAGTTGAGCTACTCTGCTGGGATGCTATATTTCAGATATGGATTACAGCTCTATAAAAGTATTTTACCACAGCCGGTTGTGTGTGTTTTCATTCTAGAGCTCAACACGCGTAAGCAGCATGAAGCACATTTTCTATTTCCCAGAAAATACCTTTATCTCCTGTCTGTTTGAGTGCCTGTCTCCTCTGCAGTAGAAAAAGATACCTCTGCAAAGGTAGTTCTCCAGCGTGCTACCTATCAAAATATCAGCTTCTTCCTTAATCATTATTGGCCGACTCTTTAGTCACCTTTGGAGCAGAGCGATAGGTAAGTTACTGCAATTTATATTCACATTGATTATACACTTCTAACGCCTGTCGGCCCCCAGATGGCGGCTCAGACGGCCCACTTCCGTGGACACTTCAGGGGACGTCTCTGGGAATTTAGCCTCAGCTGCGTGATGGCTGTGACGAGCCCAAAATATTACTGCTTAGTAATTCATGACACACATAAGCTGCTTCTACGGGGGCTCTGAGGTTGTGTGAGATCCTGACCTAATTTATTCCAAACTTCAGAGAGGTTTTAGCGCTCAGTTTGTTTGCTGGCTTGTTTGGCCTTGTGCAAACTCCTGCCAGCTTCCCCTTTGCCTCAAACAAAGCAGTCGGGAACAGACTCTGTTCTGTACTCGTTGTGGGGGAGGAGGGTGGGGGGGGCAGTTATTGGAGGCAATATGCATCCGTGTCAGGCCGCAGTCCACAGTTCTTTGTGTACTGGACTACTTACTGCCACTGCAGGAAACATGCATGTGGGCACGTGTGCACACACACAAACACACGCTTGCACTGAGGTGCAGAAGTTGAAAAGATTTCCTGAACACAACACATTTGGACACAAACCCCTGTCTCGCACACAGTCTCTCAACCTGCACGTCTCCACCTCACACACACACACGGCTGACATATTGTTCTCAGACCAACACAACGCATTATCTCCCCCGCAGTTGTTCTTCTCCCTCTCGCTTCCTCTCACAAGCAGGCACACGCTCCCTCCTCGTAGCTCCGTGTGTGCCGCGCCGCGCTGAGAGGAGTGTGGAGTTGTCAGTCATTAATCTGCTACAGCACAGCCTGTAATCCCGATGACAGAGCAGAGCGGGCTTACAGAGAGCAGAGAGGATCTGAGCCCAGCCTGGAGTGGGGAACAAAGGAGCCAGAGAAGACTGGCTTTGAATCCGTAAAGAGAAAAGAAGTGCGTGTGTGTGTGTGTGTGCGCGTGTGTGTGTGTGCAGGGAATCTGGGCTGAGGTAGGTAACTATTTTGTCAGCAGTGCTGCAGTGCTATTCAAGAATGCCGGCAGACACAAAAGGGGAGAAAAGCTTAACATGGAAAGCAACGCTGGCTGCCGGTGTGTCACGCTGACACACGAGGTTAAAATGGGCTCTGCTCATTACGGAGTGTGTCACACTGACACCCGAGGTAAACAGGCTCGGGTCATTACGGAGCCCCGCACTAAGAGAGAGACACACACACAGAATAGCATTATTTAGAGGTCTCTTCTAAGGAACATCAAGGGTCAAAGGTGGCTCACGCAATTCAGTGCAACAGCAGGCGAGGATCGCCTTAAAATGGAAGAGGAGAAAAACAACCACGTCTTCGGGCATCAACAGTCGTGCATAATGTGCATGTGAAAAACCACCACAAGAGCCTCGGCGTGCTGAGAGGAAGCCGCAAAGCTAATGCTGCATGAGTCATTGGGCTTAGGCTGCTGCGGAGATATTCTGTTTTCACTTTGCCACATTACATCTAAAGAGGTCATTTCACAGTCAGTCAGATGGAGGAGTCAGAGGTGCTGGAGACAAAACTTTGGTCCAGCCCAAAAATAACATCATTTGAAGGCCAACTCGGGGAATGATGCGACGTCAGCGGCGTCGTTTCTCAATGATGCCAATAAACAAGCCCCAAAGATGCAGTGATACTTGAAAGAATTGTGTTGTCTTTGAACTGCGATCGGCGCCTCATTAGTGACCGAAATAAAAGAAAAATATGGATCGAGTGTGGACCAGAGGATCCAAATTAAAAATACACCCACGTACACAATGCCTGGGCGGATCCTCTGGCTCGGCTCTCTGGATTTGCGAGGAATCGCACCCACAGTTTTCCGGTCATATCTGCATGTGTGTAGCGCTGCGGCACTGGGCGCGTGTGTCACTGGCTCACGGTAAATAATTAAATTAAAAAGTATTCATTTGAAGACGACCCGCCAAGTTTTCTGAGTCAACCGCAATAGCTGCAGATGGGTTTAATAAATGATGAGCTAAATTCTCTGCTGGCACTGATGCAAAAATGGGCGACGAAATGCAAACACACGGTGGCCAACGAGGACGCAGAAGCGCTGCAGACCGGCGACACCAAAAAAATTGAATTTGTCAATAAGTTGCGTACGTTTTTATTAGCTTTGGACATTCTTTGTCTTCACTGAAAACTTCAGAGTAGACACACAGCAAAGGTTTCACAGGGGGATGGACAGACTATTCCAAACCAGAGATGTTGGAGGAGGAACATCCACATAAGAGATGATCTGTGATTTGACTGCATCCTTGCTCCTTCGCTAGGATTCTCCAAACCGCATGTGGGCCAAACTGCACACGCACTCATCATCCACTTGGTTGTTGTTTTTTGGGCCTTGGCCCTTAATTTTACATAATTTGTCATTTAGCTGACGTGTTTATCCAAAGCAACTTACATTTCATCTTTAACCCATGGCTTTTTTTTACATGTCCAGGGAGCAGTTAGGTGTCTTGCTCAGGGACACATCAACATGGGACAGGGAACAGCCGGGGCTCGGACCACCAACCTTGCCGTTGCCAGCAGTCATGGTTAGGTGCACCCTCTCTACTCCATGTGCCACTTTGTTGATTGTGGTTAACTGTTGACACAGCAGGGGGCCAACACTCCTGCCAATCAAGTACATCAAAGAACTCTATATTAGTTGTGTGATGAAACAGAATCAAATTGAAAGCAACTTTCCATTTTTTTAGGGGGGAGGCTGTGAAGCCTGTAGTTCATGTTTCTGTTCTGTTACTCGGACCGGTTTTATCAACGTGGCCCCGTGTTTTTTCTTAATTCTCATTTCATCTTTTAGAGGCTGATTACAACACTTGGTGATGAGATGTAGAGTTTTATTTTAAGTCCAAATAATGTGTTCCCGACCCCACACGCACACACAAAAGACAAATAGAACTTTTGAATCCATGATAGAATTCAAAATGTGACACGATGTGTCATGCAGCCAAATAAATGTTGCAAACAATTAGAGTTTATAAAACAGGGAACATTCTGAAGAAAGAATACAGAGTTCACGCCTGCGCTGCCTGCAGGGCAGTCGATGAGCTCAGGAACGCGGTTGACAATTATTTCCAGGGGAATGTGTCACTGTTTGAGAAGAGTTTTCTGAACATCAAAGTCAGTCTCTCTGAAGACACGTTAGATAACTTCAAAGTGGAGGGACTGCGTCGCCGAGAGGTGTTTTTCCTTTGTTTTGTTCAGCTGTTTTCTTCTCCGTTGTGGAGCACACGATAAAGACTGTGGGTGCATATTGCATCATGAACCTGTTGTTTGTAATTTACGATTCAAGGACAGGGTGGACAACGTGAACGTGAATTAAGCACCAAAATTGGATTTTCTTACCGTCTTACTACACCCCCCTATTTCCAGCTAACGTTGTGTTGGCTGTAGCTTCACATTTAACTTACAAAAATAAGAGTCTAAAAAATGACTGTTCCTTTAACGAAAATAAAGGTTTCAGATTTTGTATTTGCGCCCATTTGCATTAACATTTCCCTTGAATTCTGGTTAAATATCTTAATAATTGTTTTGCATCTGGCAAGTCTGGCAAAAGACTATTTTCTATACCTTTATTTCCCAGAGCATCAAATCAGCAACAAGAAGCTGATGCCCTCAACTCTTAATTAGTAGGGGATCCTCCAACAAAATGCAGTACACACTGTGAGCTTCATCTACCTGCAACACACATAGCTTCTCTCCAGTGGCATAATTATATGACTAATGCTCTGGTATTAATTGGAATTACTGCCCTGGAAAAATGCAATTAGTAAAATAACTTATTTGTGCTGATGACTTGATTATTTCCACTAGGCTTGGTGTTACAGTTCCTCTTAAATAACAGGATTCAAATAAAAAGAAACCACCAGGACATGTTGCATCACACATTCTCGTAATAATCTGACTATAAACGCCAGCCATTTGCATTTCTCCATCAAATTAGCTGTGGCGTCTGAAAAGTGCAATAATAAACTAACATGGCACGAGAAGTTAGGATTGGATTATTGAAAACATTTATTTTAGTTCACTCCCTCCTCCGGTTTCTCCTCCCAACTGTTCATCGCTAGCGGATTTTTAAGAAATATGCCCTTTTTCTGTAGCAGATCTTGATTTTGCTGTTTTAATTTACGGACAATTCTCTCAAAAAGATGCTGGAACTGGTCATCAATCAAAGATAATTCAAGGAAGTGGTTAAGATAAAAGAAAATTTAGTTAATTTACTGTTTAAAGGTATACAACACAATAGTTACAGATTACTTGGTAAGTTTCTGTGCATTTTAAAGTTTTTTTCTTGGCATACCTTTATGGAAAGCATGATAACTAATTCACCTTGATTTAAAATATAATGGTTGATTTCAATGTATAAATAGAATAAATTAAGATTTGCATTGATGCGGTCAATCAAAAAACTGATTTTCTCAATTCACTAACTGCAATTTTGCACCCCTCAAGTTTCTAGTCTTTTTTTTATCTGCGTAGAATTGCATCATTAATATTTAAGAACATCTTGATGGTCTTCTCATACACCATGAAAGATTTTTTCCTCATTGCTTCAGATTGACCCAGTTAAAGCACTGGATTGTTAAATGCGGGGATATCACTTCACAATGCACAGGCTGCTCTGGTGCCAAGGGGAAAGGCATTTGGCCAACAAAAAAAGAGGAATACAAAAAGAAATCCTTCGCTTTAAGGGAGATATTATTTCTAAAAATTACCCCCCCCCCCCCCCCCACACACACACACACAATGGTAAACACATCCCCATGGATATGGATAAGGCTTTTTCAGTGAAAACACCCAAGCCATAGACAAACCAGTTTAGACAGAGACTACATCTGCATGGTAAAGCAAAGTGGTCACATTGAAAAAGCAAAGCACTCGCAGACGCTCTAATGCGGTTTTTCTCCTTTTCACAAAATGATGAGGGTTTATCAAGCAGGGATGTCACTGATGGAATAAATACATGAACGTGAAGGGTATTAGCTCAAATATTTCAATTTTGAGCACCTCCTGTGAAACAGAGCAGAACCTACATATTGATATGAGATGATACCGAGTTCATTACCATCAGTTCATTTGATCATTCCATGCGAATTTCATGCTTCAAACGGGGTGGATAACATCCTCTCTTCTCTTTTACTTGGATAAAACAGCCATTACAAGTCCTGATATCCAACGTAAAGAAGAATTGATTTAACTCATAGAAACACGTAACAAGGCTTTTGAACTAGTCGTAGTTTTTTGTGGAAGGGTCATCAGGAAATCAGGAAAATCAGGAAATCAGGAAACATGTATTGCCAAAATATGTCAAACGTACAAGGAATTTGTCTTGGCGGTTGGTGCGTGACAGTAGACAGTGTAACAATAGACAACAAGACAGCAGTGCACAAATAATCAAATAAAATGAAATGCTAATGCAATGGGTTAGTAGAATAGGAGAAAAACAGCTGTGTGTGTTTTTAGGGCTATCAACATAAACGCATTCATCTATGCGATTATTGTGGCTAAAATTAATGCAACAAAATATTTTAACATAGTTAACGTGCCTTAGTTTACTTCCGGTTTACTTCCGGAAGTAAACCGGAAGTTGACCGCGAAAAAGAAACGGCCGCCAGCTGCAGTCAGTCACATCAGAGAAAGCAAGACAGTAACTCAAGATGGAGATAGTTTTTTGCATTGGAAGTAAAACAAACAGAGGTGTGACATACAGCAAAGAACTGTGGAGAGGACCTCCTCCACGTGTCAAACAGAAGGTGGTAAGTGGCAAACGGGCCACTTAAAGCACCGTTATGCTAAGCTAGCTGCTTGGCTAAGCTAGCTTGAAGAGTTGCTAGTTCCACCCAATGGACTTCTGCCTCCAAGAAGATCAAATGTGTGTAGTTTTGTGTTTCAAATAACATTAACATTTAAACAACAGTGTCTAAAATACACATTTTCTAAAGTGATTACTCATTACTTTTAAGATTTAGTCTTTTAGAAAGAAAAACATTCATTTAAAACAACATTCATTAATCGCCATTAATTGAGATTAATGAATTTCAAAATGTGCGATTAATTGTTAATTTTTTATAATCTATTGACAGCACTATTTTTTGTTTTTAATGTCAAATCTTAACCTGAACTACACCACATCTACATCTCTTATTTAGAGAAAGAAAAAAAAGATTATTTTTTTGTGTGGTGGAGTACGTTTACGTATTAACGTAGCGTGAAATGAAAAATGTTGAAATAGTAAAAATACTTCAAAACTGTAGGTACAGTAGTTGAAGTGAGTAAATGTATTTAGTTGCTTTCTATTTGTGATTCTAATGAAGACACATACATATTAGTAATATTTGGAAGTGTTTGCATTTAAGATTTATGTCTCTGGGCACTTCTTACTCATGTTTGCACGTGTCTTTAAAGAAGGCAACAAGGACAATGAATAAAGCAAACGACGGCTAGTGTAATTTAAAGCCTCGTGCAGCTGATCCCCGGCCCCCATGTCGAGGCAGTCATTTGATAGCTGCTCGCTGCCGGTGAAGGAGAGCCTCGACAACTTCAGCCGCCTGAACGTCCAGTGAAACTTGTTGGCCTTTTCGGCGACGAGAACCACTTTGCGCCAGCAGATCAGTGCACGACCCACCTGTGAGGAAGCCCCAACACCCCCCGGCTGCAATGGTGCGTTTGTTGGTGCTGGGAATGGGAATTCTGCTCCAGTTTTGTCGTGCAGCGATTTACACCAACGACTGGGCCATGAGAATAACAGGAGGCCGTGACTCCGTCCACGGAATAGCGGAGAAATATGGATTTACTAACATGGGTCAGGTGAGTGTCATCCGACATGGCGACAAGCACACGACAAAGGACACACAAGCGTTTGCTGTTTCTTCTTCCATTCAGAAAAAGGGATGCTCAGATTGCAGGCCTGTCCCTCAACACGCTTGAGGCCTCCTGAGCAACAGCAAAACTAATGATACAAAGCAAAATTTTATATTTGTGATTAAAGTACAATAGTGACATAAAAAAAGCTTGAAAAACACATTTTGTCTTCTAGTTGTGTGCAAAAGTTAAAAAAACATGTGTAAGTGCATATTAAACACATCACATATTTTCCAGACAAATTAAAACACTGTCGCATTAAACCCAATGCACAATGGAAGTTGTATTAAAAGGAGCACCAGGTATTCATTACTCTTTAACATTTCTGTGTGTGTTTTTTTATGTGGATACAAATATAGAAAATGCTGTGTGTGAAAAGGTGTCTTCTTACTTATTAAGATAATTTATGGCAACAGCAATAAATGATACTCAATAGATGCATTTGAATTTTGTAAAGCAATTCACAGCCTGCCATCTGCTCTGCAGACGCTAAAGTAATGTTTAATTAATTACGGCACAAGATGTAAGTCAATCGTGATCATTTATGACAGTCAAAAGTCATTTTTGGAGCTGCCTCAAATTATTATGTCTCAAAATGATTAAGAAGGTAATAAGCTTAGCTTGTAGAGGTAGTCCTAAACTGCCATCAAGCTACTGCAGAAGCAATTTACAATATTAGCCGTAGTGTGGGGAACAAAAGTTTTTACTTTGGGGGACTCGTGGGGAACTTTTTATGTCAGAAATCAGCCGCTGCTCATTTATATTCAAGCCTGCTGAGATGTTCACTGGTGTCTGAAACAAATACCAAGCCAGTAATATGAATTATCCAGTTACAGCCCAAATAACCAAGATGCAGCACTGCTGCCATTCCAATTAAGGTGTTGTAAGAACTTATTTAGAGTACTTTACAAGAAATAAAAAAAGAAATGGAACCAATTAAACCAGAGATGCTGATACAGCAACAGAATGACCAAATACAACGTAATCAATAAATAATAAAGCAAATAAATAAAAGTGAGGTACAGGTCCATTACATTCTACACATGTATTCCCTTCGGGAGAAGTGCTGTAATGAAAGTTGTAGGTCTTGGGTCCATGTTTCATTATGGGATGCATGAGACCCTTTAATGCCAGTTATCTTTTGTATTTCTGAGGTCAGAGGTCAAAAGCTAATTTCACAAACAGAACCATTGGGGAATAAATTAAGATCATCGTTTGTTCTAGTCAGTCACAGAAAATATGCAATCCATGACACCTTTTTATACCAAAGATAAATTATCTACACTCTTCTTTTCTTACATATGAGAAAAGACTGTTTACGTCACTGCGTAATGGACACACACAAACACACACACCTATTGGCAGCAGTGTGGCTTGAGTCTTGTGGCTCAGGTTGCCGTTGCCTGGAAAACTATCACAGGCGTAAGGTTTCAACCTTGATGAAGCAGCTTCATAATTTAACAGCGGTTTATTACCGTGACAAAGCAGGACGAACAACAAGCCCACACCTGAAAACAAATTAATTCACAGGATTTGATGTCCGTGTCACTAGATTGGAGACCTGAAGGGTTATTACAGTCTTCGTCACCGTGGGACGGCGAAGAGGTCCACCGTGTCCAATAAAGAGGTGGTTTTCAGCATCGCCAAGGAGACCAAGGTATAGTAACGGGATACGAGGAGACTGTGCTGGATTATTAATCAGAGGCGTGTGCCTTTGCCCCTTTCAAACACACACTCATCCCCCCAACACAAGCACCACAGATCAAGATAAAATGCCCAGTATCACACGTTGCCTTGAAAGTGTGGTTTTATTTGTTTTTTGTAGCTTTTGCCATCGTTTCTACCACTTATTCAACTGTAAATTATGAGAATTTGGTTGATTGCATTATTAGGTCTTATTATTAGGCATTACTAATGCAGCTATTAGGTCAAGCAACTTGTCACAAAAATGACCTGATGTTGATCCAAGATTGAAAATCTATTGCAAATCACGCTGAGGGTTTTTACCTGATCTGTGGCCAACCGTCGAATAGTCTCTGAGATGTTTTTGTCTGAACCAAAGTGGTACAACTTAAGCCCCGCAGCTTTCTATACGTCCATATCAGTAGCATGTGTTCCCTTTAAGGTGGAATGGTTCCAACAGCAAGTGGTCCAGAGAAGAGTAAGAAGGAGTCACATCTACTCCGAGGACGAGACCAGACGCCGCCCCGCTGCTCGTCCTCACACGCCGCCCTACAACTATTCCATTTGGGACAGCCTTTGGTACAATGTGAGTCTTGTTTGTTTGTAAACCCAGACTAACAAAGCCAACGTTCCCTGCTTTATTCTTTACTCCCCACGGGCTAGAATTGAATATCTCCCTATTTGATCCACAGCACTGCGGTCATGAACCCAAAGGCTCCAAGTCCTGTATGAACATAGCGGGGGCCTGGAGGAGAGGCTACACTGGAAAGGGTGTGGTGGTGTCTGTCCTAGATGATGGCATCCAGGGAGAGCATCCAGATCTGAAGCCAAACTATGTAAGTGCCCTGGGATGGGACACTTTTCTCGAGGATGGGGGACATTAATCATAAGCTATTTGGCAGAGCTCTTAGTGTAAGAGTGCAGAGCGGAGACAGATTTTGCAGGCGGAGCTTTTGGGCCGAAGGTTCGGAAAGGCCGGCCAACAGTATTGGAATGGACATTAAACGTCTGATCCACTTAAATGTGGAGTCGACTGGTGAATAATGCTCTTTGTGATTTGTCTGATGAAATGGAGGCAGATCGCCACCGGCATCTCATAACGTGCTGCTACTTACTATCCATCCGATTCAGGATGCTCGGGCCAGTTACGATGTGAACAGGCGAGACGAAGATCCTTCTCCGAATAATTCCAACAACGCTTCCAACTAGTGAGTACTTCTTGTTCCTAGATATCTCTGTGCAACGTTTTTTTCCTTTCCTCATCACAATTCTAACTTTAATCAATGCACGCTTTCCTTTTCCACGTTTCAGTAATTACATGCACATATGGATATGCAAATCCGCAACTCCGGATTCTGTCTTCTCACTGTTTTGATGTCACGGAAATAGCTCATCTTCTCCTCATGCATATGCATCTAACCTCATGTTCTGATGTTCTCCTCCTCTCTCCGAAGCCATGGGACACAGTGTGCAGGGGCGGTTGCCGCGGCTGCAAATAACTCCCGTTGCACGGTTGGAGTCGCTTTCCACGCGCGGATTGGTGGTGAGCTCAAGCGATGGCGTGCGCCCGGGAGAGGGAAGGACTTTTGGAGGTTAAAGTTTTAATGGATAATGTAGACTCAAACATTTACTCTACCTGTAGGCATCCGTATGCTGGATGGCGACGTGACGGACATTGTGGAGGCCCAGTCACTGAGCTTCCGACCACAGCATATCGATATCTACTTAGCCAGCTGGGGGCCAGAAGACGACGGGGCCACTTTGGAGGGACCCGGGCCTCTGGCTCGTCTTGCGTTGCGGAATGGCATCAAAACAGTGAGAGAAAGAAACAGTTTGGCTTGTTGGTTTATGTTTGTGTGTCCTACCCGGGGCTGTGTATTTACTTCAAGGGCATTTATCAACGTGTAAATATCATTAACAAATGAAACCCCCAATGTCCCAAATTCATCTCAGGGCCGGCACGGGAGGGGCTCCGTCTATGTCTGGGCGTCGGGGTCCGGAGGGCAAAGGGGGGACCACTGCTCCTGTGACGGCTACGGCAGCAGCATCTACACCATCTCCATCAGCAGCAGCCGTCCGGGTGGAAACCGGCCCGATTACCTGGAGCGGTGCTCCTCCACTCTTGCGACAGCTTACGCGGGAGGGGAGACGGAGGAAATGGTGAGCGGGGGCTGTGAGTAAGGTGTTACTAAAAGGGCCATTGTGCCGAGGGGGGGCCATAGTGTTGAATAGCATCACGTTTGGGTTGTAGTATACATTCTTTTTTTTTTTCTCTCTTGCGACAATAGCCCCAAAAAGTTAACAGATATATCATATGTATGCAAACATATATAAATATCTATATTTTTAATATGAATCACCTATTTCATTTAGTTCAAGTGGAGCTTTTCCCTCAAAAGCATTATTGCTTTTGTTGTAGCTGTCACCTTGTACGAGGTGAATTGCTGTTGGCTCACCAGTACCTTGAATGTTGAGGGTCACTGGTGTTATTTACTGCAAAAATGAGAAGGAAAAATAAGAGAAACTTTGGATCAAGTCCGTCCATCCAAGAACAGCTGGAATTATCACGCCTGCATCTCAACTCCCCTTTCTTTTTGTGCAGAACTAAACAGGGAAGTTATGAAATAATTGATGTTATGATAATTATTTTATTGCTTCCAAGACCCTGAGGGCATAGCAGCCCCCCCCTCCCACAGGCTTGGAGTCTGCAGGAGCCTTTATGGAATATTTATAACGGCAACAAATCTGAAAATCATTTACAATATTTTTGTTGATAGTTGTAACAATGGTTGGACAATCAATCCAGCTTAAAGCTAGTTTCAGCTAGTTGGACCCTGTAGTACGTGACTATAATATAATAAGAATAATGACGCATTTTTCTATTCATTTCAAAGTAGGAGTATTTCTTTGCCTGTTGTTCATTTGCACTGGAAACCTTGTCAGGAGCTGCATTTCAAAGCCGTTGCAACGTGTCTAATTATACAGTTAGAAGCTTAGTAAACATCCTGAAAGCCAAAGACTCGAGAGGCCTTCCCCATCGTGTCAGCGTAGACACTACGGCCACATGACAGGCTTCTTAAAGTTAGCAGAGATGCCCTCCTGTGGAATACATAATTAATCACTTACTTATTTATCGTTGATTGGCAGTAATCTTTGTGTTTTGCGTCATAACCTCCCAGGGAAGAAAATAACGGGATTATATCAACCATAGGTGCAATGCTTTAAAAAAAAAAAAGAAGAAAAAAGTAGCACATGTACATTGACTTCACAAACTAGTAATATGATCATAAAATAGGGGAAAAAAGACCTTCAGTGGGGCCCAATGTTTGACAAATGTGTACCATCTAATGGTACAAATCCCAAATGTAGGTCTGCTCCGTTAAGGTTCCGTGGACCGGTGGGTACAAACTGTCTCATGGAAAAGCTAAAAGGTGTGTTGTCCTCGAGCAGGTGGCTTTGGGTCCGCGGCAGAGCTGCAGCCGGGCCGAACCGGAGACGTCACTCTCCTCCTCCGTGGCTGCAGGCATCATCGCTCTGACTTTGGAAGCCAAGTAAGCAGCTTCCTCACACACACATACACACACACACACACACACAGACAGACAATCCGTACATGCAGGCAGCATTAATTGGTTTGATCGTGTGATGAGATGTGTTTTCTCCATTTGACCTTTTCTCAGCCCTTTACTAACCTGGAGGGACGTGCAGCACATTATTGTCCGGACATCGATATCTCATCATCTTCCTGCCCCTGACTGGAGCTTTAATGGAGCTGGATACGAAGGTATTCCCACTTGCGCTCTACTAAATCTAATTACAGACTTTTTTTTTTTTTTTTTTTACAAGACTTGCAAGCAGTTTGGAGATATGAATAATGACTTGATCTCTTTGGAATCTTCTCAAAACTAACAATAAATGCGATGAGCAAAGATGAGTTCAGCTTGATGAGCATATTTAGGTAAATGTTCTCCCTGCTCTTTTTTGGGGAAACAATCACGTAGCGAGCATACAAACTAATGAGATGCTGTGAGCAGAACAGTAATAAACGCCTACAGAGTCCCGGGAGTGTGTGATGTTTTTTTCATAAGCTACAGCGGCTTTTACGCCCCTTCTAATGCGGTGTGTGTGTGTGTGTTTGTGTGTCAGTGAGCCACCTGTATGGCTTCGGCCTGCTGGACGCTGAGAACATGGTGAAGGAGGCCGAGCGTTGGAAACGGGTCCCCACACAGCACGAGTGTGTGGAGGAGGCTTCCATCCAGCTGAGCAGGTATCGCACTGCGTCTCTCGCTGCCCTTCAGGGCTTCCCTTGACTCCTCCCCCTCCGTCACACTTTTTCTGCCTCGGGTTTCACGCCATTTCTCTCACGCGCCTTCTTGCGTGCTTTTGATTCTCCTTTAGATCTTCCTTTTCCACGTCTCCATTCCCCCGTGAGCGTCTTCTCGTTGTCTGCTCTTATCTCCGCCGCTCGCCGTGTGTCTTTATTCCCCCCCTGTCTCCTCGTCTCACGGCAGAACCATTCATCCCGGCTGGCCGCTGACGTCTGCGCTTGAGGCCACGGGCTGCTCCGGCGAGCCTCTGCGCCGCGTTGTGTATGTGGAGCATGTCGTCGTCCGTGTCGCCATCGCTCACAGTCGCCGCGGCGACCTCTCCATTACTCTCGCGTCGCCTTTGGGCACTGTGTCGGAGCTGCTCGCCCACAGGTGACCAGAGCGACGCTCAATCACGGACCGAATGTGTGGAAAACATTACCGGCCTTCTCAGCCCGCGCTGTCTACACATATACATACAGTCATCCATTAGCAACGTTCTTGTTTAAAGCCTGGCACATAACCGCTCAAAGGTGATGAAGTCTTCAATTTAGCACCTGAACAAGCCATAAACTCCAACATCAAACACACAGCATATGAAGCCATACTTTAATATTATATTGCTAGAATAGATGTAGTAGTAGTAGTTGTAGCAGTAGTATAATTAGCAGCAGTAGTGATACCACTATCTTGTTTAATCTTTTGATTTAGGCCTCTTGACGACTCCGCCGAGGGATTTCAGAACTGGGAATTCATGACGACTCACAGCTGGGGGGAGCAGGCGCCGGGGGAATGGACCTTGAAAATCCAGGAAGCTTCCTCTCCGAACAGAGGCAGCACCGAACTGGGTCCGCTCTCCCGCGCTGTAGTATCGCAGTATCATCAAGTGCACGTTGGAGTTGAACATCAGCTAAAAATGCAGGCCGGGCCTCCCGAGCGAAGCCTCTTATCTCGCCTGTTTCTCCGCGGTTCCACAGGGACGTTAAAGGCGTGGTCCCTGCGGTTTTACGGCACCGCCGAGTGGCCGTATCCCGGGAACCACAGGCGCCCGGCCCGATCGGCCGAGATGCCGACGGACGGCAACCCGGCCGCAGAGTACGGCGGTGAGTCATGTACCACGCTGCCCCCCGTTCAAGCTCAGACAGCAGCTAAACTGTGTTTTGCTGGTGAAGGTGTTTTGTTTTTATGTAAATATGCACACACGGCATGTCAGCATCTACGAGAATAACTCAGCCATTTGCCCCTCCAGGACCGTGCGACCCAGAATGCGGTGACGATGGTTGCGAGGGGCCCAGCCCACAGCACTGCGTCACGTGTTTGCACTTTTTTCTCAAGTTCAAGAACAGCACAAGGTTGGCAACAGCGTAGAGAAGAGTTGGTAAAAGCCAGAATGCAGCGGACAGAATTTGGTGATACTGCACAAAAGATGACTCGCATATTACAAAATCTAAATAATAAGCAGTCTCTTCATGTCGGAAACATTATGGTGGGTCCAGACCGGTATTTTCTTTGCTCGGTGTCACAGGATGTGTGTATCAGAGTGCCCAAGGGGATTCTGGGGCGACCGGCGGCGTTGTAAGAGGTGCTTTTCCTCCTGCGGGAGCTGCGTCGGGAGTCGCAGTGACCAGTGCACCTCCTGTCAGCCGGGTCATCACCTCACCGAGGGGACCAATAGCTGCACGGCCGCCTGTGGGGACAACTTCTACCTCGACCACGGTTGGATTTCTGGCCTTAAACCTGCTTTCCTGAATTGCGTTTTGTGGTAGTCGTTCTACTCAATAAAACAGAAGGAATATCCTCCGGGTGGCAGTTTAAGGAGCCATGGCTTAAAAAAGAGCCGTTCGGAAGCAGCTGCACATCGGCCTGCTAATGAATAGTCAGCTGATGTGACTGCAGTGGAGGGGTGTGTAAGTAAGATTGATTAATCGCCGCCATGTGTTTTCCATGTGTATTGTTTGATTTCCCCGCAGATGCAAATATGTGCAGGAGGTGCAATGAAAGCTGCTTGAGGTGCACCTCCTCCAGCATCTGCACGCAATGCAAACCAGGCACAAGGTGAGACAAACTCTCCGATGACTGTTGAATGAACTGCTCGGTAAACATTGCTCCTTCTCTTCCAGCTGCAGCGAATACTGATTCTCCCCCGTGCACACAAACACTCTGCAGCACGATAACAATTAGTAAACGCTACAAGGTTTGCCTTTTCATATTATAATAGAAAGTGTCCTGCTTCCCTGTTCACACACAGCTCAACACGGGAACATATTTTTTGATTACCCTTTTTTGTATCGACACAAGAAAGCAAAAATATCCCCGTCAAATCACCATATTGTTCAGTATGAAGAACCCAGAACGCTGTGTTCAATGACTCAGTTCATCAAGTGCTCGTGGTGCTGTGGGTTGGAAAACTGAGTCTACAGTCTAGGCAATGATTCATCTTCATGGTTTCACATGACTGCTTGTGTGTGCGTGTGCGTGTGCCACATGCTCTCTCCGGCCTCCGCAGTCTGCAGGGGAATCGCTGCCAGCGGAGCTGCACGCCGGGATTCTACCACGACGAGCAGGACGGCACATGCCAGCCCTGTCACAAGGCCTGCGCCAGCTGTGCAGGTGAGCGCTCGGGTCAAAGGTCATGAATAGCACGAAATCCTAGTGAGATGTCATCAAAACACGCGACGGGGGGAGTACGCCTCCGTGCATTTTTGAAAACCCACTGTCCCTTGCGTCGGGCGACATCAGGTGCAGGTGTTGCGGCATGCGACGGGTGCGCGGGAGGCTTCTTGATGGAGGAGTGGAAGTGTTTGTCCTCCTGCAGTGCCGGCTTCTACGCCGAGGAGCCAAACCCGGAGATAGCTGATGGGCAAAGGACATGTAGGCGGTGAGCTCACTGGCGTGTGTGCAGGTGTGGGTGGTTTGTTTATCTGCTGATGGCAGGACGTGTGCGCGCGCGTGTGTGTGTGTGTGGTGATGTTGTCATGCTGTTAGTCGTGCGCCTGTATGGGCGTAGTTTTGTTTCCCTGTGTGTTTGTGGTTTTTGTGGTTGGCGTGTGTGTGTGTTTGCGTGCACACGTGTTCAGTCTCGGTGCTTTCCTCCTCAGGTGTGACGCCAGCTGTCTCACCTGTGTCGGGCCGAGCCGGGGGAACTGCAGCAGCTGTTCCAGCGGTCACGGCCTGCAGGAGGGAGCGTGTGTTGTTAACACGGTGTGCAAAGACGGTCAGTCAACCGTCCACTTCCTCCACCACGTGTTGGCTCACTGCTGCCATGAAGCTAAAGGAACCGTAGCACATATAGTTCTCACTTTTTTACCTGCAATTATTTCCTTTTTTAGGCTGATTTATGGATATTTGATCCCTATCTATATATATATATATAGATGTATAAAACAAGACACATGTTATCATACGTTTCATTCTGAATGAACCACAAGCCAGTCATGAATTTGTATAAATGTTTAGTGTGTTCTGTATATGCTGCTTGAGCCTCGGGTGATTATGCATTCCTACGTCAGCGCCGTTCTCTCGCTGTGCGTCTCCCAGGAGAGTACCAGGACGCTGACAGAAAGTGCCGCGCATGTGATGCAACGTGTCTGAAGTGCACAGGGCCGCGGAGAGAAGACTGCATCAGCTGTGCTCCTTCACGGTGAGTTGGTCTTGACTCTTTCGATAAAAGGTCAAAGTGGGAATGAATTCCTCCTGCTGCTTCTCTGAGTGTTAATGGTCGTTGCTTTACCCCGATGTAGAGTCACCACATAACATGTCAGGGACGTGTTGGTATTCTTGTAACCGTGGAGATGCTAAATATTTTTTTTCTAAATAATTAATATGCCAGAGCCTTAGAATGAAGCACAGCTAAAACAATCGGTGACTTAATTGACCAATAAATTGATTACTATTGTGATAATTGATGAGTCATTTTAGTTAATCTTTCAAGCAAAATGATTAAGAGACAAATGTCAAATTGGCTTTATTAGCTTCTTGAGAGCTGACTTATATTTTCTAATCACTGCAAACTGAATATCTTCATGTTTGTGACTTTTGCTCAAACAAACAAGATATTCGAAGATGCAAAATTGAGAATTACAGTTTTTCACCTTTCATGGAATAAACAATTCATTGGATAATGGAAAACATTTTGATAGTAATAAGTCATAAAATGTGTCATTGTTGTTGTAATTCACTGTGTACCCTGTTGGGGACGCGTTAGTGTTCCTGATATGTTGCTCACCAGCACGTCGATTGAAACAGAAATTAGATTTTGAAATAATCAGTATCCAAAAATCCCCCTTCTTTGACCTTCTTGCTGAAATAAAAGTGGTCTGGTGGCTGTTGTCCGAGCAGGGCTCTAGATGTCGGCCTCTGTGTGGCGGAGTGTGCAAAGGGAAAGTACCAGTCAGGTGGCCAGTGCCACCTGTGTGACCACACCTGTGCCACCTGCGTGGACGCAAGGCCGGCCAACTGCACCAGCTGTGACACCGGTGAGGACTGAACCAGCACATCTGTGTGTATGGGCCGCGTGAGCGTGAACCAAGCGGAAAGTTCGGCGTCACACATCTTCACTCTCGGCCCTCCCAGATAAGTTCGGCGTGCGGCGCTACTTGTACGAAGGCCTGTGCGTGGACGCCTGCCCGGAGGCCTTCTACCACGCCGAGGGGAGGAGCTGCGAGTCCTGCTCGCCCCGCTGCCGGCTCTGCACGGGCGCCGCTCGCTGCCTCCGGTGCGACGCCTCCTCGTACCTCTCCGACGGAGTGTGTGCGGAGCTGCAGTGTGGAGAAGGTAAACAAGGTCACAGTGTTATTTGTGAGCGTGACCTTGAAAAGCATCATCTCGCCCTCCTTTTTTTTTTTCCACCCTGTGTTTTTCTTTCACACGGTTTTCTTTCTTTTTTTTAATCTCAGGGGAGGTGGAGGATCCAGATTACGACGAGTGCATGGCCTGTGAGGAGGGCTGCAGGAAGTGTGTCTTGTGTAAGTCACTCCTCGGTTGCCGGGGTTCAAATTTTGTCTACAGGAGGCCGAGCTTTCCTCCTCAGTGTGTTGCCAACAATGTTCAAAGGGTTTTTCCTGGTAGTTCCTGTTTGAAAGGAGAGGGTGTTTTTTTTGTCTGTTTTCAACAGATAACCCCAAGCATTGCCTCTCCTGCATTGAGGGCTTCTACAAGTAAGGCTGTGTGCCTCACTGTGGCCGTGATGCGTGATCTAGCCTCTCTGCACAGAGAAAAGAGCCCTGTTTTGCTGTGAGAGTGGAGTGGAGTTGCGTGTTTGGTAAACCGCAGGCGTAGACGCAGCTTCTGCTATTAGTTTTCAGGACGGCTGCTACAGGAACTGCCCGGCTAAGACGTACAGCGTGGACGAAGACATGACCTGCGTCCCATGTGATGGCAACTGCGTGAGCTGTGATGAGCACGAGTGCTACTGGTGTGAGACCGACCTCTTCCTGTCAGGTAGAACCACCGAGTCGGTCGACGCCACGAGGCAGGCAGCAGCATTTTTTGTGCTTAAAACGTCAATGATGTTTTGCAGTCTTGTATTGAAAATGTCAGTGTTCTTTATTAGGTTTGATTATTGTTCACTGATGCATTGTGGAGAAAGTAGCAGTGTTGTTTTTGAATTGTAAATTGTGTTGTGTAGTTTATTCTGTGTGGCATTTTTGATTCAAAAGTGTCATTGACCTTAACCTTAATTCCTAAGTTAAATAGTAATTACAGGTGTCAGATCAATGTAGTGGACAAAAAATATATATATTTTTTTTATTTATAACATAGTTTCCCTTCATAGAAATACTCAGGTAGAACACATCATATTTGCACAAATTTTGCTAGCAGGTTTTTTTTCTAGCAGGTTTATTTTGTTAGTGACTATTACTGTTTGTTCAGGACCCGATGAGGCATTTAAATATTACAGCACGTTGAGCTAATTTTATCTCCTCACTTTTTGTTGGCGAATTTCGTATCCGACATTTCATTGTGTTTTACAAGATGATTCCACAATTTTTTTACATACATTTATGGTTTTCATAAAAAGAAAAACAGAAAAGGTTGGGGGTTTTTTTTCAGAGGGGAGATGTGTTTCATCGTGTCCTGGTGGTTTCTATGGCGACGAAGACACCAACGACTGCGAGGAGTGTCATTCAGACTGTGTGACATGTGGCGGCCCGGAGCGCGACGACTGCCTGTCGTGTGAGGACGGGAAGAAGCTGGAAAACGGAGAGTGTGTATCCGACCACGAGGTCTGTCCCATTAAGACCTTTCGCGGCGGTAAGACTCATACTCATGTGTTTCACTAATCCAACTGTCCGCTTTTAATGAATCAGGGATTTAGGTACCTTCACAGGGACGGAAAATACATCTTGGAGGGTAATTGGTCTGTGTGCCACCGTCCCTGAAACCTCGTGCCAACCTAAGTACTGGAAACAGGCAGAGCTACTGAACGTCGGCCAGATACGGACTTCGAAATAGTTGATTGTGAATGCAGAACACTGAGTTCCCCTCAAGAATCAGTAGCACAGACCTTTAAACAACATGTGGTAATTGGGGCGAGGCAAGACATCTTAATTATAGGAACTTAAGTAACTGAGGAAAGTACATTCATTACAAAGGTTGACAGTGACCACACACAGGACTAAACTTTTAATCTTAGCAAAAAAGAAATCCTTAGATTAAAGCCTCAGAACTGCAGAACACGCATCATTTGGATTAGCAGAGTTCATCAGGTTTTTCTGAAGTTACAGCATTCGACCCCAGTGAAACAACAGCTTATCATCTGTAATATTCTGTAACTACCTTTTTTATGTGTATAACGCTGGTATATAAATATACACAAAGAAACATGAATGTGACATAAAATAGCAAGAAAATGTAATGTACAATCTAGATGATTGCTTACAATTTTTCTTCCTCGTCCTCTCATCTTGACATCGAACTCTAGCAGCAGATATTTCCCGCGTCAAGCTGCAGGATTGTGTGCTACCGTCTAATTGTTCAGGCTCGGCCTGTTAGCCAGGACCGTCATTCCTACCTTTTGTTTCCGCTTCAGATGATGGAGAGTGTGAGAACTGCCACCCGTCATGCGAGTCCTGCTCCGGGGAAGAGAAGAACCAGTGTATAAAATGTGCAAAAGGTCCGTACTGTGTATTGGATGCTTGTATGCTTTCAGATCTGAGACGCCGGTGTCCTATTTCCACGCTTCCGCCGCGGCATATGAATCTATTTTTGCAGCGCGGTATCGACGTATGTTCTTTCTCTTCCCGCAGGGTTGTTCCTGACCGCGCAGCAAACATGTGTGTTAAAGTGTCCCGGGGGTTTCTTTGCCGGGCGGCTGAGCGGTGTGTGTGAGGCCTGCCCTCCAGGCTGTTTGCAGTGTGCGGACGTTCAGCACTGCATCCGCTGCCAGAGCACTCGGAAGTCTCCGCTGTTCCTGCAGGCGGGACACTGTGTCCAACGGTGTGTCAGGTCAGGGGTCAATCCTATCTCTACCGCATTTGACGTGTACGTGCTCACAAGGACCCGGTTATGCTCCAGCTTTATCCAGAAAGTGATTATTGTCCTTTGGAAAAGCTGAAGAAATTTAACCCCGGAGGCAAAATCCTGTTGAAATCACATGTTTGATGCCCGTTTGACGAGCCCAAAAAGAAAAAAAAGGCGGCCATAATTCTGACATACCCCACTTGATGTTTATGTGCCATTAAATAGCGCCATCCTTGAGTTTAAAGCCACATCTTGTCCTTGCTGAAGAGGTCCTTGAAGCATCCATTAGCACTGAGATGACTATTTTAACTTTTTGGCCTTAGTTCAAGAGTAAAATGTCCTCTTTGTTACTACCCGATCAGCAAAACACACATTTATTCATGGCTTATTTATTTAAAAACTACAAATATATTTATTCAAGCTTGACACTGAATTTATTTGTTTTCTTTGTAATAGATAATTAAAAAAAGATGCACCCTGTAAGTTTTAAGTGAATGTGTCTGTTGGGTGATACATCACCTTTATGTCCATTGTGCGTCCCGGTTTAACTGTTATGGACACGGATGCATCAACAATACGCCCCACTGCAGGGTCTTGTGTCCGATTGCCTCCTGAGGTGTGCGTCTGCCGTCCCACAGGGGTTATCCTGCGGGCCCGGTGTGCCGCAGCTGCGCGCCTGGCTGCGCCTCCTGTGGGAAGAACGCCACCCACTGTCTGAGCTGTGAAGAGCCTCTCCTCTTACACGAGCACCGGTGTGCGGAGGAGTGTCCTCCGGCGCACACGCTGCTCGACGGGGAGTGCCAGCGCTGCCCCCGGGCCTGCCAGGAGTGCGGCCCTCTTGGGCACTGCACAGGTACTGCAGGACGATGGAAACAAGCGCACACTTTCATACAAACGCTCCTCCACAATGGCTCTTATAACAGCTATTATAACACCAAAGCCGGGACGTTCCCACCGGCCTCAGGCTCATTTCGTCTATGCACCATCTTGTTCTCCTTCGAATAGTTTGCAGTAAACATTTCGTCCCACGCGGCGCTAATGGCTGTTCTCCTCCTGCAGGCTGTGAAGAGTATCACTTTCTGCACGAGGGACTGTGTGTGCCGGACTGTCCCGAGCGGTTCTTCGAGGACAAGGAGCGGAGGGAGTGTCTGCGTTGCCACCCGGACTGCGCTTTGTGCGACGGCCCCAAGGCCAACGACTGTGACGCCTGCGTGGACCCGGAGGCGGCGCTGCACAACGGGGCGTGTCTGGCAGCGTGCCCCTCCCACGCGTACAGGGACGCTATCACGGGAGAATGTAAAGGTACAACCGCGAAAAACAAAACTGCACCGACGTATCGGCCCGCTTCCAAGGCGAGGCTGATTTGCGTTCGCGTGGGTGCGCGCACGAGGAAAACACACAGCTCAGTGGTAAAAGTCAAAAGGCAGTTCGCTTGTGCAACTCGCTTGTACTCTTGCACTTTTGGGAAGGACAAGATGAGAGATTCTCTTCAAACAGAGCGACCTTCATGCATTTTCCTCAATTATAGTATAGAGCGTGTTTCCCGGCATAAGCTGAGCCTGAAATAGCGACGCCGTTTGAGGCGGTTAACAGGCAGCTGTCAAACTTTGAAAACAGGAAGCGCGAGAAGCCGGAGACGGTCCCTTGAGAAGGAGGCACTCTGGTTTTGTTCTTCAAAAACACGGCGGGTAGCGTGTTTCTCCGAGGAAGATGTTGTAGGCGACGCCCACTTGTGTTGCTTCATGAGGTCGCTGCCGGCGGTAAGACCTCCGAAAGGAGAAGGAAGGGCATTGCTGCACCGCTCAACGGACACAGAGGGATTTTTTTCATGATTATTTTCATCTGAAGTAAAAACTGCAGATCACACTTTGAGAAGGTGGATATCCAAACAAATAGTGACATGAAGAATTCCTTTTTCTTCAAATTTCTTTTATTAATAAATAAACTATTACCGTGTTTCTGATCTGATACATTTGGTAAAAATATGAATCCCTGTGCTTCGCTGTTTACTATCTGCAGACTGCGCGGCGTCGTGCCTCACCTGCTCCCACGCCGGCTCCTGTACCGGCTGCAGGGAGGGTCAGAGGCTGGAGGGCCGGGGCCACTGTGTGCCTTTGCCCGACAGCTGCTCGCCCGAGCAGTACGCAGACCAGCGCGGGGAATGCCACCGCTGCCACAAATATTGCCACCGGTGTTCAGGCCCTGGCAAGACTCACTGCCTGAGCTGCAACCAGAGACACCTCCTGCTCAGTGAGTCCACCTTGGTCTTTGTTTTTTGTTTTTTGGGGGGGGGGGGGGACTTTGTTTGCCGAATGCCTTCTGATTGTGTGCGTTTGTGGGTACAGATGGCACCTGCGTGGACGGATGCCCCGAGGGCTTCTACGAGGAGTCGGGGCAGACGTGTGAACCCTGCCATGCGTCCTGCCGGTCCTGCGTCGGGAAGCACGGCCACGAGTGTCTGGCCTGTAAGATCCACTTATTTCGAGAGGCCAAGGAGTGTGTGGAGACCTGCCAGCACAGGTAAGTGTGACCGTCACGTGACGCGCGGCGTTGTCATTTGAATGTCATCGGGGACAAATAACCGTTGCTTTGGCTTCAGTCAGCTGGACAGGGCGGTAGTTTGGGGACGGATGCTCATTCATCTAGAGATTTAAATAGCGCTTCATGTGGCCTGCAAAAGGCCAGTTAGGCGTCATTTTATTTGGGGCGGTGATTGAGAGAGTTAAATTAATGTGCCGGTAAATTGAGGTGCGGTTACACACTCTGGAGGAAACACTAAACTGATACGCCAGCTGTTTGTTCCCGTGCCTCCCTAAATACCTCCAGACCTTCACGAGAGCAAAGCGGCACGTAGCAAAACCCAAAAGTGTGACTTTGGGTTAACGCAGGACCGGAGTCTCCCTCTCCTCAGCAATGCTTTGGAATGTTTAGTTACGGCTGCATTTCTATCATCTCCGGGTCCCAAAGCCGCATGTGACCGAGTGGCTGCCGAGAGGAATTTCCTTTGAGGACAAAACGAAACTCCAATCTCATCTCCTTTAATTGAATCTAATCTCTCATTACTCTCTCACCATGCGCCCGATAGTCACTATGGAAACACGGGCTCGGGGCTGTGCGAGAGGTGTGACCCGAGCTGCAGCGAGTGCGCCGGGGGCGAGGAGGACGCCTGCCTGAGCTGCGCTCCGGGACTCGTCTACCTGCGGAGAGAAGGCCGCTGCCTCCCCTCGTGCCCTCGCGGATACTACCACGACGCCGCACACAGGGCCTGCGGTGCCTGCCACGCCAGCTGCAGAGCGTGCTCGGGTAGGAGCCTCCACCCGGCCGGTCATTTTGACGTAAAGGCCCGACGTTTGACTTTGCCTCGACAATACTTGATTGCAGGAACTGTTTCATCTTGGTCTTAACTTGAATGTGCAGGAAGTGATTCCCGGTCCTGTGACTCGTGCTTCCCTGGGTACCGGCTCGCAGGTGGCCTCTGCGAGTCCCTGTGCGACATGGGCCTGTATCCTGTGACAAAGGTGAACTTTTTATTGGCTCTGCCCGTCAGCCAATCAGCCAATGTAATCCAGGCAGACCTTTTACTGCTCCAGCAGGAATCTCAAAGCGCATTACAAGAATAAATTTAGTTAAGCTGAGATGCGATGGCTCACTTCTATTCAGTTCTTTTTAGAAAAGAGTCCTAAGAATGCGTTTCAAAGGCACATAACCAGTGGTTGTGATTTAAAATGCAGGCTGCGGCTGTGAGTCTGGCTGTGAAGTGTTTCCAATAGAAGTCCTTTTCTCTCTTCCCTCGTCAGGATTCCCACCACGCCTGTGAAGACTGTGACGGATCGTGCGTGGAGTGTCGCGGCCCGGGTCCGGCCAACTGCACCGCGTGTTCTGCTCGGGCCATCTTGGAGGCTGGAGGACGCTGTCTGCTTTGTTGCCGCCATGAAGAGGAGGAGGAGGAAGAGGGGGGGGATGAGGAGGAGGCCACCACAGAGCAGCAGGACTGTTGTAACTGCACCGAGACGCGAGGTAGGATGGTCGTGCTTGTTTGTAGGTGACGGAGGAGGACGAAGAGGCACTTGACTGGGTTTGAAGTGGAACAGAGGAATGTTCTGTAGACCAAATGTCTCCCTTGCAATGTGAACGCATTAGATCCTAATATGCTTTTTTGGTTTTACATGCTATACAATTACTGTAAGTTTTTTAAATGCTGCTTTATGCCTATACCATCATATTACATATTTTTTTGCATTAAGGATTTTATTTTGACTTGTCAGATCAGTCTCAATAACTGCAAATGCACACAGAAGGATTTACAAATACATTTCAATGCCACACATTTGCAATTATTGAGACTGATCTGACCCATAAAAAGACCCATTTGTAGTTAGGGCACCAATCAAAATGTGATTTAAACTCTTTAACAATACTTCATTTTGTCTTTTTAAACATTTTTTTGTGTGTAAATCGGACTTGAAATGAATCCGTGATAATATAGAACTTTATTAAAACTAAATTAGAACCAGAAGAGGCGGGTCTTTTTTCATAAGCCCGGTGTATAGTGCCAGTGGATTTTCCTCCGAGCTTAAAGAAAGCATTAAAACTTATAAAGCGGCCTGCCAGAGACACATCTACTTGTCTTCTAGGAGTGTGCGTCCTCAGCACCAACTTGGCCTTCCGAAACGAGGAGGAGGAGGCGGCGGCCAGGGACAATCCGGCAGTCTTCATCGTGGCCTCCGTGCTGTTGGTGCTGGGGCTGGTGGCCGTCGTCTTCATCGTCAGACACTCCCGCTCAAAGAGAGCGCCCCCCGACATCCCCCCCCGCGGGTACGAGAAGCTGGGCTCCGGAGGAGGCGGCGGCGGCAGACACGGCGGCTTTGGCTCCGCCTCCTCGGGCTCCTACGGCGGCCGCGGCGGCTCTGCCGGAGGCCGGCTCAAGGAGGCTCAGTTGGTTGACGTGGCTGAGCGTCGCTCAGGGAGTAAAGGTCATGAGGAGGAGGACGACGAGGACGAGGACGAGGACATCGTTTACATGGGCCAGGATGGCACCGTGTACAGGAAGTTCCGGTACCTGGGAGACGAGGACGAGTTGGAGTACGACGACGAGAGCTACACGTTCCGGTGAAGTATGAGAATCTCTCTGAAGAAACATTTCTCCTCTTCCTTTCCATGTGTGGCGTCTTTCTCCTCGTGCCCGCAGGGAGGGACCCGTTTATCCTTCACTGAGTGGGACGGGAACCAAATGAGACACCTGAAGCTTTTCATACTGAGCTGCATTTTATAACTATTTATTCACAAAATGTGCACCAGGAAAATGTAATTTAGCATTCTTATGGACTTTGAGTATGATGAATTCCTGCATGTAACATGAACATTTAGTAGCTTGGAGAGTTTAATTAATCATCTTTAGTTGTGTTGAATTTGTCTTAATAATGGCTTTTCTATAAAGGTTTGCTGTCATGCATTTTAATTTGAAAATGTGCCGTGTTCAAATAAAGTTAAAAAAAAATCTATTCTAGACAAATCACAAAGGGTTTGATTTCACTTCATTTATTTGAATTACTAGACAGTGATCCATAAGTTCTCTGCACATCCTCCAAACGCCACTTAAGACTCATGGGTAAGAGGACAATCGGTTATCTATGAGGCGACATGCACGGACACACGTGGACACAGAAGATATTGTGCTTTGCAGAAACCCCGTCTTTAATTTGCTGAGGCTCGATGGTCCGAGAGGAGCTGAAGAGATGATTCCCAGTCGGCGTCTGACAAAGTGATTCTGACGCTGCGCGGACGGCTTCCACCTCCCCGGTTCCCCATTGACTTTATGAACTTGAAATTGCTTTTTGTGTCCCCCGTCTTAAAGAGAATTAAGGAGTGGATTGTTTTAAATGCAGTACCCGGTAATTTATGGCACACGGTTAGTTTTGTTTTTCTGTACGCAATGTGCTTTTATTCTAGATCGCTGACTCACAAGTCGTCTTGTTTATCTGAAGTAGCGAGTGTGTGACCAGCAAAGGGCGATATTATTGCTCCGCTGCTTCTCATGCACACAACGCTGTGCTCTACACATTGATTTGTGCTGTGTACATCTGGTGTGTAATTGCATTTCCTCCTGTGAGCAACGCTGCTGCCGAGCGTCACGCTCAGCAGTACAGCTCTCCGGTTTGATAGTGTTACGGTAAAATAGATGCCACAGCCGCCACTAAGAATGAGATCCAGCTATTGCAGGTTTCATATCAAAGTATTAAAGTCCCGGGTCTAATGAACAAACACTGACACACACACACGCACGCGGCAGCTGAACAAGCCTCTCCAGCTTCACTCGCACAATACAACAGTGACTTCGGGACATCGAGACAACCCGTCCATTTAGGACGTTTGTTTTAAGAGCTGCTGCCACCGGCTGCATCTGGTCTGTTAGGGAGACGAAACACAGCGTTAAAGACCAGCGGCTCAGAAAAGTGGCATTGTGTGCGATCTTTAAACATGGTGGAGGACTCACTCTGGTCCGCCTGCTGCTGCTGATGCTGCTGCTGTCGGATCCAGTCCCAGCAAAAAACTATTCCTTCTGGAATGAGGGAATAAAAAGCAGATGTATTATTATTAAACAATATGCAATTAATCAGACACAACAGTGGAAATTGTACAGAGTCATCCCAGGATTTATTATCAGTGTAATAGATGACTCCGCAGGAAGGACGGGCTCATTTTACTGTAAAGATAAATGAGATGTCTTTAGCAACTTTTTTCCTTCCTGTAATTGCATCCATAGACAAATCCAATTGTTCCACATGCAGCAGCAGAGTCCCTGTGATCTGGAAGTGAGCCGGGCTGATAAATGAGCACCGAGGCCACGTCCACTGCCTCCGCAGGGATATAATGAGTAAATGCTTACTTTGAGTTATCTGCAGCTTCCTTCAGTTCCTTATCGAGCCTAGAGATGAGAGTTCAAATGACGGGATGAGTGTGAAGTCGTTTAATAAGACGGCCGAGGTTGCGTTTTTTTGGGGGGGGGGGAGACTCACCTAATGATGCACTCTGGGATCTGGATGCTGTCCATGGGGATGGATTCATGCAGTTCGTCCAGACTGTTCACGTACTTAATCTTACTGCTGAACTTGGTGCTGTGACATGCGCGCGCACACACACACACAAAACAAAAGGGCAACGGCATTGAAAGTAACCAGCTCAGCATTACGGCAACTTCATCAGTTGGTCCTTTCCAAAGTGAGCAGCTTAACTCTGATGCAGTGGGACAATCAAAACAGGAATTTCATAAAAAAGGGCAAAATCTCTTCTCCTTCCTGTGCTTCTTTTCCCCTTCTCTACAAAAAGGCTCTGGAGCAACATTTCACGCTGAAGTCAAAGTTCTCTGGCTTTATGTGGCCACGATGGCGCTTTGCCTCAGCATGTGTAGTTACTTTAACTTAAAATCAAAAGGTTTCGGTCCAGAGATTTCCAAAAATAGATGAGCTAATTATTGCTGAAACAAAAAAGCTGCTGCGAGCACAACATCATCTAGCCAGGACACAGAAGTGGGTTGAAAGCGACCATTCAATGGTTGGACGGGGTAAATAATCTCAGATGAAAGGAACAGTGAGCTAATTTTTAGCAAAATGTCGTCACTCTAACGTTACTAATTATCATCAACCATTTGTGCCGACTGTCGACAACAAAGGGAGAGAAGACAATGGAAATTTAACACAATGCAAATACGATTAAAAGCAGGAGTTTAAGAGTCCCAACGTTGATGAATAAATAACTAATTTCAAAGTATTTTCCTTTCCAACACACTGTAGGGCACCATGTTTGTACGTGCAAATCGACATCGACAGCGGGACCGTTAAACTGTCACCACAACCCCTGGAAATGAAAAGGAGACGCTCTTTTTACCTGATGAAGGGCTTGGTGACAGCTAGAATCGTCCTGATGAACCACGACGGATGCAGAATAATGAAGGATTTCAAGTTCTTCCTGAGCCTGAAGACAAGCACAGGAGCGCACGTCAGACGGGGGCATAGTTGCGCTACGACGTTCCGCTGCGCTACGACGCCGCTCACCTTCTGTCAATCATCTGATAGCATTTCTTCAGCCAACCGAGGCCGGGCATCCTCCTGTGGGGCGTGGCTCCGTTCAGGTACACGATCATGTAGTCCTCCGCCACCATCAGCTCCAGTGTACTGATCACGTAGCTGGAGACAAACACGCATGTAAATACTTACCGGAGGAATCTGCACTAAACACCACGAGGGGGGATGGAAATCACATTGTGTATTTTGCGCAAGATGACATTTTGACTAAATGAATAATTCAGCGGTATGAGAAGAACAGTTTCATGGCGATCCTCTACGTGGTTGTCGAGATTTGTTTTCCTTGAAAACAACCAACGTTGACTTCATGTGGTGGGAAGAAGTAACGCGATAAGTGAGACGGAACCACGAACGTCTGTGCAAATTAATCTGACCGTCACATCGCACCCTTTGCAAAAATTTCCGCCACTCCCTTGTGTCTTTGGACCGGAGAATTTCTCAAGAATGGCGAAACCGGTTTTGTGACTCGGAACGGCGACATTCAAAGGAAATAGGAAACCGTCTTTTTCTGCGTTTAGAGAACTACCAAGAAATGTCTGTACTCTGATGTAAGCTGAAAGAAATCGGCACAAATGCTGCTTCGTGGACGAGCGGTTTTGCTTTGAAATTCTTCCTTTTTTAAATTCTCTTGCATCCCTCTCAGTGCCTCTATCAGACTTCTACCTTTCATGAAATCCAATACTTTGAATCAAACCAATTTCTCTCTTTTTTTTTAATCTCTTTTCTGCTTCTCCTCAACCCCCCACGTTCTCTCAGGCAGCGGGGAACTTTGTCATCTCCTTTTGAAAACGCTCGACAGTATTCTCAGCCCTCGTAGTTCCTCTCCAGTTTCCTCCATTTTTTTTTTCCCCAAAGGACTCACTCGGACTCTTCTTTCTGATCCAATTGTCCTTCTCCGACTTACAAATCAACACTGATCTTCTCCGTTTCGTGACCATGGTGATCATCTCCCACTGACATCGGGGCTGCATGCCGTTCGCCTCCCAGCTGTGGTTAACCGCTGCTCACAAGGACTCAGACATCACGCCATCTGGCATCAGAGTGTGCAGACGCGATGCTTTTACAGCCTTTCATTTCTATCCAAAACTCTCAGATACGCCGGCTCACTCAATATCTCTCTCAGAACAGTCTGTGGGATCCCGATCTGCGGGGTCCAAGCAGGAGCTGCAGCGCTGCCAGCGCCGCGGCGAAGACGCCACGGGAGGTCGACCTTTTCAAAAAGGATCGTTGACGTGCAAAATCCTGCACGTCAGAAAATGCACCTTTCAAATGTTGGTCCCTGGTCCTGTAATGAACTGAGAAAGGACGTCGTTGGGACTGAAACACGGAGACGTGTCGTCAAAAGAGTCTTCAGCAACGCGAGCGGCTCTGTGAGACGTTGCCGCTTTGTCCTCCCGGGATGATGAATGACCTTCAGGTCGTTTTTGGGGGGGGTTCAGAGTAAAAAATTATTAAAAAAGTAAAAGAAGAGTTAAAAGTGTGTGTGTGTGTGTGTGTGTGTGTGTGTGTGTGTGTGCGTGTGCGTGTGTGATTGCAGAGTAAAACTCACAGGAAGAGGTTCTCCATTATTTCGTGGTAGTCGTCTCTGTCGCTGTCCGGCAGGAAACAGGCAGCAAACACTATGATGGCATTCACTCCGTTGCCATAGTAGCCTGGATAAAAACACAGGAAACGGGTTGACCCGATTCTGGCCTTCATACGCTTGATTTACACGACTCGATTACGGCCATTTTGTTCAATCTATCTGCCTGTCCGTCTCTTTTGTCCGACTGCCTGTCTCGTTCCCGCTCACTACTTTTCAGACTGACGATATTTACTTTTATTCACCGGCGTATTTATCTCCAGACGTGGCGTCACTCCGACAGAGGGTCTTTCATCGCAATGGCCGAGCTTGTGGAATCTGTTTCCATGGTCCAGCTTTGTTTTACTTAACACGGTGACACCAGAGGCAATTTATCACCACTTTTCATCAACTCGCCGACAGACGGCGAGCGAGTTCGCTGAACGAGTCAAATCCGGTGGGAATAACGCTCACGCACGCGGCTCTATAGCTCCATAGTCACCTCCGTGGGAGACGACCCTCATGTAGGGCTCGATGACCTTCATGTTGATCCGGTGCTCTTGCTCGCCGATGACCACGGTCCTCCATAGTTTTCCGTCCTGGCGCTCCTCCTCCGCGCTGTATGTCGGGATTGGATTGTGAGGCTCGGTTGTCCCGGTCTTACTGGTGGCATCGGGGTCTGAGGGAAGACCACGTTTAACATTGGGCAACTTCAGACGGACGGACTAACAGAAGCTAAGAAATTCAAATATAAACCTAAAAACGTGCATAAGTCCTCTTTAAATTCACTGTCTGCTTGGGTGGTTCTGGGGAATTGGACCATAAAACATAATAAGTTCTAATGGTAATTTCAAGCTGGCGCCGCTTGTGTCCCGAACGACCCACCTTCCCAGTCCATCTCATGGTCCGTGTAGTCGAGGTAATCCTCCTCGTCCGGAGTGTCCAGGTCGTCGACATTTATGTCGAGATCATCGGGCGTCTCCCCCAGGTCGTCCTCGCTCTGGTCCAGCGAAAGGCTGATTCGGGGGGCGGAGAGCTTCTTTCTCTGGCTGGGACCTCCTCCTTGCAGGGGCAGAGAGGTCGGAGGGACTGCAACGACAAAAATAATACAGGAAAACAGTCATTGGAATCTGCTAGAGATAAAAAAAAAATTCTTTTTTTTTGTTTAAGTGTTGGTTTGCTGGACTCGCACTCACCTGGTCGGCCTTCGCCCCCCTCAGAGTTCATTTTAGTCTCTGATGCTGGGTCCATCCCCACGAGGACCTATGCAACAAAAAGTATCCGGACTGTTTATTACAGATAACCTGCTTTAATTGGGTAACATTTCATTTAGAAACGTGTGACCGTCATATAGTTTGTTCACCAGAGAGCACTGACAGGTTCATTTATCCGCTTTGTAAGAGTCTGGTGGTCAAGAGATCCACGTGCACATCCATATTTATCTAGCAGAAAGGTGAGGCGATGAAGGAAATGAGACCTGGGAGGTTAAAGGTCATCTTCCCCAGGGAAATATCCTCCCAATAAAACTGTATGTGTGTCTGGGGGGAGAAGAGAGGGGGGTTACATCATGACAAGCACTCCCCCCCCCGCTGTCTTCAAGAATCGGATGACTGCACGCTCGCGTCCGCACAGATCGGGGAGAGATGCAAAAGCATCGAGTCACGTGTCACGCTCATTCGCGTCAAAGCGAAAAGGGGAGAAACGAAACTTCCTCGTCGGCCTGGAACGAGGAAGACGCGACCGCGTGAACAGCTGCCACTGGAAAATGCTGACGGCTGACCCACGGGCAGATGACATAACGCATGACGCTGCACACGGTGCGTGCACGCGCACACACGCACAGGCCGTGTGGCATCACGCACACGGAGACGCACACGCGGACACGCTGCGCGACATTGCAGGAAAAACCTAAAATCAGCCTCAGGTCCTCTGCGGCGAGGATGCTGAGCTACTTTGGAGTCTCCATCGACAGCGCACAGGATCACAGTGCTGATGACAGCAGCCCCTCCCTCCTCCTCCTCCTCCTCCCCCCTTCTCCCCCTCACTTCCTGTCTGCTCCCCGTGAGAGAAAATAAATAAATACGCGTCGCTCCATCTTCTCCATCTTTTTTCTTCTGTGGTCCGCGTGGAATAAACGCCGTGTACTCACCGCTTCTCTCACTGCATCGGCGCGCTTCCCGGTTCTGCGCCTGTTTGCTGGTCTTGGAGATGCTCGCCTCACGCACAGCTCGCAGCTGCCACCATTTTGTGGTCACGTGATCTGGGCCGCTACCAAATAAGGGCAATCACCTGCTGCGGCGGCGGCTTCCTGCGCGGCGGTCCGACCGAATGGAGGAAAAACGGAGTTGTGTGTTTTTCTTTTTGTGGTTCTCATCCAGGACCGGAGGGGGTGAACTCTGCGGGGGGTCGTTTCTGCTCAGTAATGTGGGTCTGCGTTTAATGAGCCGGACTTCTGCAGCCACAATATTTAATCAGCCGTTGAATAAAAAAAGCAATAATCATCATCATGTGCTGATGATACTCACACCCTTTGCTGAGGGTCGTTAGGCAACTTCAAGTGTGTCCTTTGTATGCTGCATTACCACTGAACTTCCCACCCCTTAAATAATCAAGAAAAAGAAAAATACAAAAAAAACAACAGTACCTAAAGAGTCTCTCCTGTGATGTGAAAAAAGCGCTGTTGTCTGCACAGGTCGAACCTCGCTGGCCGACTGTTCTCTTACCACCGATCAGGCCCGTCAGACCTTTGAATGTTGTGGTGCAATGGTTCAGTACAAAGGTTGTTTCCACGGCGTGCCGATCCGTGTGACCACACCTGGAGCCCCAGCGCGCACACACACACACACACACACACACACTTCTGGTTAATCAGTACATTAGGAGATACCTGGGTTTCTTTGCTCACGGACACATGTTTTAATATCAATAAAAAGCGGCAGAGTCCAGCTAACAATTCCACAGGCTACGTGGTCGTTGATGCATTAACACAGCAGCATAAATACATAGTAAGGCATTCAGGTTCCCTGCAGGTTATTCTTTGACTTCCCCGTGTTCTCTGTACAAGTCTAATCTCGCTGTAAAAGCTGTAAAACAGGGAAGGTTGCATTTATAGTAGACAGGACTTTGTCTAACCAGTTTGATACGATTTGCTGATGAGTATCACGCAGCACGGAAACAAAAGGAACCCTTCTCTAATGTAGTGTGGTACAACTATTAACTGGCATTTCTCTTCCGTAGTAATATATGCTTCTTCAGAAATGGCACATTCTGTCCTCGTTTTTACAGTTATATAGATTAAGATAAGTGTCCCATACTGGACAGTGCACATTGATGTCTGTAAACAAGCTGCAGCCGACAGCATAAAATAGGTAAAAACGTCCGTGCGACTGTAAAACCCGGCTGCTTGTTCCTCGAGGGGGAAACAATCCCTTTGTCCTGCAGCTTATTCCAGGTTGAACAATCCAAGGTTTTCTGTGAAGAGGGTGTCTTTGACGGCCTTGAAGACCACCCGGATGCTGTTTGTGTCTGTGGCGCAGGTGTAGTGTTTGTAGAGGGACTTCGGATGCCCCCGGTGCTTTTCCACGTACATTTGCAAGATGAATTTTTCCGCAGCTCTTGCGTCACACTGAGGCCCTGTGGAGACAAATTACATAATTTCTTAACTACATAGTAAAGAGTCTAGACTATTGTTGGCAGATATGACTGTAAATGCCAATGGTCAATTAACATTTAGCTGTAGGTGCTAAATTTCCCACTGCAATTTATTTTCGATTTTAATTCATTTATTAGAAATATTCAGATCCTTTACTTAAGTAAAAGTACTTATACCACACTTTGAAACCACTCAAGGACAAGTAAAGCTTAAAATATTACTTCAGTAAAAGTAATTTAAGTATTAATTAACTCAAATTTATACTCAGGTTGGATACTCAAGTAACATACTTGTTACATTCCACCACTGCAAAATGTAAAAGAAAAAGGAAGAAACGCTTTGGAGAAACACTCCAAAACACAAGGAAACAAATTCTGGTCCCATTTCCTGCAGACGAATCAATTGATCTCAAACAGACCCGCTAATAAAATTTAAATTACCAGTAAAGTTCGGAAAGTACGTTGCCAGATGAGACCTCGTGATTTTCTCCTCTAGCAAGTCAGTTTTGTTCAGGAAGAGGATGGTGGAGGACTCTTGGAACCACGGGTACGAGAGGATGGTCTTGAACAAGGCGAGGCTCTCTCTCAATCGGTTCTGCAGGAGGCGAGACAAGAGAAAAGAATAATTCATGGGAATAATATTTGTTTTTTTGCAGCGGGACAAAAAGTTACTGAGAAATGCAGCGATGGCCAGAGAAGTAATAAAAAGGAGACAGATTTTGAAGGATTTGACCTTACGTCATTCTCATTCTCGTAAAGGACTTGATCGTACTCGCTGAGGGCCGCCAGAAAGATAATGGAGGTGACATTCTCAAAACAGTGGATCCATTTCTTCCTCTCTGACCGCTGGCCACCCACATCGACCATCCTAGAGACAAATGAGACCGTTGATGGAAGCAAAATATAAAAAAGGTTCTTCGATTGTTAAAGGAATCACTCGCCAATTTGAGAAATAAGACGTCATGCAAAAAAAATATGATGGGTATAAAAATGCCATGCCGAAAAAGTCAAAATATATTAGATAAAACATTTTCATGGAAGAAACATTTTAAAAGTATTAAGTTTGATCAAAAAATAAATCCGACCCGAAAAAGTCAAGGAAGACAAAATATACACATTTAACAAATGTCACAAAAAAAGGTCTAAATATTTGTGTTTAAGAAATGTTGTGGAATATTTTTTTTTATATATTAGGTATATTCGTAAAAGTAAATAATATTAGGTCAAAAATGTAATAAAAAGAGAAAATAGTTGTAAAAGTATCACAGAAAGAAATTTTAAAAGATTAGGTAAAAAATATCTTGAAAAAAGATTTAACAAATATTAGAAAAAGTCAAAATATACATGTTTAAAAAGTGTCATGGAAAAAAGTAAAAATATTTTAAGTCTTAGATTGTCAAAGGAATCATTTTTCATTTGAGCAATATACTCATTTGTGTTCTTGCACTTAGATTAGGACACCTAAAATGAAGATATGGCTTCACACAAATACACAAGGTAACAGGTTCTGTCCAAAGGTTAAAAAAAGCCTGAAGCACAATAATAATAATAATATAAAAACACACATTAATGTGTAATTCATTAATGAATGCATAACAAACAAAAACTTTGCACAGAGCCAAGCTAGACGTTTCCCCCTATTGACATGCTAAGCTAAAGCTAATCATCAGCTGTTTGTAGCATTGTATCAAGCATAGAGACATGAGTGCTATTGACCTTCTCCCGTAACCCTCGGCAACAAAAGCAAATGAGCATTTTTATTCAAACTGGCAAACTCAATTCGTAATAGCAACAATATAGTTTCCTTCAACAACGTTGTTCATTTGTGGAGTGCACCTACCTGAAGATGACATTTGAAAGGTCAAAGGGGTACTCTATGATGCCCGTGGTGGGGACCCTGACCCGCAGAATGTCTTGCAGGGTGGGGACGTACAACTGGGCTGTGATTCTGTCCATGTCGTCAAGGTAACTGAAAAGTTCACATCGAAACCACGTTTATTATCGGGACCAGAAAAAAGTGAGCGTTACAAAATCTGCACTAGTGACACGCATATTGATAACTAGGTTTTCTTATATTATTCTTAAATTGAAGCACTGCAAAAAGCTACACAAAAAAAACGTACTATTTGGCAGAGTCCGATAACTGGAACTCCCTCCTGCGGTCGTAGCACCTTTGGACACCGTGGTCATTCCACACCCGCTTGATGGCGTCCACCTGCCAGGCCTCCAGAGTGGACACCTGGGTCACCTCCACTTCCATCAGCCTCTGCGCTTGGCTCTGACACACACACACACACACACACACACACACACAGGATTATTTTGTTAAAACTCACATTTTCAATCTGCGATTGACCTATTAATAAACCAGCAGGAGGATGAGAATGCAGCTTTAACTCCATGGAGAACAAGGCGAGTACTGTAGAAATGAACAGAACCTCTATGGATAGAAGAACTTTACTGTGTCATAACAACCCGTCAGCGACACACAGGATTTGTTATGTAGCATTGGATAAAAGCTCAGTCCCTCTTCTTCTCAAAACCCTGCACGGTTTTCTCACAATGTTCTGGTCGTCGACGAAGTCAATCCGCAGAGTCCTCGTGGCTTGTATCAGCGCCTGGACGGCCGTGACGGTGTTCTGGAACACGAGGCGGGTGAAACTCTTCCTGTCAGCTTCACTGTATCCGGCGCCGTGGATGATCCTCATCTGTTTGATGAAAGTGCTCTTTCCACTTTCACCAGTGCCTTAGCAAATGAGAAGAACGAGGACCCAAGGATGAAAAGTGCAAGAAGATCAAAGCAGTGCCAGAAATGGGACGAGCACTCAAAAAAATTAAAATAAATGAATCATCTGAACATCAATCGGTTGCAGCTTCACAGGATTTCGGCATCAAAAAACAGAAACAAGTCGGTATTCCCAAACAATGCAGGAACATTTTTTGAAGCTCGGGTTTCTCGGGTGTTCATTGAGTGGATGCAGACACTCTGCTTCTTGAGGTCAAGGTTTGTGTTTTAATCCACACAAGTCATTGCAGAGCCACGGGCCTCCCGGTGAAACAGTTTCTTGCCGTCTGCTCGTTAATTTCTCTCGATAAGAGTGTCGGTTAAGCACCCAAATTGCAAAATGAGATGTTAACCATTAAACTGACCTTTAATGGAGAATTTTCTAATCTCCAAACCCAAGTTGAAGTTGAAAGCGGCGCTGACCTTTAAAACAGAGTCCTTCAGGCATGATATCCAACAGTGAAGCTTTAAGGAGAGGGCCGTTTTGAACCGTCTGGGAAATCAACGAAGCCGTAATTTATTTCATTCCACTCGTGTTTACTCGTCATCGTTAACGTTGTCGAAGTAAAAAAAAAAAAAAAGCTTTGCGCTGTGTGAAACATTCATGGTCTTTTTATGCCGAAAAAAGAAGGAAAGATGACGCCTGCATGCGTTGCAGCAAATGACCGTTGAATTGATCTTGAAGTCGTTCATTTCCCGGAGAACCACGTTAAGGATTTGTTTCACCCACAAAACGCACTTTTGTACATCAATTTCTCGCCGCGTGGGACCTTTACTTTTATGAAGAAAGGTTGTTCTTTTCCTGCAAACCTCCACAGTAACAGGAGATTCCCAACACAGGCAACGTAAAGGGAAGCCATGTTTACAGTACACGGTAGCCAACATGCATTAAATTCCAACGCCCGTAAATTCCAACGCCCGTAAATTCCAACGCCCGTAAATTCCTCACGCATTTTCAGATAAAAGAATCTGTGACTGCTTCCTCGTGTTTGCACATACGAGTCTTTTCTGTAGCCGAGGCTCCAAGTCTGTAAGATGTTGGTGAAAATACATTTCTTTTGTGAGCCTGTAGTAGCGAGTAGTGAGCATACGACCGGATTTCAAAGATGAAATATTCCTTTGAATTGGCTTATTTTTCACCAGCAGTTTTGTTTATAACAATATCCAGAAACTGGTGGTGGATCGATGCGTTTGATGGGGATGCTTTGTCCAGTGTTGTGAACGTTATGACTATTCTCTCAGCCACTGCAATTAACCTGCGGACGAGGATTTAGTGAAGAATTCAATTTAATTCATTGAAATTTTCTAAATCAATTAGTTCAACTAACACTTGCTTTTCGGCAAGACCGATATGAGAGTACGTCATAAATGTTAAAATATCTGATTATATAAAAAGATGGTCTCTATGTTAGCATGCTGGTGTTAAGACTTTGCTTAAAGCACTAATGGGAAATGTTGCACTCAGTAGGCTGCATCATTTAAGGTTTGCTGTTAAAAAGTTGAATAAAACTGATGTGGACCAAAATGAAATGCAACTTGTCAACTCTGAAGTCACGCAGGATCCATCACAGCTGGTTTACATGACTCAGGCAGCTCCTTTGTTCCAGGAGTGAGTCCGTACATAGAAACAGTAAATACAGTAGTCGCACCAGTAGCCATGAAATTCAGTATAAAGCCACCTATACATGAGCAGTTTTACTTTGTGAAGCATATTTTTAAAAAAATGGTATTTTTCAAAGTTGTGATGGGATGTATCCAACAATCATCCGTGAACTCCAAAAGGACGCTTCATTACGTAAAATCACACTCACCCAAGAGCAACAACTTCAGCTCCTGGTGGGAGCTTTTTTTATCCCGACGCAGCTGTCTCTCGATCTCTTTGTGCACCCGGAGTCTCTCCATCTCGTCGGCCGACAGGCAGCAGCCGTCCATTCTGCTTTCCCCAGGTCGACGAGCAGGGATGTGGGGACGGGGGGAGGGGGGGGTGAACTGAGCAGGCGTCTGCTGTCTCCAGCGACCCGTCCCGGAACAGGTGGCTCGGCGAGTCCGACCGCCTCACGGCGGATCCAGTTCAGGTGCATTCCTGGGGAGGCGGGCCGATGGGCGGCCACGCGCCCGGTGGGAGTCGGTTGCAGGCGGCACCGTGTGTGTGTGTTTGCTGAGAGAGCCATGCCTGCCCCCCCCCCTCCTCCTAAAAAAAACCAGTAACTCTATACAGGTGGGGAAACATCATGCAGCACAGCCAGGTGCATTATACTAACATCTCTGTGTGAACGTGTTCAATCCACAGAGGGAACCAGAACAATGACACCATTCATACGGGTTAATTAAAAACCAGCCCAGGTGACTCCCTGGTGAAGCTGGATGAAGGAATGCCAGGAGGGTGCAACGCCATCATCGAAAACAAAAGGAATTTACCCTGAGGAACCTAAAATATTTGATGGTTTCTTTTTAGGTTCATGAGTAGGGGAGGAATGTCCTTGGCATCGGCTCAATGGCTGCAGGCAATTTCAAGCTACAAAGCCAATTATCAACATTTAATATTACAATATTTGTAATAACGGCAGTGATTTACTATGCCGAATAAATAATTGTTATATTATTAATAATGACCTGTTTCTAATGCCATGTGCTTCTGCCACGTTCCTACCACACGTCGCCGTGTGCAGCACCCACATTATGGGCCGCCGACAGAAGGGGGGGCAACACCTCACCAGAGGAGCTGCCCCGAGGCCCCCGAACACAAAACCCCCGAAGGCCCGACCAACCGGCGCGCTTAAAAACGGACAAAAGATGAAAAACGGAGCAGCAAATGTCTGTTTATTTATCCGAGCACATTAACAACACTAAGGCCGCATTAAGATATCGCAGTGAAAGCTAACCATAAATTAAACTGCTTAAATTAGGCTGTGATTATTTCTGACGGGAAGAAAGGGGTCGTGTAAACATTCGTGCCGTGGATTAGCTCTCATTAGCTTTTTAGTCATGCATTTAGGAAAAAACAAAAAGAAAAAAAACAACAAGATCAAATGTGAAATGGAGAGACAATTGAACATAGCAGTTGTCTCTTGGGATTAGTCTCTCCACACGGACCTTGATGCGAACCAAAGGTGAAAACCGCCAACGTACCGCGTGATATTTACAATATGCAGTCAGACAAAAAAAATTAGTAAAAATGTCAAAAAGCTTTACAGATATTACAGCAAATGGTTTTCAAGCCAAACAGAACACTCATAGTCCCCGAACGGCATGAATCTTTGATGCTGCAGCTTCAACAAAAGAAAGACTTGTACTGGTTAAAATACACATTAACGCTGTGCTCACTAAAAGTGGTTTAGGATTGAATAATGCCATCAAAGACAAAAGTGTAAGTGTACAAATTCTTATAAAACTTAAAATGAGGTTATGGAAATAATAATACCCAAACAAGTGAGGTGCAACAGAACATCAGCTCAAACAGCTATGGAATAACGTCATGTGTGTTTTTAGTGTTAATGATTACTGGTTTGCCTTCAAGCCGAGACACAAACTAAGTGTTTAGAGTATTTAACCCACTTTGACGTGAAATAAAACAATTATTAACAGCTCGGGTAGTGACGCGAGGTGCTGCATTGCAGCGTGTCACTTTCCAAAGATTCCCTGAAGGAGAAACTCGGCTACATTACATCAAGTCCTCGGAGGCTTCGGGGGCCATGGAAATAACCCCCTCCCCTCCCCCCTTAATTCATCCATGTGCATTTATATCGATACTGCTCGAAAAACCTTAAGAGCTCCATAAATTCCAGAGTGCATGCTGTAATAGACTCCCCACTTAGGCAGCACTCTAATTGTCAGGACACACTTCGTTATAGCTGGAGACGTCCGCTTCCTCGCAGGGAAATTTGAAATATATCAGTAGTCATTTGGCGGAGAGCTCCGCAGCTTCTCCATTTTTCCTGCCGTGGATCGTAGTGTTCAGCGGGCAGAGGTCTGCGGACCGCCGGCTGCACAGAGCCCGGCCCGACGGCAGCAGCCCTTCAGACCAGGTTGTAGACCTCCAGGTTGATCTGCAGGATGTGGTCCTTCACCGCCCTGAACACGAAGCGAATGTTGTCCGTGTCTGTGGCGCAGGTGAAGTGGGAGTAGATGATCTTCTTCGCGTACGGGTTGAGAGCGACGAACATATTTAAGATGAATTCTTTTCCTTCCTTGACGTCCTGCTGGGGGCCTGGAGGAAGGCGACAGAGAGCAGCAAACATGCGTGAGAGTCACTGTGGTATTTCTAAGTCTGGGGTTAAGAATACAAGACACACACACACACACACACCGAAGGCCTGCCAACAGACAGGCGCCTGGTGTGACCAATGAGTTTGATCTCTTTGACAGATTGATGGGTTTTACTGCTTATAAATCCAACTTTTCCTCTGGCGTATTTCTTCTTTTAAGACACAATCACAGTGTGTGTGTGTGTGTGTGTGTGTGTGAGAGACAGAAAGAAAAACGACTCATCATCCCCCTCAGCTGCATTTCTGATATTGTTTGCCAAGAAAAAATAGCTTTCACTTACCATCATATTGGGGGAAGTAGTCTACCAGATGGGAGTGCATAATCTTCTCTTCCAGTAAGTCGATCTTGTTGAGGAACAACATGACCGAGGATGACTCGAACCACTTGTAGTTTATGATCGTACGAAACAAGGCCATGCTTTCCTCCATGCGATTCTTTGAAGAAACAAACACGCATCGTTGTGGTATTAAAATACGAGCAGTGATCTATTGGCTCTAATCTTATAGCTATATGTACATATATATTTATGCATCTCCTCTATGGTGCACGTTGCTGAACAGAGCGACTAAAGAGCTCCCCCTGCAGGTCAACAAAGCACAATGCCAGAGAGAGAGAGAGAGAGAGAGAGAGAGAGAGCGAGAGCGAGAGCGAGAGCGAGAGCGAGAATAAAGAGACTGGTGGCGGTCTGCAGAAATCTAGGTCATCATCTTCACCCAACAGGTTCGGCCTTAAACAAAAGAAACAATGTCCCTTTGTGTCCCCCCTCTGTGATCTTCTTGATCATCCCAAACAGAGCCCCTTTCCTTTCCCACCCACGGGCCAACAAAACGCACATGGGGACAGAGGGGGATCTGTCGGGCGTCTCACCTCATTGACGGACTCGACGAGAACCTGGTCGTACTCGCTGAGCGCCACCAGAAACATGATGGACGTGACTTCCTCAAAACAGTGGATCCACTTCCTCCTCTCAGACCGCTGGCCGCCCACATCCACCATCCTGCGGGTGGAGAGGCGGAGGGGGGGGGGGGGGGCGTCATGTAAATGAATCCTCATGCGTCGAACGTGAAGCCCGTTCAGCACGATGAACGAAGGTCACGGGGTCGCACCAGTTAACGGGTCGGTGGCATTTCAGGGTTCAAATTCACCGCTAGTATCAGAACGTGGACATTCTTATTGGGATGTTTTGGTTTGTTTTCATGACAACGGGAAAACTGCCGTAGCTTGCCTTTGCTACAATAGTTTTTTTTTTTTAAAGCTGCTAAATTCTAAATTTCAGAGCAATGTTAAAGCAGCAAAGAAACATTCGCTATGAAATTATTAGAGCAAATTAATGTCTACGTGAGAGGAGAATGAAGTCCGTCCACCCTCTGACTGCGCGTTCGTTAGCACATGTGAGATTCTCCGCTTGCTAGCTAATCGCGCTCCGCTTGCTAGCTAATCGCGCTCCGCTTGCTAGCTAATCGCGCTCCGCTTGCTAGCTAATCGCGCTCCGCTTGCTAGCTAATCGCGCTGTTGTCATGGAAACGGAGCAAAACCACCGCCACCCTCATGTTCCGCCTCTCCCAATCGTTGTTAGCTGCTGAGAGCTCTGACATTGGAATTTAAAACATTTGGCTCATCCACTTTAATGTAACTCATTAATAAGGAAACAAAACAGACCTTCGGAACGGCCGGATTTCACATGGCTAATGAAACGTGAGACGGCACCAACGAGCAAAACAGGACGATGGACCTCTTACAATTAATTATTAAAGGAAGTGGAGCTGTGCTACAACAAGACTATTAAAGAATAAACACAACATAATGGCTTCCTCGTGTATCCCACTTCCACAGCGGCGCTCTTTGGTCTGCTCAGAGGAATCGGGTAGAAACCGTCGCGCCGACGGCGACAACGTAAAAAACACTCACCTGAAGATCACGTCCTCCAGGTCAAAGGGGTACTCGATGATCCCCGTCGTGGGCACCCGGACCCTCAGGACGTCCTGCTGCGTCGGCAGATAACCCGGATCAGCAATCCGTCCCAGGTCGTTCAGGTAGCTGTGGACACGGGAGGACGGTCAGAGGGCGACGGAGACAAAACGTTCACGCTTCACAGAGGGTTTCGGTCTCGGGCGACGTCCCCGTGAGTCAGAGTAAACAACGGGGGGGTTTCTTTGCTTCCGCTCCTTTTGTCAACACCTTCCAGTGAGCATTCAACCGACGGCGAGCAGGTGAAACAGTGGAAAGCGTTCGCGGATGGTCGTCAGCTCCTGTTCACACTCACTATTTGGCCGAGTCGGACAGCTGGTATTCCCTCTTGCGATGGTAACACTCCTGAATCCCAGGGTCGCTCCACAGGCACTTGATGGCGTCCACGTAAACGTTGCTCAGCGTCGTGACCCTCTCCACGTCGACCACGCGGACGAGGCCGGCGTTTTCCTGGACAACAGTCAGAGGGAATTAAGAACATTGGTGTCACGTTCGTGTGCTCTGGACTTGTTATTGAAGCGCTGAGAAAGATACAGTTCAGCTGAAATGTTGTTATTATTAAGGGAGGAGGGGGGGGGGGTCGTTGGGTTTATCTCCCACACCAGATGTGCCGCGTTATGTCGGGGGGGGGGACCTCAGGCTCGTTTATTACGTCCCTGCACGTCTCTTTCACCGCTTCAGACAGAACGCTCTGTAACGCACAGCCGGTTCCGTACTGCTGATCTTGAGGCTGCAGGTCTGATAAGAGACGGCGCCTCGCTCGTCCCCGGCACCAACCGCCGGGGGCTCTGTTCGTTTTTTTTTAACGCTGCCTCCGACCCGAAGCTTCCGGAGAAAACTGAAGGGAGACGGAGTCTCGATGCGCCGCCAAGAAAACGCCTATTTCAGAAGTAACGGATGCACTGACTGAGACACAGAGAGGTGAACGTGGTACAAAGGCTGCTTAGCGTTCGCCGAGACTTCTGGGGACTCCAAATATCTCTATTGTACCACTACTGCCCTCCTTCATCCAGGATTAATCACAAACATTTGGATCCAGTGAGCAAAAAAAAAAAAAAAACCTTCTGCACTTTCCCAGATGTAAAAAAATGATCTTTACGCACTGAAAATGGGTTTGACCTGATTATTACACCTCCGTTAAAGCCAATAACAGCAGTGTATTCTGTAGAGATGTTTGCAGGCTTTTCCCCATACAATATGCACAAGTACAACAGTTTCCTGTTTAGCTGGAATTCCAAAAAAAACAAACAGTGACATTTGTTTGTAGTGGCTCGTTTTTTACATTTTCTGAGGGGAAGCCAAACCTGCATCTTTTAAAATTGATTTCACGGCTTCTGCTTCGGCAATTTCATGCTCCCGGTCTTCTCGTTGGAGAAACGATGGGACAAACTTAACGGGATTCCTGGAAGCGGATAGGCCACCCTTTTTTCTGTTTATCCATCTCCCCGTTTGCTGAGCTGAGATCAAGAGATCCTGGCAGTTTATTTCCCCTCGGGGGGCAAACCAATAAACATGGAAGGAAAACCCCTTTTTGCAATAAAATCACATCGTGATGAAATCTTTAAATATTAGTAACAATTAGTACTCGCTCACTTTTTCTTAGATAACGTCATTGGAGGGGGGAAGTTTTGTCTTTCCATCACCACTCAGAGCAAAGCAATTAACAATCTAACTGGCAACCATCCAGACAAGCTTCTCCAACCCCCGAGCTCCATTACCCAGAATACAACACTGCGTGCAGCTCGGGCCGTTAATAGCATGACGATGCAGAATAATGTGTACGTGTCCACTTGCACACAACAAATATGAGTAGAGTTTTCAACAACAGCGAGCCGAATTTCTTCCTTCATTCAGCTTTATTACACAACTCCAGCATGGCGATATACAGGAACCCTGCTTACAGGAAAGTTACATCGAACTAACTAACTCTAGGTTGGAGTGATGCTCGGGTGAAATAAAGCTGGTTGACAAACAAAACCGTTGTCTAACTTTTATTTTGAACATGCATGTAAAAACAGTTAGAAAAACGCATCGGATTTGTGTCTATAATCTCCCCTGGAACTAAAGTTCTGAATTAAATAAGAAGATACTCTGACAACGGAGCACAAAAGAAGATCATGTACACTATTATTTTATTAAAAAGATATTGCGATGTATATATTTTTGAAATGACCAACATCGCCATAGAGGACTTTGCCCGCATTGCCTTTCTCCAACCAGCTTGCTGAGTCCCGTCCCCTTAGCAACCGTTACCAAGCCAAGCCGCCCCTTCTCACAAAGCACATACCGGGAATGATGAGACAGCCGTTCAGGCCTTTAATTACCCCAACTGAGGAGGCCACCAGGCCTCTGAAGCCGGCAGTTATTAGTGAACAATCTGCTCCCTCCAGATTCCCGTTAAAACATTCGTTAATGTATTACGTCGTCACTGGAACCTCCACGCTTCCTGTGTCTGTTTCAAATTAAAAGCCCGGTGCAGTTTCAGTTGACGGTTTAAGTCAGCGGACGGTCACTCCCACTTGACCCGTCCGACCTACGGCCTCTCCCCCGCTTCAGCACGGGATGTTCAGTGACAAACGCACAGAACATCAGCGGCGTCAGAGAAAAACCTACGTGCTGAGTCAGACTCGCCTAATGCTGCCAAAGGTCCTCAGCGGTCACATGACCACGACACCACCCCACCTCTCCTGCCTCCTTCATCGGACAGCCCTCACAGGAAGTGGCCTCCTCCTCACCTGGAGCTTCAACTTAGGCTGCGCGGTGGCCGACTCGTCTCCACCTGCCTGCCGGGGGTTAACATCACCAACAGAGCTCTCTGGCAACCGGATGGCAAAAACTAAACACCCTTTATTTACCAGAAGCACTTCTCCCCTAAAACACGGCTGCGTCGGTGTCTGGGACGGTAAACCACGCCGCAAAGCCTCCGTTGGACACAGTGTGGTTGAGCCTCTCAGTCCGAGAGCGCGTGAAGGAGCGAGGACAGGAGAAGGAAACAGCAGGCCGGTCTACCTTGTTCTGTTCGTACTTGTAGGGGATGTTCAGCGTGCTCATGGCCTGGATCATGGCCTGCATGGCTGTGAAGATGTTCTGGTAGACGAGCCGCGTGAAGCCCCTCTTGTCCTCGTCAGAGTATCCGCGGCCGTGGATGATCCTCATCTGCTTGATGAAGGTGCTCTTCCCACTTTCGCCGGTTCCTGCGCGCCGACAGACGGGCGACATTAATGCACGCGCACATGTTCTCTTTAGGGAAGGCTGGCGTCATTTACATACATACTTCCAATCGGCAACAATCCCTGTTTAAAAGACCAGAAGTAACGTGTGTGGTTGGTTCCTGGGACTGATTATCGACAGTAAACCAGGTTAATAAACCTTTTAAACACCCGCTAGCAATCAGCATTGCAGCATCGTCACTGTGAGCCTGTTAGCATGCAGATGTTAGCATTTAGCTCGAGGCGACACCGGGCCAAAGTGCAGGGTAAGAGATCCACATCACACGTTTCTCACAGACGCAGTTCCTTGCTGGTTTAGATCTCTTCATGGGATTTGTCGAGGACATTAAAAATATGTACGACAACCCCTGTCTGTACTTGTACTTTCTATAATGCGGTCTTGAAATGACTGAATTTATATGTCTGTGTTTGGTCTTATTTCCGGTTCCCTGCAGGTCTTCATTCCTCTAAGAAACAGAAATTGCAGCATTTCCCTCTCTAGCTGGTGAAGTTGAAATGATTCATTGGAAACGGTTACAGGGGGAAGTGATTAGCTTGTACGTTTCAACAATAAGAAGCAGACATACGTACGTACGGGTTTACACTGGATGTGATTATTTGAATTCACTTAAACCGTACATGCTACACATCTGCCTTTTACACCCAAACAACTAGTTACACATTCAGTATGAGTCAATCCTTTCAGAAAGAAGAACAACTGTAACCAAGGTGACCACATTCACCCTAAAGTCTCTCGCAGCATTGCTGATGCATCCTCGTCACGCAGCACCAACAACACAAGGCCTCTCGGGATCATCGGCCAACACACATTTATCTACACAACCGGACCGCCAAACACTAAATATTCCTTTTAAAGCACATCGCGTAAACTTGCACAATTCTGCATTATAATAAAACTCCCACGATAGCGTCAATAACTTTCACCTGCAGGAGTGTTTTAATACATAGTGGCGTGTCACATGGAATTAAAAGGATCAGAGTCCTTCCTACGCTACTAGTTATGATGATAATACATTTTGATATTACGCTGTGGTGTTGCTGTGTACTTTTATATTATGGAGTACGCAACCTGCAAAGTAGCATCATCATCATTATTATTTACCGGACACCTTAAACGCATCATTTTCCTCTCAAGTACTTAAAAGGAGCTTTAACACAACGTGTATTGTTTCCATTGCACGAAGTAAAGTGGAAAATACTGAATTAAAAGGCCTTCATTTAAAATGTGTTAAAAGATGAACAAATAGAAATTATAACTACTAATTTAACAAAATGGCACACGAACAATGTTGCAACTACGCTGAACTACGTTTGTACTTTGTGTATTTCATGCTACTCCTAGTTAGGATGTTACACATAACAAACTAATGATCACCATAAAATGATGCACTTATAATAAAGATGCACTATTAATAAACTACAGTATCGAACACTAGTACGCTGGCCAACGTTGACCTTTGATCGTGTAGGTTTTCCTTTAACTGCATTTATTAATCAATGTTTTACACCAGTATAAACCACCGATTAATCCCGTCGCACGAGCACCACAGAGCGGCTGCGGCTGTCGTCCCTTACCGAGCAAAAGGAGCTTGAACTCCCGCCGGGAGTCCTTCTTGTCCCGGCGGAGCTGCCTCTCGATCTCATCGTTGATCCTGCGAGCCTCCTTGGCCTCCGGGCTCAGGCAGCAAGCGCCCACGGAGCTCAGCGTCATTCCTCCTGCACGCACACATACACAACGTTATACAAGAGACACACACACAACACCAGTGTCCTGGAGTCAATGTGCAGAGTCCCCGCTGCGTAGTTTAAAAACACACACACACACGACTGTGGAACCGAAAGTAACTTAATTTGCAGGAAGCCGAGGAGTTGTCGTGTTACCTCGTTGCTCTCCTCGCGTGTTCGGACGGAATCAAGTTCGTGCAACAAACTTGAGGAGAGAGACGCGGCGGCGAGTCCTTCCTCCGGGCGTGGTGCGCCGAATATGGCGGAGTTTCACTTTCACAGCGAAACGCACACAAACAAAACTACACAAAGCTTGCTGAGAAACAAACACGGACTTGCTGTGAAACAACACAAAAACCGTCTGCTAAACACACACACACACAGACAGACAGACACACACCGGCTGCAGTCGGCGGGCCGCGCGGAGAAGAGAGGGATGCTCGCGGGGCGCGTGAAGCGTTGTGATTTGTCCCGTCGGCTGTCGTGGATCGCGGCGGATCACGTGACCCGAGGGCTGGTCTGCGATGGGAAACCGTGCGCGCCTTCTCTCCGGGACCAGCACGTCGCGGGGACCCGTTTCCGGTGTGAACCGGTGGACTGCGGGTGCGCGCGACAGCTGGGAGCTACAGGCGGACACGGTCCACCAATTAAAGACACAATTACAATAAAGTTGTGTGTTAAATTGTATTAAAATATAATAAACACACACACACGTGAGTCTTTGATGAGCTGTGGCAAACCACTTTATTTAGTAAACTGTAGGCTACTAGAGATATGAGATACAGATGTGAGCAGACACAAAACTCAAGGTTCCCCATATCAAACATCTGCAGTTAGGGGTTCCCCCCCCCCCCCCCCAAATAAAATAACTTCAAATCAATTTTCAATATTAGAAACACTTCTGCAAGAATAATTCGATCAAACAGGGTGGATGTTTGAGTTGCAATGCAGCCTGTTGAGTGTGACGGAAAACAAATAAGACAAGAAGAGAAACCACACAAACCGGTTTTATGGCGCCATATCCTGCCAAGAGAATAGAGTAGTAAGTAATCAGGGCCTATCTAACCGAACCACTTCTGAAATGACTGTTGCTAAGCAAATATATACACACATGTTTTAGCCAGCTTCATTCTTTGCAGAAACAAAGATATTTTGTCTTACTGCAATCACACTGGCACATTCATCCAAACTGAGAGCAGAAATAAAATGTCATTTCGGGAAACAGAAACGGCTCGCCTGGCTCCTTGAACTATATCCATCACACACATACACACACCCACGCACACACACGAGCGCGCACTCTAAATCTACGCCAGAATGAGAATAAACGAAAATGTTTGACGACGCCTTTAAAAAGAACCTACCAGAAAGCACTTTATTTATGAGTGGAAAAAGATACAGGAAGTTGTAAAATAAACGGTCTGAAAACATGCATGTTGATTCAGACACGAGTGAGTAAGCGCTGGAGGGGGTAAATAAGACAAACAAATCTCACATAATGTTCCGTAGAAAAAAAGATTACATTCTGCATGCTGTACTGAAATGGGAGATAAGGGCTCGAGTGGTGTGCGTGTGGGGGGGGGGCGGCAGCCCACAACACCAAAAAAAAGTTATCACACAGATGACTTTACTCCAATGACGGCACAGGAATCAAATTCAAAATAATGACACCGGTACAGAGACGTGTTGGCTGCTTGACAGCGTAGGCTTTCTCTGTTGTGGTTTCTTTCGATGGCGTTGGGTGTGTGTGTGTGTGTGTGTGTGTGTGTGTGTGAGAGTGAGAGAGAGTAGTCGCCCGGGAAGGAGGCCAAGCAGAGGAATGTCTGCTCTGAAAAGTAGGAAACAGTGTGGCAGCATGGCTTCACTCTTCTCATCCCTCTTCTCAGAAGAAGCGACCAGAGTACTGCCTCACACTGAAAAGGGAGACAGACGAAGGGGCATTTTATTACAACATCGAGGATGCTCATTCCAACCCGAACGGGACACGACGACCAGCTTTGCCATTTAGTAGTGGGGGGGCGGGACATCTGATCGGGAGAGGGTGTGGGGGGGCACCGTGTCATTTTGTTCTTGCATAATGTGCAAATTTAAACGTTTATCAAAGATTGATAATTGTTTGAAATGTCAAGTCTATAAAAATTCCATTTATTATTCCGTGCAAAGCAGCGAATGAATGAACAAAACTATGGACAACAATCTTTTACATCAAATGTTCATATTTCACCAGCTTACAAAACACACCAACTCACAGGAGGACCAGAAAGTCGGCTCAAAGTTAAAGCAGCTAAAATAAGTACTACTACTTCCGGGCATCGGAGCACATGGGGTCTTGTAGGAGGGGGTCACAGGAGCACGTGCCTGTTCTGCAGCAGGTACTGGGCGTTCTGGATCTGGTCCTGTGTTCCTGTGATGGTGATGATGCGGTCCTCGGAGCCCTCTAGTGGTTCGTCTATCTTGATGGACGCCCCGGACTCGTGGCGGATCTGCTTGATCCTCTGGCCGCCCTTACCGATGATGGAGCCGGCCAGCTGCACGACCAACACACACACACACACACACACACGTGTTTTAGTTTCTGGCTTTCCTCACAGCAGAGAGAGTCGGGCCTGTTTTTATTTGTCTGTTTGAGGGAACTCGTGTCTCACTCACATCTTTCGGGATGGTGACTTGTGTCGTGACGACTGGGCCTCCAATGTCGCCGTACGAGCCTCGGCCACCTTCAAAGCGAGAGGGGAGAAAGTGGGGAAAAGTCTGTAACTAGAGCGCGCGACGCGAGGAAAGGGACCCGGCGGGTTAGGAAAACGAGACACGAGGACGAGAATAATCCATCCGCACTCACCGGACTGAAAGCGCTCCCAGGAAGAAGAATTGTTGTCTTTGGAAGCATTGTAAAGGCAACAAGAAAGTGGAAAAAAACACACACACACACACACACCACAGAGACGAGAGATAGTGAGATAAAGAACAAGACGTACAGCGAAAGGCCATGACAAATACATTCTCCCTCTTTGTGCCGTAGCAAATAGCGTTAGCCATCAGGCTGCCAGGCAGTTCGTTAGTAGATGGACCCTTTCAATTTAGAATGGTTTAAAAAGATGGACATCGTTAAAACAAACACAACATTCCATTATGTAAGTACTGGATGAAGTCAGTATTTAACGTTTACTCTCATGTGTTGGATTTGACCCTGCGCGTGTGTGCACATCTTTACATTTGGGTCTTCGATGTTTACATAAACTCAACACCCATGAAGAAATGGGAATATGCAGTTGATTTGACCCACCGGCAATGAAACATTTTGAGGTTTGTAAAGATAGATGTCATGGCAGGGTTGGTTTATTGGACTACATTAAACTGTTATAGGGTTCTTAATAAAGTGGACAGAGAGCGGTGGACTCGTAAACTAAAGGAACAGAACATGTGACATGAATGGTGAATGAAACAGTAACACTCACCATATCCACCTCCACTCTGCATTTCAGGGTTGATTTAAAAAAAAGAAGGTAAACAGTTTCAATCAGGCAATAATGGCAGAACTTGTGTTTTATGTACAATACAAATAAACTAAACATTCTATGGCTGCTATTGGTCAGGATCATCAGTCTGCTTCATATTTCACTGTTCAGTGACTTTTATATTTATTTCATCCAATTCCACTTTGTCTGAAAAGTACATTGTTGGTTCTGGATCTGAGGCCTGCGGGTGTTTCTGGAAGTGAAATAATGTGGAATAACGATGTTCTGGAGCTCATGTTTTCTCACAAATTAATTGATTGATTGATTTACTGGTGTTCATTTGATCAAATGTATTCTTTGCCTTGTTTCTTGAAGGAATGCGTTTGGTCAGGTTCATTTGCTAGCCCGGTGCATCTCTGGACTACGTACTCGGCTGCTCTGTGGTAACCACGGAGACAACGTGTTGCCAGGCAACAACAGGCCTACAATGAGCGTGCATACACAGGGAAAAAGCGGCACAGTGTCCGCGCCTCCGTGCTTGTGCTACAACCAGAAAAAAAGGAATTCCAAATCACATTATCGGAAACGTGTTTCACAAACACACAACCGGGAGGCTACAAGGACGCGGCCCGGCACCAGCGCAGCGCCCGTGAACACGCACGGCACTCACCAGGCTGTCGTAGCGATCTCCTCCTCGGCCCCTTCTGTCACTACAGACAAAAAGTAAATAACAATACAGACGTATTAATACCGTCTCGCTGTAGGACACTTAACTCTACAGTATCCAGCGGGTCAGAGCTCTTAAATCGGTATTCAGAAAGACAAAAAAAATGAAAGAAAAAGGACCAGGATCAGACTCTGAATCCGCCGCCGAGCGACGACTTAAACGGACGTCTGATGCTTTCTAGAGTAACAAAACGATTGACATTCCGGCTGCGCGCTCACCTCGGCCTGTCGTCCATGCCGCCACGATAGCTGCCGTGTGAGAACCCGTCGCCCCTGCAGACGATGACGGACAAGAAAAAAAAAAAAAAAGATCATGAATGTATGACTGCATTCAAGTATCGAAGGGCACTTTCAATCAGGTCACAGGTGTGAAAGCGGCCACAGTCAGCGGGGCTTCCTCGCTCACCCTCCTCGCGTCGGTGCGGGGGCAGAGGCAGGTTACGCGCCCGGCTCCCCCCTCGTCCGCCTCTGCTCAGCGGCGGCGGTGGCGGGGGGCCGCGGCGGGGGCTTATGTCGTCGTAGTCCCTCCTGGAGGGCGGCATGGGTCTGTTTCCGCGCAGGGGGGGCAGGCGCTCGAAGCCGCCGCCGCGCACCGCGGACGGCGAAGCCGGCGACGGGCCGCCTGCCTCGCTCCTCGAACAGCGCGGTGAAGCCGCCGTAGTCGTACGTCTCGTCGTAGAAGTTGGGGTCGTACGGCTGAGCCCGCCCTTTGATGGGCGCCTGAAGGATGACACGGAAGGAGGAACACGTCTGGCGCGGCACGACATCACGCGACTACGCACAAGGTGCGCGCGTCTCACAGGTGGAAACCCACCTCTGACACCAGCTCCAGGATGACCTTTATACATTCAATGATGCGCTCCGGCTTTCCTCCCACCAACACCACCCTGTCGGTGGAGTGCGGGCAACACTCCTGGAACAGCTTGATAGTGGTCTGGGTGTTCTAGTGCACAGACGTATGAAAATGCCAGACTTAAATCCAGAAAACACAATTAGTACTCACAAGATGCCAGAAAAAAGAAAAAAAATATTCTGATTTCATCTTCTGCTAATCTGGACTCTGTCCTACCTCTCTCAGCTCCTTTATCTTGGCACCTTTTACCCCGATGATGCCCCCTGCCAAGCTCTGATGGATCAGCAGGCGAAGCTCCGAGTCAAAATCAATCCCGCTGTAATGCTGGTACTACGGAAACACAAAGCCAGATCAGTGCGCTCAGCTTTTCTGCCATTAGATCCTCCAGTTGCCGCGTTTACCGTTTACATCCACTTGTGGTACGTACATAAGGCCATTAGGAGTCACTCATTGCGTTAGTATGCTTTTGTTAACAATTCACAGAAATAGTTGGTCCTTCATTTATACACACACAATCATAATTGCACTGTTGGCAGTCTCAGAAATGAACCTGAAAGCTGAACACGGAACGGCTGATTTGGAGGAGCTCACTAAAGAAACCATTGAGTAGTGAGAAAATCACCAAAAAACAACAAGAACCTGCAGAGCAACGACAGTCTAGACAAAACGTTCTTACTTGGAGCTTCACAAAAGGTGGTGGTTATGGTTATTAAGAGTTATGCTTTAGGTTGTGTTATGACGCGCACAAAATGTGGAGCAACAACCACGTGTTTGATGTTTGGACACATCCTGTGTGACAACTTCCAAAGAGTCTCGACAAAACGAAAGGGTTACTAGTTGGGACGAGGCAGTTTGGTCGCATTGTGTGTATCCAGAAAAATTTGAATCCAGCACCTTCGGTGCTAAAATGTTACAGATCCTGACTCCACATGCTCACAAGCTGGCATCTTGTATTCTTCCCTGACTTGATTGGTCAGGTTGAACAAGCGCAAAACCTCCAAACGAAAGAAAAAAAACCCTCGGTGCCATCATTCACCCTGGTGGGGGGGGGGGGGGGAAACTTAATGAATGGGGTAAATATCGGGGCGCTCACCTCCTCTAGAGTTGGGATGATTTTCAGCAGGATGTCTCCGATGGTGTCGATGCCGGCGTTCACACTCAGGATTCTGCCCGCAACCATTTCGGCCAAATAGGAAGAAATGCGTTACAAAGGGGGACGACAGGCAGACAACAAAAGCAAGGGAAGATTTAAACAAAAATAAACGTACACGAGGCAGCGAGGCCGACGGTCACAGACGAAAGGTTTAAAAAACATACAAATAAAAAAAAAATTTTAAAAAAGAAGAAACGCAGACTGCTGCTCACGTCACACAACTACAACCTGACGGAGCAAACAGCGCACATGCACGCAATCTAATATTATTTCCAAAGTAACAGAACCCTCGGGAGGAAGGGCAGCTTCAGAACGGCTGGATTTAGAGTGAGACTGGCCACAGAGAGCTGGGGGTGAGGGGAGGGGGGGGGGGGGGGGTGAGAGAGAGAGAGAGACACAGATCTTTCTACGACCAATTGCACCACCAGCAAGTCGGGGGAAGAGGGAACGCGACAAACTCAAACATACTCCTGCCTGAACAATTGCACCACCAGCACACCTTCTTCATTGTGACTAGAGGGGGTGGAGGAGGAGGGTAAGAGTGTGGGGGGGGGGGGGAGCAGTAGAGAGGAGTAACAGAGCATAGGGGTTGAGGAGCAGGAAGAAGTGCGAGTGCTTACCAACTACTTTGTGGGGTGCAGGAGAGGGGGGGGGGCAGCACAATGAAATAATAGACACGACAGTAATAAGTGACGGAGCGGGGGGACGGAGGAGGGGGGGGGGGGGGGGGGGGGGGGGGGTGGGGGGCGAAAGGCTCCAGACAAGCCAGCGCTCTCTCAGAAGTCATGAACAGGGATGTTGACAATAGAGTGTGGGGGGGGGGATGTTCAGGGGGGGCACAGAAAACAGAGAGAGAAAAAGATGTCTGATTTCCAGTTTTATGGTAAAGAAAAAAAAACAAACAGCTGCGTCGCGGTTCCGTCTATCCGTCAGCGTCTCACTGCGTGGCCCAAAAAAAAAAAAAAAAAAAAAAGGAGATGCTGAAAATGGACACAAAAGAAAGGAACAGTACACGTGTCTTACAGGTAGAGCTGGCGGGGGAGGGGAGGCGGGGGGTGGGGATGGGGGGGGGTATACTGTCATGTATAGAGAAACGTTAACATGAAACAGAAGGCAGGTTATCACAGACATGTGTGTCGCTGTTCTAATCAGGCAGTGAGGCAATAACTGGTGGGACATACCGCTCTGGGCCACTGCTGTCTGGGACTGATACACTGGCATTGTACTGCATGGGCCGAGGTGGTGGAGGAGGTGGTGGTGGTGGTGGTGGTGGTTGTGGTGGTGGATGTTGGCATTGGGCGGGGGGGCATTCAATCACAAGATGTCAAGTTAGGTGCCCATTTAGGCGGGGGGCGCGGTTTGGGGGCGGGGCCAACCGGGAGTGTCGGGTGGGCGGGCGTTCAGGAGGAGGGGCATGTCGATCCGGTACGTGGGCAACGGAGGAAGGTGGCCAAAAATATAAACAAAAAAAAAAGTAAAAGGAGAAGGGAAGAGGGGGAGAAGGAATACATTTTTAATTGAATGCAGGCTATACTTGTGAAATGAGAGACTCGAAACTAGTGAGTGAAGAAGAACAGGAAGTGACCTGGACAAAGTATAAAAGAAAAGAAAAAAAAAAACAGTCTGGAAGTTCCCGTCCCTGAGAATATATCCTCCCAGGCACCTGTTGTCGCTTCAAGGTCGTAGCTTCACCTCTGCGAGGGGAACTGGAATCGGGTTGAGAGTCACAAGAGGACTAGAGGACAACAGCTCTGTTCTACCGAGCTCTTTCCCTTCGGCCCACGTGGGCCGACTGGGTTACATCGTTTTTGGAAAACATAATCTTGGACCAACAGTGCGTGTCGATTCTCGCAGCTGCTGGATGAAACCTGGGATTGTTTCTGTGGGAACTGCAATGCATTGGGGGGGGGGGGGGGGGGGGGGGCAGGGGGCAGGGGGGGGGTTTGAATGGATTTGATCCTTTTGAATTCTATTAAGCAACGAAATATGCTCCTCAGCTGCCGAACAGCCGCATTTCATCCGTTTACTCACGTCTGTGCGTAGGGCTTTTATGTTCTTGCCTCCCTTTCCGATGACGGCGCCAGCATTCTGTGAAGGAAAACAAAGTCTTGCTTAGAAATATCAATGATAATCACTCTGACCAACAGGGGAAAAACCTCAGACTAAACCACCAACGCGGGCCGCTGTGTGAGCGGGGCTTTTACTTTGCTCTGCAGCAGCACCCGCAGCTCCACCATCTCATCTGCGTTGCGAGAACGTTTGAAGGCATGCTCTTCCATGTCCATGTCCTCAGCCGGGCGTTTGCCTGAAAAGGGACACAAACCAGGTAAAACCGTAGCCAGTCATTGACTTCAACGCTAGCCACGTGCACTTGGCGGAATACAGAAATATAAATACATGGCGAGTGCTGGCTCTACTGCATGATCCACCCAGAGAATGCTAATCCTTCAATAGCCAACTATGTGCTGGAATATGTCCAGCGCCACCATGTACCCTTCCTGGACTAAAGGACGGGCAGATCTGCTCAGGGCCCACTGAACAGCAGCATGTTGGACAGGAGAGTGCCTCAACCATCTGACACGTCCACATGCTATTCAGCGCCGGCCAGAAATGTTCCCTTCTTTACTTTTTGTTCCCCTCCCTTGAGTGAACTAGTTAGCCGATTCATCTACACACACTGTGTTTCGAGCCTCGTCCAAAACCTCACGGGCTCAATTCCTTCCCAATTCTCGCTTAGTGCTTTGTTCCATTCATGCCGTTTGAACCGTGGTCACAAATAGCCGATCAGAATGAAGAGGCGTACCGTTAGCGTCAGTGTTGCCGAATGCAATGTCTTCGTCCTGGTGTTCTGATTTCACCTCCATCGTCTTGCACCTGCGGTGGAATGCAAACGGGCTCCTCTCCCTGAATCTGCAGCAGGAATAATAATAATAATAATAATCAGCCCGGCTACATGCAATACAAGCAAAGACACATCCACATTATCGAATATGCAACAGGGGGATTCTTTTCTGGAAATAGTGACTTGCTTATATAGCCATTAGTACACCAGAAAAGGCTTTGCACGTCTCCTTTTGTCTGATACACATTGGATTCATTTCTAATAAATTCCAGGTGGGCTGATGAGAACAAACCCTTTGCAATCCGGAGCCAAGTCTGCATGCAGCTGCATGAATGCTTTCTGGGTAGAAAGTCGTGAATCTCACACTGGCCTGCAGGAGCTCTACTAAGGCGTGCGGTCCACCTACACGCCCCCCCGCCCCCGCCCCCGGTAAACACCGCCGAGCCGAGCTGGACCCGTGCGAGCATCGCTCCCGGTGCGGAGGCCTTGCTGCTAACGGGGACACGATGGTCAAAGCCCGCTTAGCGGAGGAATCAGCAGCGAGCCTTTCTAACTGCCAGGCGGTTTTCTCCGGCTAATAACCCACCAGGACACAAACACACGGGCATTGCTGCTAAACGATCCAGCGGTTTGGGGAGAAAGCTCATAAAAAAAAACATCCCCCCCCCCCCTTTAATGTCTGCTAGAAGGAAACGTACGGCGACGTCCAAACACCCCGGAAGGAAGAAGGTGTTTGGTCACCTGATCTGTCAAACAGGGAGTGAGCTAACGTTAGCTGCGTCGCTAAATTGACGTTACTTTGCTAAGCTAACAGCAGCGCTAAGCTAGCCGGTCGCTTTATCCCCCGTGTGTTTAGCGAGGCGCGTGTAGCAGCTACAGTGGAAGGGAAAAAAAGGGAACAACGTTTCGAGTCTTATATTCACCCGCGGGAAGAAAAAAATACAGTGGCGCGTGCGGGAAGTTAACGTTACGTATCTGTGTAAACGTCAGCCGTCTAATCGAATAGCATCTGACAGACAGACCGGCTGGAAATGACGCAGCGTTCAACACAGAGGTAACAACTTGTGTCGGTGTGAGAAAACAAACCTGCAGCAAAAGCCACGTTCACTGCGGCTCCGCTCGCCCAGAAACGTTTGCACGTTTTCAGCATGAGAGGAGAAGACGACTGTGGATGAGCTCGATTCGTTGACACTCGCCCGGGATCTGTTACTTAGCTCTATTAGGGCAGTGCGGGCGGGCGGAGCTTATGCGTATTACGTTCCCAGAGCGAAAACGATGTCCCCGTCTGGTTGCCCAGAGCAGTATATCGAGCTCTCCATGAAATGTGGGGTATTATTGTACAAAGTGGAGTCTGGCAGGCAGCAGCCTCTCTCAGCCCCGCCCCCCCGGCAGACACCCTTATCTCATAACAACCACCGCGAGGGCTTATAAATATATATATATATATGTATACATATATATATGTATACATATATACAGTGTATACATATATATGTATATATATATACATATATATATGTAGATAGCTATGTATTTTTATATACATATAGAAGTGTATAGACCATACAGCATGAAGTCCATTCAAATTAAATTATATTAAAAAATAATGTCCTAAATTAGCTTTAAATTGAATTCTTGATTTACACATTTTTGTTATTTTAGGCTATCTCATCTATTGAGATGATTTCGATTTCAAAGTGCTTCTGGATTCGTTGGTTAGCCCTAAAATGTGATGCCAATATGTATTCATTTAGCAGTGACAGTGCACAGTAGTCAATATTCCAGAGTTATAGCTAAAGAGGTCAATGTTGGTTATTACAATTTTTGTTATTATACCCTTGAAAAACATCAGCAACCAAAGATGAGAACACATTTAAGTGTGGTGTTAAAACTCCAGTAAAAACAATGTCAACATGGCACTGGTGAGAAGATAACTTATTGAGCTTCAAACTGTCTTATTCCTCAAGCCTCCCTAACTTCCTTCTCACCAGCACCCTATGTGGCCTTAACCTAAAGACACTGCGTGAAAAGTGCAAACGGCAGCTTGCCCCTAATAACAGATGGTGAGAATGCGAGCTTCAAGTCTGCTTTTGCTGCTAATGAAATGCCACTTAACCGCCTTCCTCCATGGACCCGTCTAAGTGCACACAACCTGCTCTTTTACGACTACAGAGAGGAGAAGCGATTTGTCTTTCTTAAAGAAACCCGTTAGAGGACAGGTTGCTTTATTTTAGTTAGAAGTAATCACATGCAATCATTAAAGCATTGCTCAAACAATCCCAATTATGTCCCTTTGTTATTTTTTTTCAACTCAACATCATTTCATTCTGAAGAATAAGGCGAGAGAGTAAAAATGCAAAAGTTAAAAAGAAACTCCAGAGCAGGTAGCAGCCTGTTTGTCGGAGGATTGAGAGCACACAAGATGATCCCCATCATTCGCTGAACCCCCATCTCATTCCGTGCCAGCTGTTAAGCCAGAGGACCATGGGCTCCTTGATCCGGCCGAATCGTGGGATTGGGACAGTTCTGCATTGTCGCAATGTTGTTCTCAGATGGAAAAACTTCCGAATAAAATGCACAGTCAGAGCGACGCAGCGTTTCCCGACCATCGGTGGGAACTTCTCCAAAGTGTTCTGACCTATGGACATCCTCCAAAGATCTCCAGTAAGTAGGAGGCAGACTGAGCGGAGCTGCTGACAATTGCAAACACATGGTGCCACTTGACACACTCACCATGCTCATTTCCAGCAAGTTCACTGCTTACGGTCATGACCCGGAGACAACCTCGGTCATAAACTGGTGTTTTGTTAATCAGTTAATCAAACCGTCTATTTCAATTCAGATGCTTCCCGTTTTATGAGCGGCCTTTGTCCGATCGGCCTTCTTGCTTACCAATAGTTATTTAATGTTCTTATTCACGTATTACTCCTTGATGTTATGAATTGTATTACTTTTATGTTGATTTGGGAATAATTCAATTCTTATTCCTAATCCTTTCTTCATACAAATAATTAATCATTCAACTATCAAACCTGACTTGATTCTTCTCATTCAAGTTCTTGGATAAATCTCACAGTTCTCGATTTTTCAACACCCCGTTTCTGAATCTGAGCACAACTATCATCCGGCCTCCTCCTCTAATGGGGGCTTTAAGGCCGCCCAGATCCATCATCATCATCCGGGTTTTAGTTGTTTTTGACACATTCCATCCCTCCCAATATGCATGCTGCTTCTTGATAAAAGGAGAGTTTCATCCATTTTTTCCCCTCATCAGATCAAAACATATTCTCTTGATTTCCCAACATTGAATATTGAGCTGTTATTTGTATTCACCCAGATTAGACGCAGTAGTATATTCTGACAGGATGCACATTTGATAATCCATACAGCTACAGTAGATAGTACAGGATGTAGTTCGCTGGCTGAGTCACAGCTGCATCACTGCACACAAGGTTCAAGACAAGTCTGCCACCAGCTGGTACAGGAAGAGGCCGGAGCAGCGTGGCACCAAACCAAATGCGCAAGAGGAGGAAGAACTCGCGGCTCGGCATAACAGAAGTTTCAACGCATTGAAGACGTAACAGTTATTATTTTGCCAGTTAATGGAAAAGGTCAAACTGAAGTCCTAGACATCAGTGCAAAGTTAAGATATGTGTGCTGTGGAACATTTTAAAAGATGCATTTACAGCCATGAGATCAGCCACCTCACTGCCCATTTATTGCAAATCAGGAGCCCGACTTGTGTCCATTCTATTTTAAACATCCCCCTTTCTAATAGTGTTGTCATGCTCATAAAGGATCTATTGCAAAATAAAGAGCTCTCTCCCCTTTCCTATACTCCGAGGTTACCATGGAGACAGATATAATTCAGTTCTTGATGTTTCTCATGAAAAAAAGATTGCGTACATATTTTCATCTGCAACCATAGCGACACTTGACATTGTCAGCGCTATTTGTAAAAAGCAAGTCACCATAGCGACACTAACTATCCAGGCTGTGTCATAGATCATGTGTCCTGACATGAGTATGCCTCCTCATTATGAGTGAAATTTAGGAATCCACCGGTAAACAGATTTGATCTGATCATTTTGAGACATCTTATCACCTTGATATTGAGATCTACATTGTAACTCTGAAAGGACTAAAAATAATTACGGATTGATTTGTTGTTTAATCTGCTCAAATTGGGCATTTAAACAGTGCGTTGGAATTAATCAATAATATTGGGAATGGACACCAAAGATCAGCACCAAATATTGTTGAGATATTCAGTTCCATTTATTAGGTCATGGTTTATTGGAATAAAACCTACACAGATTATTACAGTGGGTTGTTATTCAATTGTGCGCTTAACTTAATTGAAAGAAAACACATAAATTAGCTTTTTGTCAACAACAATAACCAAACAAACATGTGGCAAACCATTTGTTTTTCTTGTAATTCTTGCTCCTGTATCGCACACTGGCCAGTAATTGGAGTTAGACCCATTCGAAGCTTGCAGACATAGTATAGGTAATTATTTTTCATAGATGCACCCCGTCTTGTGCGTCAACCGTACGTCACACTATAGGCCTAATGGCCAAGCGTACAACGGTGTGTGTGTGTGTGTGTGCGCGCGCGCGGTGGGGTGGATAGCAGGGTTGGGAGAGGGGAGGGGGGGCTCCATCCAATGCATGGCCTCAGAGCAACTACAACACAAGAGTTTACGTCCAGAATGTTGTTGTGCCCGCCGCAAACAGCGCATTTGACCCGCAGCTGAGCGCTCAGTGCCGCCCGACGAGACTGCGGCGCGTGTTGCGTCATGTTCCGTTGCATGATGAAAATATATATTTTTTTATATTCTTATAAATAAAATGTATCCAGGGTATCATCGCAACCATCTCCCCCATGAACCTGATCCCAGTGACGGCTGGGGGGGGGGGGGGGGGGGGGGGGGCGCTCCTCCCTCGCCCGATAAGAATAGAAGGCCTGGGGGGGGGTTTTCTCCCTAAAAGGGGAGGATACCCACGATCCCCCACTCCATGGTGAGCCCCTCTTTATTTTCTTCCATTACAAAAGACTATTAGAAAATACTCTCTCGGGGGGGGGGGGTGGGGGGAGAGGAAGGGGGGGGGGGGGGGGGGGAGTGGGAATCCTATTAAATCATCAGGAACAGCTCATATTTGTTTTACGAGGCAGAGGCGAACAGTCTGTGCCCGAGGTGGGAGGAAGGAGACATCGGCAGGACGGACCACTTAACACCTCGCTTCACGACACCGACATGCAGTAGTGTGATAGCGGCTCTGCGGAGACGGGAAGGCCAGTCCATGGCATCTTGATATTAGAACCGCGGGCTCTGCGTATTCCTCACCGACAGCGAAGTCTCTCTCTCTCTCTCCCTCTCTCTCCTCCTCTTCTTCTCCCTCCTCTTCTTCGTTTCGTGCGGAGTCTTGAGGATTAACTTGGACCAGATAAAAGCGGCGAGGGAGGACATCTGAACGAGAAATTCAATCTGACCAGATTCCGTTTTGGTGGGTGGGTGGGTGGGTGGTGGTGGGGGGGGAGGAGGGGGGGATTCGTGGGACATCATTTGGACCTGCGATGGACTCCAGCGCGGGGGAATATGGCATGGCTCGTGTCGGATTGTTTTTGGTTTTGATGGGGCTGTGGAGATTTGGCGACGCTTGCCCCGCATCCTGCACTTGCAGCATCTCGCGGATTGTTTGCAATGATTCCGTGCCAGGGATCGAGGATTTCCCCGTCCTCACGTTAGATGACATGGAAAACATCACCGAGATGTAAGTGTGTGAAAAACGACCGTTGCCGTACAGCCACGGAACTTACAAGGACGCGATGCGTAAATAACTACCTTCGATCTGTCGGGTCGCGATCATACCTGCGGGCTAGAATGATGTTAACAGAAGAGGTAATAGTAACACCAACAGCATCATTAATAACAGCAGGCCTGGTATCGTTCCTCCTGTGGATTACAGATCAATAGACATCTGCCTTCCTGCGCTTCATACACACGATGTGGGATTTTTTTCCTTCTTCGTATAACCGAGTGTTTGTCCGATCATGCAGCCTATACGTGTGCGATCGCGCGCGCGCGTGTGTGTCTGTGTGTGTGTGTGTATTTTGGCGTAGATGGGGGGTCGCGCGTGCCAGTAACGACAATAGCGTGTGTGTGTGTGTGTGTGTGTGTGTGTGTGTGTGTGTGTGCGTGTGTGTGTGTGCGTAATGGTGGTGAGAGTGCGCGTCGGGCTTATTTGGATTAGTCGGTGTTTCCTTGACAAAACAGCTCCAGAGGTTGTGATGGAGTGAACGCTGAGGCCCGACGCTGCAGCCTCCGAGGTGCTCACTCCGGCTTCTTTTTTTTGGGGCGGCGGTGTGATATAACCTCAACATTTAAAAAAATAAAAGAAAAAGAAGAGAAAAAGACCACATTGTTGCCAGATTACACGTGAGATCACATCGGTTGTATACAGCCGGCGGTGAACTACCCACAGTTCTGTAGCCTTATCTGCGTCAGTGTGGAGGCTTGTGCACCTCATACAACCCTGTGTACAACTGCATGGCACCCGGTGGAGGATGGAGGGGAGACTCACGGAGGCAGACAGGCTGGAAACACCATGAATGTAGTTAGCAACTTGATCCTTGTGGCTTTATTAGCTTTGGCAAATAAATCCCATTTGGAGAATACTGTTGAAACGCAAATGCATTTCGATGAAGACGGCTGGTCGGTTGAACCTTCTGGAAGTCAAAGCATGACTAAAAGGAGTCCTGTGCCTCATTTGCTTAAGGATAAAAACTAAGCTGCTGAAGCAACAAAGTCCCTTCAGTTGTGATATATCATAGCATTGTGCTGTTAAACGTATAATACATAACAAAAGTCTTTTCCCACCAAAAATATCATCCTGTGTTCATTTTAAAATGATAAATTGTGTTTACTTCTCTTTTTAAGTTATTGTTCCAAATCTTCTTTTAAATACTTCTAACTAAACATTTAGATGACCAAAAATAGTCTATGACATATAGTATTTCACCTGGTCCCCATTTAGACAACATGATTCAAAGTTTAGATTTATACATTCATTTATAAATAATTAATAAAGCTGTAACGATTATCGGCTGGCATTGTCAACTGAGCTATCAGATTATTTATAATGCACCTTTAGTGGTGTAATTTGACCCTGTAAGCCGCATGGAAGATGACTGACTCTTCATAGTTTCCTAAACACACACGACCGATTCTCTCGTTTCACGCCGCCGCTGTGACATTGTAGAACACAACGCACGCGCACAAACACATCGGTTTGCAGATGAAGGTATTAACTAGCTTTTCACTGAATGGACTCGTTTTCTCCCCTTTTCTTTCACAGATACATTACAAATCAAAACAGACTGTTTGACATCAATGACAACAGTCTGAGGCATTACATCAACCTGAGGAACCTGTAAGTACCACGCTGTGCGTCTGTACTGTCCTACGTGGAACCACAATACATCCGACTCACCATTCTACCCTTCACAACAGAACAGTGATGAAGACGAGATTGACGTCTTTATCGTCGGATGCATTTTTCAACAATACGAGACTCCAATATGTGTAAGTAGCGATTTAAAGACCTTCGGTAGTTGCTTCATTGGTGGGTTCACCGGAGCAGCCGGCTTTTGATTGTTATTTTTTTTTTTACCTTTTAGAAATCTCAGAGACAACAATCTATCGACGCTGTCGTGGAGAACGTTTCAGAGCTTCAACGCGACATACCCGTAGGTGTTACGTCGAGAGAAACGTGTCAGTGCGGCTCTGTTTTGTGGTTTCCCCATGTGCCGTGTTTTCATCTACCAGGCTCCTGCTGTCCGGCAACCCTCTGGATTGTGTTTGTGAGAACATATGGATCAAACTGAGGCTCCTTGAAGAAACCGACAGTCCAGATCTGACATGCATAGACGACCGAGGAGCGCCAAAGGCCTTTGCCAGCCTCTCTCCACCGGACTGTGGTAATGTGAAACCATGTTATAATAAGCCACGCCGGGTATCTGATATTGAACGCTCACAGAGACGATCGCTTCATGGAGACGGGAAAGACGGGAATAAATCTGCAAACAAATCAATCGGTGCAAAGGTCTGGTCGGATGTCCGATAATGCCGCGTGCTCTTCTCTCGCAGTGGTTCCCAAAGTAGAGGTCACCCCGAAATCTGTGACGATGATGCAGGGGAGTAATGTCAAAGCTGTGTGCAGCGCCTCAGGCTCTCCTCCCCCTGAGATCCTGTGGAACCTCGACTGGCTCTCCACCCACCACGAGGTGAGCTGGTCCAGCTTCCTGTTTGGTAGAGGTCCACCAACCTGGTTGTTGTTCAGGAGTGGAGAAGATGAGGAATCTTTTACATGAAGATATTACTCATTAGAGGAACTAGGAATTAATGAGAGCAGTGACAGAGCTGCTTCAGACTAGGATCCAAGCTTTATTCTTTGTTCATGTAATCGTCAACAAATCCCATTAAAAGAATAAAAATGAATACTGGATTGCTTCTTCTTCTTCTTATAAAGCTTAGTTGTTATCAACAACCATAAAACATTAAATGGAACAATATGTTTGTACTCAACTGGAGGTTTTGGTGACCAGAAACCAATGAACGAGTGAACGACCAATGAGCTCGATGCCAAAACAGTGAAAAAACGTCAAACCCGAGAAAGTCAAACTCATCATTTGTTTTGTTGTAAGTTCCAATACCAAAATAACAGACTCTATAGTAGAAAAAGATTTAGCATGTCCCAATATATAGTATGGACAATGGAGAAAACACCAAGCTATTTACTGCAGTTTAGGCTTTTGGCTCTTCTGGCTCTTCTGGCTCTTCTGGCTCTTCTGGCCTGCAATCGTCTGCACAGCAGATATAAAGCAAGGGTTCAAAGTTTGGGTTGCGGCATTATAAAGAAGGAGGATGTGAATCCACACTCCATGCAATAGCACGTACTTTGAGCGGTTACAGTTTACTAGAAGACGAGAAAAATAATTCCGAATTGAATGCAGGATCTGATGATGACAAGACAAATACGCAGTCGGTGTGTTGTGCAGTTAGCCGAATGGTCACTCCAGACTTTTACATGTTTAACAAGTGTCATGCAATCCAATGATGTTAACAGATTGACCCTTCGGAGATGGAGAGCAGCATCACCTTGACGGACCTGTCTCCTGATGATAATGGGAAGGTGATCATATGCAGTGCCGAGAACATGGTCGGTCAGACCGAGGCTACCCTGCAACTCAATATTCTCTGTGAGGACCCCTACGTCTCTGTAATAATTGTCTGTAACTGTAGCATGCATCTATGCAGGTTGTATCTTGTCGGTACTTTTTTTGTTTTTGTCTGATCTCCTCTCATGGTCTTTTAAACGCTTTCTTCTGAACCTTGTTTTTCCAGTGGAAGCACAAGGCTCCTCAGTTTGTTATCGTTACTGTCTCTTGGCAAATCGTATTGATTCTCCATGTTTCCTGTCCATAACTCTTCCTCCTGTGAAGCTCCTCATGCCTTACCGCACTCTTCTGCTTGGTCAAAGACACATTTCTCCTCATTCCCCTCCACCGTGTTTTCCTGGTGTCAGCCTTTAGATGTTGTGTTGCCCCGGCTCGTACCTCCTCGCCATACGATTCATCCCCTAGCTGCATCTCCCCTCTTGAGCCCCGTAAATGTGGCACCTCCTACTGGCTTTTACTCCTGGTGTTGATTTCCTATCATCCCGTTATTACTCTTCCTCTATGGTTGCCTCCGTGTCAGTTGCCCCCACCATCCAGCAGCTGCTGGGGCCCGAGCGGGACCACCACTGGTGCATCCCATTCAGCGTGACGGGGAACCCCAAGCCCGAGCTGCAGTGGTACCACGAGAACGTGGCTCTCCTGGAGCAGGACTTCATGCGCACCAGGATCCACCTGTCCACCGAGAGCGAGGACCACGGCTGCCTGCAGCTGGTCAACCCCACGCACATCCACAACGGCGTCTACAGGCTGGTGGCCAAGAATGAGTACGGGCGGGACGAGAAGAAGGTCTCGGCCCAGTTCATCGACCCGCCTTACATCAACCACACAGGTGTGTTGTCACGGGGGTTCGTTCGGTGGGGAGTCGGCACATTTCTGTCAATGGACTTGACCGCTGACAGACCTTTTTGTTCTTCTTTTCAACAGAAGAAAACTTCTACGAATGTAAGTGACGATTCAGAAAATTCAAACAGAGCCCATCGGCGTGATAATAACCGTATGTGTGGTTAAACGTACTCTTCTATGGTCTGTTTCTCTGTTTGTGGTCTCTGCCAACAATCTGGTTTCTGGCCAGATCCTACTGGTAAGTGTATAACATGACAGTCGGCAGTACGATTTGAGTAATTTGCTCGCTCTCATTATTTTCAAATGTTCTGAGCGGCTGTTTTGATTTTGTTTTCAGAGTCCCCACTCCCTCCGCTGGACGACAGTGTCGCAGTAAGTGAAGGCAATGGTTCTCATCCTTTTGGCCCGTTGGCCTTAACAAAACTGTTGTTATCCTTTTGCGCCTGAAATAGCTTGTAATTCTGAAGAAAAACAACAAAGATGAAAGGAAAAGTCTGAGAAAACAACCCCAATTTGATGTGACATAAATATTTATTATTTATTTCTGCTTTCTATTAAGTAAATAATCTCACGGCACCATGTTTAGTTTGCGGCCCCTTACAGGGATCCTGACCCCATGTTGGAAACCACTCGGCTAAAAGGATGCCAGATGTTTCTGCTGACAGGAAGTCTTTTTGGCGTCTTTTCTCTCCAGGTGTATGTGGTTGTGGGAATCGCCGGCATTGCTTTGACCGGCTGCGTTCTGATGGTGATCATTCTGAAATACGGAAGAAACTCAAAGTTTGGTCTTAAAGGTGAAGTGTTCTTATGAGAGTAACAATTCAACATTTTGTGCACATACTCGATTACTTGCCCAGATGTGTGGGTGAAAAGATCCGGTTAGCTTAGCTTTTTTTTATCACAAGTTGTTTCTCAGTAAAACGTAGTCAAGTCAACATTTGCCTCTCGTTTCTCTTTGTCTTAATGTACGATTTGTATTTAGTATTTCCATCCCTTTTCTCCCTCCAACCCTCCGCTTACTCCCTCTTCTCCTCCTCCTCCACAATATCGCTCCACCTGCCATCCTTACTCTTTACTCATCTCCTGCCTCTCAATCCCCTCCTCCTCCTCCTCCTCCTCCTCCTCCTCCTCGGCTCCCTAGGCTCTTCCTCAGTCATCAGCAATGACGATGACTCTGCCAGCCCTCTTCATCACGTCTCCAATGGCAACAACACCCCGTCGTCCTCGGAGATGGGTCCAGACGCAGTGATCATTGGGATGACAAAGATTCCCGTCATTGAGAACCCGCAGTACTTCCGTAACTCCGGCGGCATGCTGAAATCCGACACGTGTGAGTTACCGCCTCGTGGGCAAACGGACCTTTTTCGGATCGATCCACGCAGGGGTCACAGCCGTCCGTATTCACTGTCAGCGTCCTGCTGCGTTGGGACAGGGGGACAGTTAGAGGATGTTCAGAGACACGAGCTTGTTTGTTGTTGAGAAGGCTCAGCTAAGCAGAATGAACCTGATTGTTTCTCTTTCTCGGGCATTACTGCAGGTGGTCATTATTATTATTATCATTAATCTTGTATAGGACATTCTAATCTGTGCTGGATCGATTTGTTAAAATAACTATTTTGATAATCGTTAATTCTCCTTTTCAGATCGATAGAACTGCTTTCAAGTATTGTTTTTATACATAATAACAGCAATATTCTTGCTATTCTGGGATGTTTCCCAAATCCAAACATTGCAAAATCAAAGAAATCCACGTTGCAAATGCAATTTATTTAATTTGACCTGGACTAAAAATCACAAAAGCACCGATGCTACTTGTGGGTTTCTGCATTGAAGTTGTCCAGCACATCAAGAGACACAACATTGTGCTGAAGCGGGAGCTGGGAGAAGGAGCCTTCGGGAAGGTGTTTCTCGCTGAGTGCTACAACCTGACACCGGACCAGGAGAAGCTCCACGTAGCCGTCAAGGTGCAGATTGCGAAGCGCTTGTTATTCAGTTGGTTCGTTCTACCGACTAGACGCACACAATTGTCACAGGTGATGCCCCCTCACCCGCTCTCTGTGCCTCTCCGCAGACTCTGAAAGAGGCCAACGAGAGCGGCCGAGCGGACTTCTACCGAGAAGCCGAGCTCCTCACCAACCTGCAGCACGAACACATCGTCACTTTCTACGGCGTGTGTGTGGAGAGCGACCCGCTCATCATGGTGTTTGAATACATGAAGCACGGGGACCTGAACAAGTTCCTCAGGTAGGATCCTTTGAACTCTAACAAGACCCCGGCCCCTGTTGAAGCACTACGACCGGCACCTTCGATTGAAGCCCCCCCCCCCCTCCCTCATATTTATGGCCAGTTTTGTACAATGAAGAACGATTGTTGGTCGACTTCCTGAAGCCCTGATCACGTGTTCCCGGGTGCAGGTCTCACGGCCCGGATGCAGTACTAATGGCAGACGGTCAGCACTGCATCCAGGTGGAGCTCACCCAGTCCCAGATGCTGCACATTGCCCAACAGATTGCGGCCGGCATGGTCTACCTGGCCTCCCAGCACTTTGTTCACAGGGACTTGGCAACCAGGAACTGCCTGGTGGGAGAAAACCTGCTGGTGAAGATAGGCGACTTTGGCATGTCCAGAGATGTTTACAGCACAGACTACTACAGAGTGAGTATTTTAGATGATTTCTCCCTTTCTCATCTCGTTTTACCCACAGTACCTTACTCACACACGCGCGCACGCCGAACCTTCAATATATACATAGGAATATGGAAATGTAGCCACATACGCACAGTCTCAAATATGTAATTAGAATTTTATTCCAGTTTTTGCCTGAAATAACTGTGTAGCTGCAGAAATGTCAATTTTAACCAGAGGTATTTTATCTATTTTTAATACCATTTAAATGCAAATTCTATAATCTGCATAAAATTACTGTTTCCATGGTAATAAGGGCCAACAGTGCAAAAATGCTTCGGCAGTTTTTTTTTCCCTGGGCAAGGAGTTAATACGTCCCTTCGCTCTACATTACCATCACATTATTAAACCGTAGAGTTATGGTACAGTATAGGATCTGATGAGAAGATTACGAGCCAATAAAAACAAATGATCATACTTCAATATACATATATGTCTATACACACGCACACACACAACTTGTCATGTTGAGGAACAGATGGAGGAAATTTATTCCCTCATCCTTTGAGTTTCAAACCCTAGCTTGAATCCCACAGTGCCCTCTGCTGCACAAAGTGGAGTCAAAAAGAAAAAAAAGCCACCTCCGCCCTGCATTTCCCTGCATCCGATAAGATCACCACAAAGAGGCCCCTGAAATCCATTTCATCAAACAGAGACGCGGCCGACAAACAGTGGAATGATTGACAGGACGAGGAATGACGAGGCCGCCATCATTTTACGAATAAAATAGAATCATGTGACACAAAAGTTTACATCAGACAGTGAAAGTCATGTTTAGGGGATGGCATCAATGATGTGGGGGGCGAATGAAACTAGTAATATATAGAATTATGTGGACCATTGTTGTCCTGCCAGTTATACAGGGCACCATGTGATGGCGTGCATGAGAGTACGCAGGTGATTCGATGAGAGGGGAGACAGTGAGAGGAGGAAATGCATTTAGTGGACAGGAAATATCTCAGGGAAGAAGACAAGTAGACGCTGGTTGGATAAAAGGTTGTGATGCAATAAAAGCCGTGTTTCAGGGATGCCCGAGCGACTCAATTGAATTGCTCAGAAATAAACTCAGTAACCACTTTATTGTGTGCGCCTAGTTAAAACTCCTCCATTGCATAAAGGTTATAATGTTGAGGTTTTGTTGAAACACTTTTCAAAAGAATGTTAAACTGGATGTTCATGTTGGGGGATGCAGTCCTGTTGAATTGTGTGTTCTAGTGACACCCTGCATTTTTATGTATAAAGCTCAAAGTCAGCTCAAAATCAGAAAGGACAGACTAGTTCTCGGGCACAGGGACTTGATTTTAATGCATCATGGAGCAAAATAAAATACTTACACAAGAGTCAGGGAATCTGCATGTGACGACAAAGTTTAAACCCATACGCAAGTAAAATATCGTCTTGACCTCAAACAAGCAGCTGTCAGGAAACAGAGGGAGGCAGATGTGCTGATATGCACACACATCTGTAGGGCTGGGGGGGGAACGTGGGAACAGGTGTGTAGGTGGGAGGGGAGGTCAGGTGAGACGGGTGACTTGAGGTTGTCAGTTTGAGCAGAATGCATCCAAAACAAACACATAAATAAATAATGTCTCAATCAGATTTGATGTAAAATACTTTGGGAAGTTTTTGAGATATTTGCGGCATGGATGAAAGTGGGTTGATCCACCAGCCGATACTGATCCATAGTGCCGGGCCGGAAGCTTGGCTAAAAATATCCCATTATAGTCCTCGTGTGATTTAAACTCTTCACCGGATCTTGTGGTGTTGGTTTCTAATGGAGAATAATCTCTCTCTCTCTGCAGGTGGGCGGTCACACGATGCTGCCGATCCGCTGGATGCCCCCAGAGAGCATCATGTACCGGCGGTTCACCACAGAGAGCGACGTGTGGAGCCTCGGCGTGGTGCTGTGGGAGATCTTCACCTACGGCAAGCAGCCCTGGTACCAGCTGTCCAACAACGAGGTCAGAGGCACCGAGTTACGCCCACTCGCCACCTTTCTCCTGGTGGCCTTGTTATAATAAAGTCACAAACTTGGGTAATACGTGTGATATGTAGGGGTATGTGACGCCGGCCTAATGTATGTGACAGACATTAATACAAAACTGAAATCAAAACGATTGGATTTGATCTTTCATTTTCATCCCACTGAGAACTTGCCCCTGCGGCCCGCAGGTGATCGAGTGCATCACGCAGGGCCGCGTGCTGCAGCGGCCCCGGACCTGCCCCAAAGAGGTGTACGACCTGATGCTGGGCTGCTGGCAGAGGGAGCCCTACATGAGGCTCAACATCAAGGAGATCCACAGCATGCTGCAGAGCCTGGCCAAGGCCTCGCCCGTGTACCTGGACATACTGGGCTGAGGCGCCGCTCTTCTTGTATGTACTCCTGTGTGTGTGTGTGTGTGTGTGTGTGTGAGCGCTGGGGCTTCGAGCGTGGGTGAGTGGTTGTGTGTCTGTTTGCACGCGATGGAAGCAGGGTGAAGGTTTGTGGCTGTAAATGTTCCTGTAAATGCTATCGTCCTCGTCCCCATCACATCGAGAAGAGCTTTACACGTTGAGTGATTTTGGTTCGGTTATTCCTTTGCAGACGTCACTGCAGGCATGTTTTTGTCCGTGGAAACCAAAACGCGTGCATACGTGGAAGGCGTACACGAATAAAGGAAACCCGACCATCAGAAATACTGATCTCTGGGTTACTCTCTACGTTCACCGCATTAAATCATCTCGTGTAATCCATTTATCTGGGAGTGAAAGGGAAGATAGTGTGTCTCCATAATGGACAGCGTGCGGACACGACTTTGTAGATAGAGCTTTCTCTCCTTTCGACACTCGGCAACACATTCTGCAGGAATATTCAAAAAGATACCCATCGAGTTACGGATTTTTCTTTTTTATATTTCAGACTATTTTAATATTTGTAGAGTTTATAAATGTTGACTCTGTTTTCATACCTCACTGTTGATTTCAATTTGTGCTTTCCTCGACATCCACATCGACATTTCTTCCAACCAAATCCACTCCGAGGTTGTACAACGACAAGGGCCATCACTATTCCCAGTAACGCTATCGTCACACGTCATATTCATGTAAATAGCTCCACATCTAAATCTACAAAGCGATGTTTTAGAAGTTGTCGGAGTGCTCGGCTGCGTTTCACGACCTTTTCATTTGATGTACCTGAAGCACAGAGAATGAAGGAGGTGTTGAGAGACAAAAAAAGAAAGAAAGAAAGAAGATGAGCACAGTGTTGTTTTACTTTCTCATTCACCAGCGATGCCATTCAGCAAACCTCTGCTGTTCGGTGGCCCATATCTATATAAAGTGACATTTTTCCTTCTTTTTCCAAAAAGTTGTGGCTGTTGTTGAGATTTGTTTGATCGGAGAGGATTGGATTCGTTCTCTGGGTGGTTTTGTTCAACTGTGCGCTGATTCCCGGCTTCATTTGTTTGCAGCACTTTGCTTTTCGTTCGCATTGAACACGTTTGCTTGTCGTTTGTTTGCGTGTTCTGAAGATGTAATCTTTAGTTCTTAATAGCAGGCTGAGAGGCCACAACAAAAGGATTCATTAAGAGTCTGATTGCCCTCAAAGAGTCCCAGAGGTGCTTTCCTCTCAGCCGGGCGGGGGCCGATGCAGCTGCTGGCTTCGGGCATCGCTAAAGCACATTTCCATAAGCTGCCTGATGAACGGTTTTAAAACGCGTCCCTGTAGTTTGTCTTTCTCCCCCCAAATCATCTCAAGTGGTCTGTTTCCAGATTTGAAAAAAAACAAGAAAAAAGGGTAAAATATTAAAGCAAGTGTGGCGGTGCGAGTGGACGCACCGCGTTGACCTTTGCAGAGATTACTGCTTCTCAATGACCCTCATGCATTTCCATATGGAGACAATACGTTACGCTGAGTGCACTTTGTAGCGTTACTTACCCCCCCCCCCCTCTAATGCACAACCACAGCGGCTGACCGCTCTCCGCATTGACCTCGACTGCACTTACTTACCAAAACATTTCAGCCCATAAAGCGAGGCGAGGCCCCGCCTCCGTCCACCCGGCGTCGGTTCTGTTTAACGGCCACGTGTCTGCTGTACATAACCCGCCGTCCGTTCTGTACAGTTCTGATATCTGTCTATACCAATAGTAGGCTATGTTTAATAGTATAATCTGTTTTAAGCAGGTATCATGTCAAAAATCCTTGTGACATCTATTGAAGACAACGCGTTATGGGCCGCTGGCAATACATACTATGTGTAAATACGGTTTTATTTGTGCTACATTGTATACTTTTTTGTGTGCTCGTTCATAATACCAGTGAGAATACAATCCTTTTTTTTTTTTTTGGGGCAACTTTTGATCTGCAGAGGACTTTATTTGAACAATGTGTTTTTTCTCTGAAGAAAAAAAAAAAAAAAAAAAAAGAAAAAAGACGAAGAAGAGAAATAAAGAAAACACGATCTGTTTCCTCTCCACTGTGACGGGGAGCTCACACGGAGGCCGTCCGCCCGCAGGAGCACCACAGACTCTGGATCTCTCCCGGCGGACGCGTGGCCCATGGCGAGGAGGTCAAAGGTCACCTCCCGGTCAAGCCCACCACTCAACCTCTGACTGACTGTAGCCTATTCTGATCCTCTTTCAAATGAATAACTGTGACTGCATCATGAATAGTATATTATTTTGAATGTAATCTAGAAGGGTCGGATCTTTTTTGAATGTAATCTATCTTGAGGGGACAGGGGGAGGGGAGAGGGAGGGGTGGGAGGGGGGGCGTTGCAGATTTTTTTTGTAAATATATGGTAAATGAAAAAAAGATACAGTTTTCATTCCTGTGCAGATAACAAATTTTACTTACAGTGTGAATACAAAGAGAGAGAGAGAGAGAGAGAGTGCTTGTGTCAGAGATGGTGTGTGTGCATCTGAACACACATCTTGTATGCAAGAGTGTGTGTGTGTGTGTGTGTGTGTGTGTGTGTGTGTGTGTGTGCTCTTCTGGCAGATTTAATCCTGCTTTTATCAGCCAGTTCTATCAATCAATCCTATGCTTTGTGCATCATGAGAGTAGCTTATCTACAATTAATGGAAATGTTCCTTGTGATACTGTGCTTTTAATAAAGGTGGTATGTCTTACAATACGCTCTGTGTCCTCGCAATTCATTCATCATCTCGTCTCTTCAAAGTTTGGAAGATTTCATCGCGCTTTGTGGGGAAACATTACCGGAAAAACAGGGATGCAAATCAAGATTCATCTGATTTTTCTTGTAAATTTGTGACTCTTCAGGGGGATCCATGTTGAGACTCAATCCACGAGCTTTTGTTTTTGGCCTCGTTACTTGTGAGGGTGAATGTGACCCGGGGGGGGGGCTTTAAGAGGAGCCAACATGTGTTGTGAAAGGCATCTCACGGGCACCATTTGTTTCTAACAATAACTACTGAGGAGTGACAAGGACAGCTGCACTAAAGACCACACACACACACACACACACACACACGCACGCCAACAAATGCTGGCAGCAGCTATTTGAAGGGATTTGCGAGGAGTTGTATTGTCCCAGTTAACGCACACAAGTTTAATGGGAGAAAAGCTACCTGGGTGTCGAGCTGGATCTCCTCCATTCGAGGTCACGTGTACTCGTCTCTTCATTCATGAGAACCAGTTATTGTTTTCTCCCTTTGACTCATTCCTTCTACGTTTACTTGTTCTTATATCTAGACAACGTTTACTGGAACTACTGCCTTTAACCCTGTCTCTTTAGCAATAATTATCAATAAAAAGATTTATAACGCAGTATAATGCGCCTGTTAAGAGAATTCAATTGAATGTTTTATTCGATTGTTCAGCAGTCTCAATTTACTAATCTCCTTATTAGAATAATAAAAATGTCTGCCTTTGACTGCACTATAGTGTGTTATATCCATTTATTAAATGTTTGTGGGCTCCCAGCACACGTAAAGATTTGTTTTCTATGAAACGGTGGCTGCTAAACAAACACCTGAGGAGTCACAAGGACACAAAGTGCACAGGTGGGACGCTCGCTTGGGTTTCATCAAAAGCTGTGCGCAGTTTATATTTATTGTATTCTAAATTTACATTAAAAAAAAAAACGTCTGCCCATGTCTCGGAACCATTATGAAAGTTAACGCACAGATTCAATATACATCGCATTTGTATTTCACACAGGGTAAAAGTATCGGCATGAAGGCGGCGCGGCTCAGGAGGGAAAGAAAAACCAACATGAATAAATAGAAAAGGTGCTACGCCGAGCAGAAGAAACGAGAAGGCCGCAGCGAGGAAAGCTCCCTTTAGCCGGCAAAGAAATCCATACGAGGCGTCTAAAGCGCGTGATCCGAGCTCAGAGGGCCCCAGAAACGAGCCACCAGAGGCCTCTGGAAGTATCTATAAATCATAAAGAACACGCTGTCCAAACAGCGCACCACTTAACAGAAACATATCCAGGAAACACACAACTCTGTTCTTCTGCTGCCGGCACGCGAGCCGTGAATCTAATCCGTTTCTCTTCATTATATAGAATCGTTCAAAGAAAACCTGACAAAATGTTGTTGTTTCGGGTTCAACGAGAAAGTTCCAATACTTAAAATGACTGAATACTGAAACCACCATTTAAAAACCGTTGAAAGCTTTTGGGATGTACGTTTCTTTTTAGGTTTTAATGACAGGGTCATTAAAAGTCATGCACGCTGCAAATAACTGCATGCAGTAGTTATGGTAACCCATCCAAGCACTTTTTATTCATTAATAGTCATTAACACACACAGCAGCTTCATCGGAGGAGCCTACGCCCTCTTGACTTTTGAATGTGGAGTATTTATACGGAGAGCCATTTGCATGTCACAGGAAGCAAAAGGTCTGCCACAGCTACCTGTAACATTTACCTGATAAAGAAAAGAAATGTTATGTGGATTGATTATCAACTTCATATATATTTTATATCTATATCTATATATATTTATATTTATAGATTTCTCTTCTCTCGCTCGCTCGGTTGCTATTGCGCACTCGCACATTTATCCCACTTGCTCTCATTTATTTTTGTTTACAATGTAACAAAAATGGTGACAGGCCTGAAATTACAATCACCAAAAACAAACTCAGAAAACAGAGAGGGGAGGGGGGTTGGGGGGGGTTGGGGGACTGCCGCTGTCGCCTGCCCATCACTGACAGTTGCAGCAGCGAGGACACAGTCTGCTCGATGCTCGGACATCAAAGAGGCGGCGGCGGAGGCTCCTTCCCCGTAAAGCTGCGCTCTCTGAGCTGGAGGTTCTCCAGCGCCACGTCTAAAGGCATGATCTCCACGCAGCCCATGGCCCCGAAGTCGGCGAAGTCCCGCCGCTCGTCCTCGTCGGACGAGGAGCTCTCCTCGCGCATCAGCGTGGAGAGCAGCAGCTCCTGGACAAACAGGCTGCGGTCGGCGCGCTCGCCTTCTAGAAACTGCCGCTCCGCTTCCGACATCTTGGGTTCATTCAACCTGAGGAGGTTTTTTTCCACCAGTTAATAACCAAAACAATTGAGAACCAACGCGTTCACCGACTTCCGTAACCCGACCAGCGAACAGACCGACCGGGCTCGCTCACCGTGCTAATAGGAACTGGGAGCTGTGGGACGAGGACGACGGGTTGCTTTCACCCGCGGCGGCGCTGTTGCCGGGCGCCGTGTTGGGGGGAGGGATGGAGTTGCCGGCGCTGCCCTGGTTGTTGCTGCGCCGTGTCGCGTGGCGGCCCGTCTCCACCTGCTGCCGCGCCGCCTGGGCCTGCTGCCGCTCCAGCTGCAGCTGCATCTGGAGCTGCTGGAGCTGGGAGGCCGAAGGCCCCGACGAGTTGATCTGGCCGCCCGCCGCGCGACGCACGCCAGACAGCTGAGACAACAACTCTGAGGGAGACGCGGCAGAAGACAGGCGTCACCCATTGCCTCCTAAATAAGGCGCGATTTCTAAAAGGCAACAAGGCAGACGCCCGTGAGAGGAAAGACCGTTCGGATATCGCTGATATCTTGTCCTAGTTTTGTTTTCTAACCATGACAGACAAATAACTGATTAATTATCATGTCATCATAGACAGTGAGAAAGAGACGCCAAAACAATGGCTTCATAAGACTGTTTTGAACCAGTTATTTTGGGGTGAAGACAAAAAGAAAAAACAAATAAAACACATTGCAACTGGATCATATGGATTGGACAAGAAATAAGGTTGCAGTTGAATAATCAGTACCCCTGCATAGTATGGGTACAATGATTCAAGCAGAAATGATGGGCTTTGATGGTCACTAATAACTTTCTACCAGCAGACGGCACGAGTGAATTTATCCTACTTATGAGATCCTTTAATCCGTCAATATTCCGTTCGCTACACCTGACGCTCACCTGCGATTGGGTCCATTGCCTCCCTGTTACTGGGGGTATAGGTGGAGCTCTGCGATGAGGAGGAGGAGAGCCCCCCCGTGGAGCCGCTAGTAAAGTGCATATTTGTCCGCCGCGCCCTGGGACCGCCCAGTCCTCGCCCGGGGTGGAACATCCTGCGTACATGTCGAACACTGCTGGACTCGTCGTGAGCACGCTGTCAAGGGTAAAAGCCGTCACATGACACAAAATATGGCGTTGACCGAAACAACAGATCCGGTAGTCGACGCGGGGCTGGGGGGGTACGGAAAGGATATTAAATCTCTTGGCGCTCGGTGTTCAAGTGTGAGGTGAGCTGTGAAGTCATCTGTGACGTGGTTGGGGTCCCCTCCTGGCAAGGCAGCACATATTGGACAGATCTGGAACAAGATCGAGACATATTTTGCTTGATTTGAGTGTAAAAAAAAGAAGCAATGTTTTTTATAGTAAAGTTTGAATGTTGTACATAATGTGCAGCAACAAGTGATCTGAGATCAGTTATTGCTCATACTGACTTAACGGTTCTACATCACGGGGACTTTTATATAATATCGTCGTCCTCCTCCAACACCGTCTTACTCAAAACGGGTGCCCACATTACCCACAATGCAACTTGACTTGAGAGGCAATTTATAAACTTGGCACGGCTACATCTAGATGCTTCAACAAAAAAAAAAGGTACTACCTCCCCAGAACCTGTAAACAGACTTTCATTTACAAAATATCTAGTTATCAACTTATGACTAATGAAGGGACCAATATGCTGTTTATCAATTGAGAACTAGAATGAAAAAGATTAAGATGTACAACCTGGTCTCTGTTTGCTTTGTAATAATACACTTTGGTTAAACGGGACAGTAATCACAGGACATCATCATAAATTACTGAAAGGTTTTCAGCTCGGCCAGAAACCGTCCGTCCCTCCGTCTCGCTTTTTGTTCAGTTCACTGAAATGTCAGTTCAGACAACCGTCCATAAAACCCTTAATCCATAAATGCCCCCCGCTTGTGCATTCTGGGGAGTCATTTTAGCTGACTGAAGTGCAGTGCTCATCAGCAAATGCAGAATGAACTGCAGTGATAGAAGAAAAAAAAAAAAAAAAACTACCTCTGCATCTACCGACAACACAATAAAGTACGCAAGTGGACGGTGGAAGTGCTCTGGACTCCAGGCGCCCTCTTGAGAAGCAAAGACAATGTGATATGTGACCTTATTTGTGACAAAAGCATCAGAGGTTAAAAACGTCCGTAGCGCGAGCAGTATACTCACCACCTCGGTGGAGGTCTCTGCGTGTTCTGAGGTGACGTGCTCCTGTAGGGACGTCTCTGTGTAGCCCATCTTGCCACAGTAAGGACATGTGAATGACTGGGGTTGCTCTACTGAAAAAGTGTCTCCTCCGTAATACAAGTCTGCAAAAAACAAACAAAAAAACAGTTAAATGTTTGCCATTTGTTAATCACTATGAACCAAATGTACAGTCGCAACGAGGCTGAATAACTAACATCAAGCATCCGTCCAGTCATAATGAATAATTTGTATTTGTGAAATGTGTTAATAAAGGCCTGAGCTTGTGTGTAATCCGTGAGCGGCATTAGTGTCTGTCAAGCAGGTGCTTACCATAGTCTACCCTGGTTAATATACACTGCATGGGGTGCTCTGTGGTGTGCCTCGTTGTCGTGGCGCCGCTCTCGTAGCACGACGCGCACAGGTCGTAGTCGTAGCAAATTAAACACTTGAACCGCCTCCCTCTGAAGTTCCCTTTTAAACACGCATCACAGCTCACGCCTGCAGAGGAGAAAAGAGGAATGTGAAGTCAAATATGTGAAATACCTGACAATAAAGTAACAAATTCCTTATAGCAGCTCCTGCAAGGCTGACGGCGAAAAAAGCAATCTCGACCTGCTGGCCGGTCTCACTTACAGGGGCATGTGATTTGGAGTGGCACCAACCTACGAGTGCCAGCAATGGAGAACGCCGGCATTCCATTGAACTCTACATGCAAGGTCTCGGCGGCTCAACTCACGCCACCGGCCTTAGGCATCGGAAAGCAGTTTTCATCGCGGCTTTTGTTACTTATTTACAGAGCTGTCCACACACGTTCTGGGAATATTGGGTTACCTTAATCTAGATGTACATGAGCCAGAACGTTAAAGGGAAAGTAAAGGGGAATCAACAAAAGGCAGCAGAAACAGCGTCAAGTAGGGCAACGTCTATATTCTTCAAACAGCTTTTCATCTTTAGCTTGTGTTAACTTTTATCCAGTGTCTGACTCTTTACTTCACGTGATTACAGTGAAGAACCATTCAAGCACTGGCTCACTGCTGTGCAGACACAAGCTATTGTTTTCCACGACACATCATAACTACAATTAAACATAATATTCCGACTCCGGCATCACTGTGATTTTCTGTGAAGGAGAAAAAAACACCACCCTATTTGGCAAACTTGGATTGCAGGTATGAGAGTATTGAAATGAGAGTATTACGAGAGTATTGAGAGAATTTCCTTTTTTGAGACAGCGCAACGAAAAGCTTAAAAACACACAAATAAAAACAACTACATTGAACAAACCTCAGGCTAGTATAAATGAATGAGACGTGCAGATGCCCCCCCCCCCACGTTTTTCAGAGGCTGACAAAAACAGAACAATTGGTGCCCGAGTGGCATTAAAGAACTGCGCCTCCTTCCACTTGCACAGGTAACCACCCCTCCCTCCCCTTAAAGACAACAGACTGCACACACCTCAACGGCTAACCTGACCACATAGGGAGGGGGGCGGGGGGGCATTCACACGCCTACAAAAGGAACCCCAAGATACCGTCTTTTTTTCTTCCAACGCACTTTATTCGGGTCAGGGCGAGCGACTTGAGCGGTGCCCCGTCTTTCATTCGGGCCGTCTCGTGGTTCGCGTTGTACAGTTCAGATCCCCGTAGCAACTTGCGAGGTGATTGAATTGAACACCCCCGCCCTCCCCGGGGTGGCTGGCCTGTTACTACTAACATCATGTGGAGAAGGAAGAGAGCCGAAGTGTGCCCTGCGATGTGGTTTACACTCAGACACACAGTAACTTAACCCCTGCTAGCCAGTAGCCGGTCGGCTAGCTAACTTAGTGATCGGTTTATGGTCTGAGGCCTCGGACTTTCTTCTTGATGACAGTGCATTCGCTAACAGTACGTTGTAAAGCACGGCGCTGACATTAGAGCTACGGCCTCTTACACTGACCCCCCCTGCAGTCAACGTAACTATAACGGGACATGAACCGTAACTACGTTAACACGGTAGCGGGAGCCGGGAAAAAGCAGCGTCAAGTCGCAGCTCCGCCGACGTCTCCTTGCGTTAGCACACACGTTAGCCGGCTCGCTAGCCCAGCACCCACCGACGGCTAACGGCTAAGCTCCGCAATGTTGCCGTATCATTGCGAGCAGGTTGGGAGAAGTTACGAGCGTTTGCTTCGAATTGAGCGGACGCGAGACGGGTCAGCTAGAGCCGCTGACAGCAGACGTGCGCGTGTCTGTGTGTGCGCGCGAGAGGATCCGCGGAAGGGCGCTACCGCCAGCCGCGAATGAGCACTTAGCACAGCTAGCCGAGGAGCTAGCTGCTCAGGTAGCATAGCCGCCGACCCGAGGCGCCGTGGACCCTGTTTGTCAACTCACCCTCATGTCGGGACATCCTACAAACGGCGGCGCAGCCCCTCCTCGGGCTCCCCAGCGCGGTTAACGGGGGTGGGGAAGGCGATAGGGTGTTTTTTTTAAGATACTAAACTGGGGAGAAAAAAAGCCCTTCACCCTCGCTCCTTTTTCGAGCAAGATGGATCCGCCAGCAGCTTACAGTTTGTTCTGCTTCCCCTCCCAGAGTGTCACTCACGGCGCAGTGCCGCGGCTGACCGCCGGGCGGCGCGCTGCTGCGTGACATCCGAAGGCGTTCGACCGGCGGGGGACGAAGTTGTCGGATCGTTTACTTTCCCAATGTGCTTGATAACATGTGGTATTATATTTAACTGTTTTCGGTTTTATTACAGATGGGTAAAGGTATACGTTGCATTATTGCACAAACACTCCTCCCAATAGACATCGACATATATGACATGAAAACCTGGCAAATTACTCATTCATTCATGTGTAATATCAGCATCAATTTAATGTGTGTGGAATATAAACAATGTATTCCCTACCTCATATGTGTAATGATGTGTATCCAACCAATCAATCAATTAGATTTTATTTATTTTTCTGCCCTTAACTTATATATTTTACCTTTACCGTTTTTATTGTTGCTTTTTGTTTTCTACTAATGTCTCGTGTTGCACTACCTGCACTACCTACCTCCCCCTGCTGCTGTTATCCTGCAAAAACCCAGTGTGGGACTAATAATATAATATAAAAGTATGAGCAATAACTGATATATCTTATGATGTTTTAGTGGTGGAGGTTGTTCAATAACAGCTGATGTTTTGTATGTAACCCCTTAAAGTCTCTATATATAATGTATGGAAATACTGAAACGCAGATACTTCAAAATCCTTAAAAATGTAAATTTTTCCCTCTCAAATGCCATAAATGATGAATTATCAAAATTGTTGTTAATTTTTTTTAAAGCTAAGTTGAATACGCCAATCATTTCAGCGGCAAAACTCTCTGTCGGCTGATCTGTCAGCGACAGGCTGTGGTGATTTGATGGAAATTCAATATGTTGATAAAAAAAATAGAGCAGAATAATTCACAATGAAGCACTTTTTTTTTCTCGTAAAAAGCATTTTTTTTTTAATTCAGATTCATTTCACTTCTGTGCTGATGAGGACGCGTTCGGTCTGACAAACCAGTGCATTACAATGAAGACTTCACAGCAGTGTAGGAGGCTCGGGTGGAGCTCTCAACTCTCGCTTTGTCCTCCACTCCTTCTCAGAAGTTAATGGAGGTGTAGGGTGTGAAAACAATCCCAGATCACCTCCAGGGGACAAAGGGAGACTCGTGGTTCCGCCCTCGTGCATAAGCCTGATGCAGCCAAACAACATAACACATTCTGTACATACAATTTATTACATGTGCTTCATCTCAACAGTGGTGTGTGCGAGCTGAATAGTATTTTATATGAAAAAAGCTTCCTTTTCTCCCTCTCTCGTCTGCATTTTACATGACAGGGAGGGAGAATCCCAGTCTGACCAAAATACAATATCATTTATTTGAACGCTTTGTGTAGCTGTGCCACTTTTTGGGAACAAAAACGAGAGAGAAAACCTGAAAGAATAACTTTTGTAATGTACGGTGTACCACATGTGGGGCGACACGGCCATTCATCAGGCTTTCAATCAAGTAAAAGTAGTGGATACAAACCCTTGTCTTCGGAACAGAATAATTATACTATCATTTTTATCACCAAAATAGAACAATATTTACATATTTGCATCAGTTTTTTCTTTTTAATTTGTGAGATGGGCCAGGTCACTTTTTTTTATTCATCAGACATTAATTCATTCATTCATGAGAGTTGTAGCACCTGAGCAAAATCCTCTTCTCCGACCATTGATCACACAGAAAACGCTTTTTGGATGACATCTCTTAAATTACATGAATTATAGCAAACACAATTATGTACATTTATGAGCTTTACATTTTTGGGCCTCTACTCATATTTACATAACAATCAAACTTTGGGTTTTTGAAGGCGCCGCTTTTGTCTCTCAGTAACCCACGGCGACTACACACATTTAACATCTTGGGACTCGGGTTCGATTTTGGATTCATAACCAGTCTAAAAAAAATAAACTACCAAGCAAATACTTTTGCTTTGAATAAATCTGGTGCGCAAACAAAACAAAACGCTATAAAACGCTGAACGGCACAGTGTTTGATAAAGCCATCAGACGGGCTGCTGCAGCACATGAAGGCTCACACACTGTACAAGCGGACAGACCTTTGGACATCGTCGCCGCAGGAGCAATGACACGGCGCTCGGTTGCCTGGGTGACGTTGGATCTTCATACACAAAAAACCTGAGTACTATTTTCATCTAAAGCTTTGGTGCAGCTGTTTTAGAAAAACCTGCTGTATGTGATACAGATGTATGCTACCTTGCCAACGGACGCCTGACAGTTGATGGTCCTCCACAGGTCCCGTGGCCTCTCCTCCGTTTGTTTCCACTGTGTTTTTAAAAGTCCGCCCGTAGCTTCCTCTGCGACCGGGCGGCTCTAGGAAAAGCAGTCGGTCACAGAGCTGCTGGATGTCCGCGTGTCTCAGTCCATCATGTCCTCCTTTGAGAAGTCCCTGGTTTTTCTCTTGAAGAAGCCCATCTGGAGGAGCACAGAACCGAGTTACACGACAGTTACTCCGTACGGAGGTGAAGGTTCACTGCGTGGAGTAAAGAAACCGCTCGGATAGGATCTCTCGGACAGTGTGTACAAAGCTACGCACGTTTAGCTTCATGTCTAACGTGCTTGGGACCTTCTCGTCTCTCTGTCCATGTTACGCCTGGCAATATATTACAAGAAGATCTCAGTGACTATATTACCTTCCAGAGAGCGAAGATGACCAGCGCCAAGATCAGCAGTCCTATGAGGATGCTGATGATGATGATCCAAATGGGGATTCCTCCTAAGGTCTCCTTCGAAACCTGGATCTTCATCTAATGAGACGCACAGATAGAGAGAGTGAATGTGCACAGATACACACAAGCATTCGACAACAGGGAGGTACCAACAAAAAAGGCTTTCCGACTTACTGTCCGGCTCTTACTGTCGCTGGTCAGTTCAAACAGGCTGGTGCCTTCGATCCTCAGCGTGGCGTTCACCAGCATGTGCAGGTTGGAGAACTCGCCCTGTAACACAAATCCCCCCCATGAACCTTTTCCTGTCTGTCCGCCCGTCAGAAAAGCTCTCTCATTCCCTCGGTCTCGCACTTCTTCACTTGGACGTGGCGAGAAGACAGAAAACACGCTACCTGGATGAACGTGGGTTTCCACAAGCGGAACGTAACGTTGACCTGGCTGCTGGCCGCCTCAGGGATGGAGCAGCTGAACGACGCGCACTGGAGGTTCTCACAGCTCTGAGGAGCCAATCAGACGCACACAGGGAAGGAGGCGTTTATCGTGCTCGGAGACAAAGAGACCTAATCTGTAGTGTTTAGGGGAATAAACTCAGCTCATCACTCACCAGCAGGAAGACACTCAGAGTCTCTTTCTTTGGATTTGGACTGATAACCTTGGGGTTGATATTGAGGGGGTTGATCCAACGTGCGGCGTCACATTTCACCTGGAGAGAAAGGAAAGGCCGACGTGAAGGTGGGCCCGTCTGTTGAGATGAACTCGGACCCCCAGATGCGTGCGTGCTCTCTTACGTGCGGGCTGGCGGTGACGTGCGTCAGGTACAGCAAGTTGTTCTGCCGGGGCGACAGGCGAGGGTACGTCACAGTGAGCCGGACGGGTGGAGACGCCCGATCGGCTGACTTCTCCACCTGAGGAGAAGAGAAACGCACAGGCGGAGGTGAGGAAGAGGAGTCCACGTTGACCGGGATTCACTAAGCAAACCCCAACTACATTCCCATAAGCAAACCCGGCGATGTGATCCGCGTTACCGTGTAGCTGATGTTGACCTCCTCTCCGATCGCGCCGGTGTCGTTGATTTCAGTCGCATACTGCTCGCCCTCTTTCACTACGATGTGTTCGTCCGCGGGCCGCCTGAAAGAAATCATTCGACGCATTCGATTCGAGTTTAAGTCGACAGGGATTAATGCTCCTGTTAAAGGGTGGTGACAGAGAAACACAGATGTAGCAACCATGACCGTGTCATTAATTTAATCAGAACAGGTGGAAATGTCCACCGTGACAGGACAATCTCGACGTCGTCTTTTACAACGAGGCGGGTGAGCCGCGCGGAGGATCCGTGCACTCACACTGAGAATATGAGTCCGGCCTCGTACTTCACAGGGATGGAGATCTGCACCGCGTTGTCGTGCTGCGTGGAAGTCAGCTCTTCGCTGTCACTGGGCAAAAAAAAACCCCAAACAAACAAATTTATATAAAGTATTTTAGGCAAACAGCTTCAACCTGGAAATAAAAACAACAGTGCTGATCCTCTCACCTTGTAGCCGTCACATTGATCTGAATAACCTCCTGGATGTGATTGGGATTTACATCAAATCTCACTTGGAAATGTTCCTGTGAATCACGCCGCAAAAGGTGGACAAAGAGGTTATTCATTGCAGAGGTAGTGTGCAGACTGTATTACATGCCGATACTGACCTCTACATTACTTCCCAGGAAGGGGTATCCAACAGCACACTCCACTTTTGTGTTGTTCAGAGTGCATAACGTCTCCGGCTGAGAACATCAACAACAAAACAAACCTCATCACACTCACTTTAATCCAAGTGCTGAGACGCTGCAGGCGGAGGAGTGTTCTCACCTCCACTTTGGCATAGTTGATGTGTGGCGTGAAGCTGAGGGTGACTTTGGTGTTGTACGCATTGTCTTTGCTGTTTCTAATGTTCACCTTCACCACGATTTCGTCTTTGTTGCCTCTGATCAGCATCCTGCAGAAGCAAAAGGAAGAAAAAAAACAAAAAACTGTCAGCATGCCGGTGGTGATGCACAAGTTCCCCCACAAGGGCGCAGTCATCGCTGCTAAAAGAATCTATGCACCGTGTTAACGGCGCTATGAGACATTTGATGCGGCAGATGCCTTCAGTTTATAACAGTTACAAAACAACCACCAATAATTCATCAACGCACATTTGTTGGTATTGTTTTAAGACAGACTTGAGAACGTGAGAACGTGTTCTTTCAGGCTTATTCCACTGACCTTTTGACACTGGGCTCTGCTTTGAGAGAGAGGTCAGCGATGCACCTCTCGTCGATTCCACAGTCCACCAGAGGAATCTACAAGACAGAGACGCAAGTTCTCCTCCAGTCAGAAAGACATTTTCCTATTCTTACTTCATGTGTCCGAGCCTCACTGTACAGATTTATATAGGAAGTGTCTTTTTCACAGGCATTTGTTGAGGTAATTCAGGTTTATTCACAGTTTAAGATGCACTTGTATGAGCACAATTCTGTGTATTACAAATATTTTGGAGGCCAATCCTTTTCATTCATCAAAGTCCTTTTCCAGCCAGCTAACTGAGTATGTCTGCAGCCCAGGATAAAAGAGATGACCCCCCCCCAAGACAGGACGAGAGAATATCATACGCAGCACCGTGTCAAAAGAAAAACTTCCGTTTTCTGCGTGCGTGTCCCTTCTCTTCCTTTCAATAACAATAACAGGAGAGGTCCTGATGTCCCAAATACGCTTCCTCACTTGTGAGAGTGCAGCGTTTCTCGCTGCTATGACGGCATCTGGCAATGAGGATCTGTCCAGGATCATAAACACATCACGTATGGTCCTGTTTTTAGAAATCGGGAGGGGGCGGCGCGTTTGGCTTTGATTTCCCTCTTTGTTGCGTGTTAAAGTTGAATTCCCATGTACTATTTCCCCTCTGTATCTGTAAAACCTCAGTCATGGCAACACTTATCCGGAGCCCCTCTTGTTAGAACAACTGTGCATGTGGGAGTGTGGGAAGACTTCTGGTGTTGAAACCCCAATGCCGTCTTCAGGAAACAATGAAGGATGGCAGTCAGCTGTTGCAGATGCTAATGTGGTGAAACAGCAGCCCGTTTGGAGCCAGACAAGAACGCCCCGCACTCAGATGGAGATGGACAGATGGAGGCTGTTTAACAGATCCCTCCTGTGACTCTTTCTGCTTACTGTTATTTGGCAGTTCACACTTAAAGTGCTGAGAGAGACTCTTACAAGTGATATGAAGTCTTACCGTCTCATTGATGGATCTGGGAAGGTTTTCATCCAGGACGGGGCCTTTATCTTCATCGGCCAGTCCGAACTCCAAAGACACCATGAGAGGTTCCCTGAAGTCCAGCCGGGGCTGAAGAAGAAGAAGAGAAGGAGAGAGGATTTGGGGTGATTAGACCCATAATCAGGGCTTTGTGCATTCGGTTCAGGCTCCCCGTCACTCAGACCACAAACAACAAGCCATTTGTAATCCAGTCGGCGATGATTGACGGAGATTAAAATAAATTCTGAGGGACACGTGGATGTCCATAGAGGTCCAATCAGCCAGAAGAAGCCTGCGTGAGGGCGGTGGGCTTTTAAACGACTGAAAATTAGAGACACCGTATGAAAGAAGGGCTTCACATTACAGCATTAAGCCCTTTTTTTAGCCATGGATTCTTCAGAGAGACACTCATCTGCTCTCAGTTCGTCCAGTTGTTTATGACTGCTCTGACTCGGCTCTTGTCCATCTTGGAATCCACCAGTTGTGGTCCTAATCTCCTGACCCTTGTGGACTTTACGTGGGACGCTTCTGCACAAACACACTCAAACACAGCAGGTATTCATGCGCAGCAACAACAGCTGTTGCCACTGATTAGTTCCTCTTCCTCTCGCCCAGGGGCAGCTAATCAGAGACGTCCACCGCTGCAGCGACGGGAAGGAAGAACCGCGCGGCTTCGCTTTGAGCGACACCTCGTCACACACAACCCTCCTGTAGCGCCTTCGCGCAATTCACAACTCAGAGCGGCAAGGCGCTTCCCTCGTCACAACCAACGTCTTCCGTCTCTGCATGAGACTTCTCACAGCTCCGTTGCGACTCCTTACCCAATTTAGATAGATAAGCCCTAGAAAATAGATCTCCTGAAGGTGTTCATCGGTAAGAACAGGTAGGACCAACCCCATGTGAGCGTCATCATGGAGACGAGAGTACTTGCCGACATCACGAAGGTTTCTTGCACACACTTCCTCTCTTTGTCTGTGATGCTGAGGCTCCCGGTGATCCTGCGATCGCTTTTATCATCTGAGGCCTTAAATGAAGCCCTGGCTTTGGCACGCAGGGCATCCAGAGTGAGATTGTAGCGGATCACTGCGGGACACAACGGATAATGAGTCACGTACCGGCAACAACTTTGACAACTTTGGAGGAATTGAGAGGACGCCAAATGGCTCACCGGCGGCAGGCTTTTCGTCCTGGTTGTTAGACTTGATGCTGTAGTCAAAACACACCGTCATTTGCACACACACTGACGCGCGTCCAGCGTGCACACACTGAGTCTTCTGCAGGTTGATCTTGACGGGGTCGAAAGTCATGTTGGCGCGGAGCGCCGCAACGTCTCTGGACCTGGTGAAACGAGACAGACATTGCCAACTGCTAGAAAACGCCGTCGTCTCTGCCGCAGCGGGGGCAGCGCGTGTGTGCCCGGACAAGCATCCGGTCGTAAGGAACAAGAAACGGATGCATCTTGAGAGTAAAACTTGGCCGCGGCTATTTCTGTTCAAGCTTTCGCAAACACAGCAGTGCAGGAAGGAGAGCCGCCGGCAGCCAATTTTTAACTCGAAAGCCACTCGGGAGACGGAGTTTTCACACAGCTCAGCTGAGCCTCTGCCAGTAGGAACTGTGGGAGAGGGACTGCGCGGGGAGTTAAATCAGGGTGTGGGCTGATGCTTAACGTAGAGATCATCAGGAAGTTGTTGGTCTCAAAGCCACGAGGCCGGTGGGACGCGCACAGCTGCCTAAACCCTCGGAAGGCCGAACGCGCGCGGTGATGTCTCTCTCCGGGATACGAGCGCTGCTGCTGGTAACGACTCAGGTGGAATGTGAGGTTTCAGGGAGTGAATGTTTTATGTGTGAGGAGGAGCCGTGGCTCACCAGAATAGCGAAGCCCCTCCCAGACCTCCTATGGTGACATCGGTGATTCCATCTCCATTTAGATCCATGACTCCATGTATGGACTGGCCAAAGAATTTCATCTTTTCACCGTCCCCACCTGCAGGGATATGCTGAAGGGAAGAACACAGATCTCATTAGAGCACATTGAAGGGGAATTCTGGAATATTTCAACCTGGCACATTCCCCCGAAATCTATCGGGGCTCCGCTGGTCATGCGAGCAAGCTGCACAACAATTAGAATAGTTTAACTCCAGACATCCCAACAACTGAGCCACCCTTTCTCACCTGCACAAACTTCTCTTTCAGGGACTTCTTATCTCCATGGTAGATGTAGACGGCCCCTCGGTGGTCGTTCTCAAAGGGCGCGCCGATGGCCACGTCGTTGAACCCGTCGAGGTTGAGGTCTGACACTGCGGCGATGGCCGTACCGAAGCGGGCGCCGCACGGTTCATTCTTATTGGTGCAGCTGGCTGAGTGGGCAGTGCAACAGGACTGATTGACAGGCTTCAAAGTGAAAGTGTGGTGAAACTGGCCGCCCTGGAAATAAAGACAAAAAAAAAAAAAATCACATTCTGACACAAGACACACACACACAACCATATTCTCTTCTTACTGAATCTTCTGTACCTGGTCGAGCTCGTAGACGTAGACTTGTCCCTGCTCGTCTCTTTCCGTGCCCATATACATCGGAGCTCCGACCAAGAGGAGATCCGTGGAGGAATCTCCATCCACGTCGACAGTCTGCAGCACGCTGCCAAAGTAGGAACCGATCTGCCAAACAAACGCACAACAACATTACAGAAAACCTCAGGGCCACCAAAGAACGCCCTTCCTCTAAGCCTCTCCATGCTACTACGTTCATTCCTTTGGGATTAATAACGTCTAATCAGACATGAGGCAGAAGTGAATAAAGATGTCTTCTCTGCACAGAAAGCCTCCTCAGGCACCAAACTGAAAAAGACCCACCTGTTGTCCTTTCAGTATCTGTGAGACGACGACGTGGTTCTCTGCATCCAGGCGGTAGACGACCACCCGGCCCGTGTGGTTGTACCGCGGCGCACCGGAGATGTACAGCACTCCGTCCTGCGTGGATGCTGACTGGACATCGTAGCCTGCAGAGACACGCGCGCACACGTCAACGCACTGTATTCAACTCTGTGCTGAGTTTACAGTACGCGAGCCGGCCGCCGCCAGTGTTCTTTCTTATGACATGTTGATTAAATAACGTGATATCAAGAGGCCGGCGTTGCTCTTAGAGCCGTAAAAGGCAGTAAGGCACGAGATTAGAAGGAGAGAAAAGCATGCATTTATTAGTTGTGTGACATGGAGATGGACTGCATCTGCTGCCGGAGTTACGAATCTTAATTACATATCTTACTGCACCGTGTAACAGAAACTATTTTATGCTATGCTTTACTATTGTAAAGCACTTTGGCTGGCCGTTGGCCTTTAAAAGTGCTACATAAATAAAATGTTCATTTTGCAGCTGTAAAAATTTAATTGATCTCCAGAAAGATCTCTCTGTCTCTGTGTAACACAATATAGTTGTTTTTGGACATTTAAAAACGGTATTGTTGTATTTAGCTAATTAACGGGTGTATATTTTAATATTTATTCCAGAAACACACGGGAAGAAGAAACACTACTTCGCAGCATTGAGAGAATATGTCTTTGTGCATAGAAGAGTGAACTCACCGAGGTACCCAGAGAGGCCTTCGTACCCGGCCTCAGTCTCCGGGTCGTAGAACGCGGTCTTCCCCGGAACAATGGTTCCTCCAGCAGTGTGCATGATCACTGTCCCGTTCCAGTCATAGGCTCCCACTGCTCCCAGTAACAGGCCGTCCTGTTCCAGTTTGTCAGATGTTTCTGTATTTCTCTCATATACGGTATCATTCTAAATTCAACGTGCAATAATGTGGATAAAAAACAATCTCTGTGATACTGTGAGATCGTTATTTCATTTTCATTTCAACTCATCAGTCAAACAGGAGAAAAGAAAAGGAACGTTGCAACTTCTTGAAAACATAAAGACAGGCAACGTGAATAATATGCAACGCAGTACAACTAAACATAAAACCGAAAGCAAAATGAATAAATCCATCTTTTCGACCTTCCCTATCTACCGGACACAGAGTTAATTAAAAGGGAAGGGAGGGGGTCACAGAGGACATTACACGCACTATTACGTATGACTCGGTCTGGTTTCAACTCGAAGGAGCCGCTCAGCGAGCGCACACGAGTGAGTCAGGAGCAGGAAGAGTCTGTTTTTTTTAAATAGATTGCAGGGACTACAATGTGACGGGGCCAAAGCGAGCGTGCTGTTCTAAGATTAGCGACAAGGATCTAATTCAGCTTCCCGCGGCCGCCTCTCGCCCGCCTGTGTTACACCGGGGCCTTTTTGCGTCTAGACGGGTTCATTAGTTGAGCAACACGTTTCCTTTCCCCCCACGAGCACGAAAGATAGACAAAAAACTAAACAGCGACTATACGACGCACTTGTCTGTCGCTGGGGTTTGGTTTTGGTTTGTATTTTCGTCCGACAAATACTTAAGACTTACTTTGGAAGTGTGTGCACTGAAGCCAGCTTGGGACATCTCCATCTCAAAGGAAGAGGTGAAATTGCCGGTTGTCGCTGAGGGTGAAAAAGTGACACACAAGCAGACCAGTTGTTTCCCTTGTTTAAACTGGTTTGTGCCGTGTGTGTGTGTGTGTGTGTGTGTGTGTGTGTGTGCAGGGACATTTACCTTCCAAAGCAAAAATCTTGCTTCCCAAAGCATCCACGATGGTCAACAGCGCCACCTCGTCCGACACGTTGAAGAAGTGGTCGTGCAACGGCTCACTGGAGATGGACTCGATCTCCTTAATAAACTTCTGCACTTCTTCTGAGCCTTTATTCTGACGATTGTAGTCTCCTAAAACCTGGAGACGACAACAAACCACCTCAATGCTCCCTAACAACGGTTGAGTACACTTTGCCAGGAGACACCAACGGAAAACACATTCACAGCAGGAGTTTGTACCCACAGCAATGCCAAACCTCTCGATGTCATCTTCCTCACACTCTTTGATGACCTTCTTCAGATTGTGACTGTCATGTGACTCCCCGTCAGTCACAATCACCATGACTTTCTTCACCCCGGGACGAGCACCGCGCTCCGGCAGGAAGGCCTCTTTCCTGACGGATGCGACATCAACAGTAAAAGTTCAGTCAAAAGAACGAAACGTCTGAAGCATCTGCTGAAACGGGACCTTTTCAAAAAAAAAAATGGCACTTATATTACCCACAATGCACCTCAACCACCACCGTTGGGTAACATTTGAGCTTTTAGAGAGAAATCTGTCCAATGGTGGCACTGCGAGTGGTGTGTTTGGACCAAAAAGGGCAGAAGCTGTCTGAGTCCATCCCCGAGCCCACTGAATTGGTCCCGCTCGAATGCCAAATAAACCGCGTTGACGTAACGGAGAACCGTGGCACTGCGTCGCCAGGCTGTCCCAGACGAGGAGGGCGGGGGGAGTGCGGCGAATACCTGGCAGTATCGATGCCCAGGAATGTCATGGTCTTGTAGCCGGTCTGCTGAGGAAGTTCTTCTACAAAGTTCAGCAGATCTCGGGTGTTGTCGAACTGGCTCAGGTTGACCCGGTGAGTCACATTCAAGCCATAGGACACAATCCCCACCTGAGAAACACACACAGCGCTCCACGTTAGAACATCTTTTCCCTTTTCTCGCCTTCTCTCCCTGCCCTGCCAGGCAGTCTGCTGAGGATGTGGTCGGGTCTGGTCCGGGTTGATATGACACAATGTTCTTTATATAGCAGGCAGAGGACTTCAGCAGGCCGCGGAAGATGTGACTTGCGAGACTTTCCAATGTTTCCCTCTCTGGAAAACTCCAGAAGCTCCAGACCGGATCAACGCGACCGTAATACAAAAACAACCACCCAGTCGAGGAGCCGTCCAGGACAAGTGGACAGAAAGACACTCAGTGTATGACTAACCAAGGCCAAGGCTGAAATAACCTCAAAGAACATGATGAAAATATAGTTGGCGGCAAACAGTTTATTCCTTCATTCATCCTCTTTTCCACGTCTATTTATCCTTTACCCATTTATGTTTGAGTCAGAACAAAAGCGGTCCGACATGATGCATTAATATTCTATTTAAGTCACATATTCACGGGGCCGACCTGTGAGAGTTTAGGTCCGATCTGAATGTTCTCGATGAAACGCCGCAGAAAGTCGATGATGCTGCTCCACGGGTAGATGCTGTTGGATCCATCCAGAACGATCACAATGTCCAGTTCTTTCGGACACTCTGGAACAAATCCACAAAGTATCGTTGATTCAATTGTATGTTGTTGCTTTTTTTTATTTATCTGCATGCAGCTACAGGGGATTGCTTTCATTTTATACACATTAAATGTTTTATCTGTAAACTTTTCCAAAGATGGACTTCCTGTTTCCCAAGAATTACTGATCTCACTCCAAAGACAGATATCCAGTCCCCGTCCTGTTTGTGCCCACAGCAGACACGCAACAGTAGCTGCTAATCAAAATGTAATAATGTCCAGCAGTGCTTCCCAACTTGGGGGTCGGGGCCCCCACAAGGGGTCACAAGTTAAACTGAAGGGGTCGCAGGACTGAAATAGACTCAATTACAACATCATTTTAAATGAATAGTTCAACCCCTCGAGCTCACTCATCCACATGAGGTACCACTTAGAGGATGAGGATAATAATGCATTGTGTCTTTCACAGTGCATAACTTTTATTTTCCTTACTATTAATCCAATGGGCAGGTACCGCAGTAATTGTGCTGAATGAGGCAAACCTCGCCATTCATTCACCTCCATGCAGAGGGCTAAAAAGTGCAGTTAGGAGGCCTCTTGTGAGGGCAAAGAAGCCCCCGAAGGCCGCGCACAATCTCTAATAGTTCTTACATTCACTTTAATCCAGTCCTCATTAAACCACTTAAGGACGTGTTAATGATCGGCCCGCGCATGTCTTTGTTTCTGCAACTTGAATGGCAGTGAAATACTGAAAGAATCAATGACGGCAGAATGTTTACTCTCTGGCTCTCACACTGTTTCCTTCCTGGGAAACAGTGTGCAGGCGCATTAAACTGTCTCCTAACTTGGGCATTGAACGCAGCAGAGGGGCCGGGGTTGGGCCGGGGCCGGGCCGGGCCTCGGAGCGATGGGGGTCGCAGACAAGTTTACATTAAGAGGAATGCTCTTATCTCCCTCTTCGCCGAGAAGGGCTGAGGTTGATGTCGGGGGTCTTGGGCGGTTCTACTGCGAGGAGCAGATCGCAATCTCCCATCCCCGACGGGGGCAATCTGAGCCGGGGTACCTTGCACGGCCGGTGCCACGGAGTTGAGGATCTGGAAGGATTCGCTGACATTCGCACAAACCCCTGAGATGTACTGCTGCTGCCCGCACATGTAGCCGTACTGAGGACCGCAGGCCTGTGGAGACAGAACACACACACACACACACACACACTCAGTGCTTGAGGAAATAGGCTGTGACTGGTGAGCTTTCCACCAGGGCTGGTGAGAGGAGGTTCGGGGGTTACCGAGGACAGAAACCAAGAGGAAAGAATTACTCAAACTGGGGATTACAAAGAGACTTTTTAAAAACCAGCAGAGATCCCTTCAGACTGTACTTCTCCAGAGAAAAATAAAGAAATAAAGGGGAAATGGGGAAAGTAGATAACTATCTATCAATCCAGCCTCATTTCCTTGGATTTCCCTGGATGCTCCACAGCTTCAACGCTCTCCTGCCATTGGGAGGGCTACGAGACTGAGAGACTCCAGCTATGCTAGCTGCTAGCTATGCTAGCTGCTCTGCGCGGCTTTGCTGAGCAAAACGCTAACATCCCCATGCTAATTAGCCAACGCTACGGTGCTAACGATGGCTGATTAACAATTAACAGAAGAACTGAGGCTGATGAGAATGTCGTCTCAAAGAAATTGAGTCTTAAAATACATAAAATGCGTGTTGTTGTTCACATGTGACTTTTGACGTGATTGAAATCAAATTAATTAAATTGAATGTATTAGATGAGCTGTGTTGGGTGTTGAATCAATACATTTAGGCAACAGTTATTCCTTGAAGTTACACTTTAAGTCTTAAAAGACGGTTAGAGGTTCAGTTACCGTTGCAGGATCTACCGGCCATCAGTCTATCATTTTTACACACTAAAATCATTTACTGAGGTTCACATAACCATGAAAATGGAACGGTGGTTGCCACCTTCTGCTCACTCAACCACAAATATGATCCACAGTGTTACATTCCCAGGACCCGGTTTCACTGAGACATGGGAGGGTCAAGTCCACTGTTTCCATAGAGACCAAAGGTCCAGGGAACACATACTTGCTGCACAGTTCCTCGCAGACAATATGCAAAGTTCAGTCCTAATTTTGAGTCCAGTATGGAAAATGTACCGCAAAGCACGTCCATCACGTACAAAGAGCAGCTTCCCCCTTACCAGAAATCCTCCGTTGGGATTGGTCACCAGCGTGGTTCCCATGGTCATGTTCTCCTTGACTTCGTGTAAGTTGGGAACCGTTGTGTTTTCTAAGAGAAGAAAATATGGACGAGTAAACAGAGTGAGACAAACCGAGAGAGCAGCACAGGCGGAGAACAGCTGTACAAATTCCCCTCCTGTATTTTCCCATAGGGAGAGGGCCGCTTGCCCCCTGTTCCTTACTTCCTGCTACAACACGAAGATGCAACAACCACTGACGTGTGGTTAAATATAGCACGTTGCCTTAGTTTACCTCAGTGTTTAGCTTATGGAGCCTAAGAGAGGACGCGGAGCGCAAACCAACACGTTTTGTTGATAAACACCCCCCCGTTGCAGGGAAGAAGAAATGGCAGATTTGTATCATTAAGCAATCACAACATGTGGCTAAAATTAGCACGTTATGACAAACCCTCCCAATTTGGGAATGTTTTGGATCTGCTTTTCTTTCCACTTACTCTGACGAGCTCCTTTCACACGCCGTTTCAATTGCGAATTGAGCTCTTTACAAATCCCCATGGGGAGGAATTTTGATATTTAACCATTTGTGATTCTCATTAGGAGGCAGGAATGTGCTCCCCTGTGAACTGACATGAGCGGAGCTGCTAGTAGTTAGTGTGACGTGATGGGCCTTTAATGGCTTTAGGCTGGCCCTATTCTTCATCTCTGTGTGAATACAGATTCTTGCTTAAAGCCCCCCCCCTATTTCCTGTCTTCATGCATGAAAACACTGAAGAGGAGAACCCACAATTAAAATATATATATTTTTTGATGCACGGTTAACAGTTGTCTGCACACACAGTACACTTCAAAGACAGTTTGTTGCATTAAGTGGCCTTTCCTTGGTTCTTATCTGATAAATTGAGTGATCTGGACCGAGATCCAGCACCTCATGATTCTTCCTCGTGGGACTGAAAGCAGCTTTGTGGATCTGCGGGGGAGAATACACGCTTTGTCCTCAGTGAACTGTGAACCCCAGATAGCAATCAGAACGAATCAGACTCATTACACAATCCTTCTTGGTCTGCGACGACATCCAGAAAATCCGAAAAAGCTAATGCTGTTGGTTTGCTTCGGCTGAAATATAGTGATATAGTGAAATAAGTGACCCAGTACAATGTTTAGGTACTTAACTGATACATTACAATGAACGATATATCATTATAAGAAAAAATTGGCTTAATTGATTTCTGAAGGAAATTCCAAAGCAAACCTGCAGCATTTAAATTATGATAACTTTTTACACTTGGCATTAACATTTCATCATCGTACTCTAGTTACAGACACAGTTCATGCCTCAAGATCTGTAAAATCAGTTCATCAACAAATCCACCCAGGAATAACTGCTGAACGACTGCGGCCTAAGTTTGCTTTGCTTTTCATTTGCGTTCGATGTTCCAAACTGTAATGTAATGTAAACACACTCCTGCACATCGTGGATGCTGGGAGCCTTTTGTCAGTATTTCCTCACAGAAAATTGCCTTGGCTTAAACAACCTTACATGTAATTGCTCGGACCGAGCGGTGATTAAGAACCACCACGTAACAACCGCACAAATTTAACTTTCATTATGGTTTGGCACGTCTCTCTCCTGCAGACTCGTCACCAAAATGACAAAGTGAAGGACGAGCCGCGTCCTGGTCCAGGTTTTAAAACTATGTCAGATTCGCTTCTGATCACAGCCCTGTCGCTGTCGTCGTCATGTGATCCACGCCCAGCTGTTCCCTCAGCTGTCTGGCTCCACTTGCCGGGATCGATTGCCAGTGGATGATTTCCAGACTCAAGTTGGGTTTGTGAGATTTAGGGTTTCGTAACTCATCCAAGATGAAAAAACAAACAAACACTGCTCTCTGCTCCGGTGAGAGGAGGAGTATTATTTCCAGTCCTGATTGTGAATGATCAGCATTTACAGCCAATCGTTTCCCAACAGCAGGAGAACTGTAACTCCGGTCGCTTTAGAGCGGCGATGTTGAAAAGTATTAAATGCCGAGTGGCGAGTTAGTGAGCGGATCTTCCAGTGTGGACACACAGTCTGCTGACCGGGAGCTGAGTTGTCTTTACTGTTTAATTAAGATGTAATTGGAAGGATGAGGCATTCAAAGCTTGTTTATTTACTGTCTTCCTGTTCAGATGGGTCTCACTTCGCTTCCTTCCCGCTAGAGCCCATCAGATATGAAGAAAACTTAAACAAATATATCCACAAAACTGAGAAAAGCAGCAAATGCTTTTGTAACCCGCGTAGTGTCGGTTTGAGAATCAAAAATTTTACATTTTTTAAAATCGATCCCGTGACCAAGTATTCTTACTAGGCAGCTCCAGTTTGACACAGGTGTTGTTCCCCCGTCCCACGGGACACTTGTAGACGTCTCCTGTCCGTTTGGCCGGCTGGCCCGACAGCGGCGATCCAATCAGGACCCTGAATAAATAAAGAACAGAATTGGCTGGTTAGAAATCCTGCCAACCATCACACACACCGGCATCACTGTTTAACGATTGTGATAACAAGCACCATTCCAATATTAGTGCAGATATTAGGGGCTGGGAGGTGGTGACATTAGATTTGCCTTAATTATACCAAAACATAAACAGCAGCTTCAGATCGGCCGATAAAGCTGTTGTAGGTTATTATAATTGGCTTACGAATCTGCGGCTCTCATATTATTACCCCCGAAACTACGCTAGGTAACCAAAATAATATTGACAAAGCTCATTAAAAGGAAACCCATTATTATCACCTCATTACACGCGGACGCATGAAATATTGCAGATGTTTGCAGATCGTTCCAGAGAGCCGACCTGCACGTATCAGCTCTTTACTGGACACGTGTGTTCGCCGTGCAGAGCTGCACACGTGCACGTGTTACGCGTCCATGTCGGTGTGTTCGAGTTTCCCAACATATCGTGTCCCAGCGCCAGTAAACTAAACCCAGTCGGTCATCTGCCTTCCTCTGAATCCTCTGGCCTATTAACATTCCTGGACTCTAATGGGCTTTGGTCATCCAAGGCGACACTCAGTTCGGCCCACAGTCAGCTTTCACCAACATGAATTATCTGTTCATGAGAAGCAATCTACGGGATGACGTCCAAAGCTAAATAATATCGCAAGGACTCTTTGTTCCAAACTGAAGAATATCAAAATATATTTTATGGACTGGTTGACTTTTCAGATCAGAAGTCTTGTGGGAAAGGTTCTTGTAGAACCTTCAGTGTCCCCCTGAACCGTCTCCTCCACATGTCATTCTTCCTGGTGCAGTTGAGGGTCTGAGGGCCACTGAAGAGCTTAAGGGTGGGGGGTCTGGACCAGACATCTGCATCCGATCAGCTGCGTTAACCTGCGTGTTACATCCCTTCACGCGGACTAACCGGCGGATACATGAGGTCTCCAGTTTTACTGCCCCTTCTCCTCGTTTCTTTCAAACCTCCTCCATCATTTATCTCTCTGTTCTCGTTTTTTTTTGTCTATTCCCCCCCCCCCCCCCCCCTCCTCAGCTCTCTGACCACTTTCACCACATTTTTCTCTCAGGGGTTTAACTTCCTCAACCGGGTCCTTATCGTTCGGACCTCTTCGGGCAACACTTTGCTCCGAACGGGAACAAAACAGTGCACACAGCTGGCTCTGCTGATTAGCGGTGAGTGAATTATTGCAACTGAACGCGTACGAGCTGGATAAAATCATTACGGCAAGAAGAGCAGCCTGGTGCCGCCATGTGGGACAGCAAGCAGTGGTGTTGCAACAGGTTGGAGAGAAGCAAGCTGGGAGATAAAGACAGGAGTGACCAGAGGGGAGGGACGTAGACACGGAGCCGATAACACAAACTCTGATAGCTTTTTAACAAGGTTTTTAAAAACATGTGCTCCCAGACAGTTTTAGCAAGGAGCCACGGATACTTGGTTTCGGTGTATTTACAGGCTCAGTATGTGGAGTTTAGGGTTAACAGGTAGAGCAGTAAAGGCAGGAGGCCTCATTACAGCAGCAGCTGGTCCGCTCTCCTTCACTTGGTTTTACAAGTCCATGATTGCTGTTTTCACTTTTGTTAATGTTGAGGATTTGAATGGAATTGAACTCGGTGTGCAGAAAAGCGTCTCCAAAACAACACTTTATTGCCAGGATAATTATGAGGACCACCTGAGAACAAACAGAAGAGATTTGGATACTGCTCCTTTGGACAACTTTGTCTGGACACAGTAGCCAAGTTCACATCAAAATGTAACGCAAATTTGAACCAAATTTCCAGAAAACCCTCAGGAGAAAACAAAAACAAATACATGTATGTTTCTGTCCACATGGAGATATCAGGAATGGAGTTAACAGTTGGCTAGGTGCCATTAAAGGACAGCAAGCTGAATACCTAAAAGAGTTCCAGTCAAACCTCCCAGCGAGTGACGACGACATCGACATCTAAATCACCGGAAGAACGTCGGCGACACTCACCATTTCCCCTCGTTGTTCTCAAACTGCTGGACAGTGTAGCCAAACATGTCCTCCAGGGGGCCTTCGAAGGACATTCCATTTTTCTGGTCCACGTTGAAGGACAGCACACACGGCAGCAGCACTGCGAGGACGAAGGGAAAGGAAAGGTGAGCCGGTGACTGTCAGCGAAATCCTAAAATACGATTCTTGTTTTTTCAATTTTCTTATTCCAGAAGGCCATGTTAAGAATGACAAGGTCAGCACAAACAAACATTATCTATTGATATTTAGAAAACGTCCAAGATGCAACCTGGAATTGGAAAAAAATAACAGAATAACTTCAAATAATAAACATTTCGGGAAATCAAGCCCTAATATTTATATATTCTAATAATATGAGAATGACGCAGAGATGCTTCACTGCGAGGGACGGACTGTGGGAACATATTCCGCACACAGAAACGCCGTCGTTTTGTAGGACGCCGGAGGAATTTCGTACATCAATGCGAAGCACTCTGGTCAGAGTCCAGTCTGACCCGCGGGACAATGGCGTCCTCTCTGCGCCGAGCGCAGGCCGCGTCCGTCCGTCACCCGGCCGAGCGCGTATCACAGGGGCTCCATATAAACCCGTGCATGTCTCATTGTGCTCGCACTACAGTGCCACTCTTTATGTCTACTGCGCCGGGGAATTCCTCCGGTTTGATTTATTCGATTTGTGAGGGAGGAGTAGTTGGACAGCGGGACTAAAAAAAGAACAAGCAGGACACAGGTCGCATACATGGAGACACACATTTTTTAAAGCAGCCATTTGTTTGATGATGATGTTCTGTAGCTAACGTTTCTGACCCAAAGTCAAGAGGCAGCTACCATATGGAGTCATTTGGAGACTTTTCAGCCTGAAGGACACCGGCTGCTCTGTGGGTCTTACATATGTCCAAACATATTTGTAGAATTGCTCTGAAATTTTGTGCAGACATTTACGGTCCCCAGAGGATGAACCCTGATGGTTTTAGTGGGCCTCTGACATTTCCTCAGACTTTATTCCCATGAAACTTAATCAATGTCCTTCTAACGGATGAACTGTAATAACTTTGGTGACACTTTAACTTTTCACCATAAAGTCAAAATATTTGCCAAAGGCCGATGTTAATAACCAAATACCTGCAGAACTAACGGCATTCTCAGCGCACGTAGTCTCAAAGAGGCTTGGATGCATGAATCACTGTACTCCTCAGGTCCTCAGGTCCCCTCTCATTGCTTTCTCATAGACAGCGGACTTTAAAACAAACACACCTCTGCCAGTCATCATCCAGTCACGTTCAGACAGATTTTGCACACGGTTCGGCTCATAACGTTCCCCTGTGGTGAAGAGAGATGGACGGGGGGGGTTGGCAGGAAGAGCCCGACGTCATACACTGGAATCCCAGCCAGGAAATATTATCCCGCTGCTCTGTCCCTTCACTTCCTCTGCTGCTGCTCTCCGTCCCTCAGAGAAGCTCCATTTCCTGTTGCTATTAACCTGATTATGGACATCCCCTCACATGCACAGGTGCACACACACACACAAGTAATTAGGCTGATTTAAGATGGCTTTGGGCCAAAGCGGCCTTTACCATTTATCACAGCGTGAACTCAAGTACAGTTCAGAGTCGCTGCAGGCCGGAGCTGTAAATCACACACCAACGTCCTCTGTCGGCTGGCAGTCTCTCGTGAATACCAATCTCATTTAGCTGCTTTGGGGTGTCTCCTGTCTCTGCTCCAATCACAACCTGGAGGTCACGTAACTTTTGAGCTAAGCTAACATCTGCCATGGAAAGCCAATAAGAGGGCTTCTCCCTTTGTGGATGGAAATGGCCTCACGAGCCTCTGAGGTATTGGCATATAAAGCTGTCCATCAGCGCGTGGAGGCTTCACGTTGTGCTCTATTACACATGGTGAGCATCGCGGTCCTAAGACAGTCGGTCACCACTTTAGGACAGGCTGAAATACAACATCTATTGGATGGACGGAAATGACATTTTCCTCCACTGCTGATGAATTGGGAGAATTTTGACAGGCTTTTCTCGTGAGTTTTTTTGCAACCAGAAGCAACACAAGAGGATTGAGCGAATAGGAATGTGTTAGAAGTTAACTTTAAATGAGACCACCACGTTGTATGGTTCCTCATAGACTTCTAAATGAAAGTTTAAGGCGGTTGCCTTGCAGAAGTAACGACGTATTCCTCCGGCTCAGCATCGCTGAGGGTTCGCACAGCCTCACGGAGGAGGACTGCATTTCAAACGCAGACCTGCTGATGAAATGCAGTCCGTGTATGCCACTGTTTATCCCAACAAGAATCGCCTCTTTTGCGAACAAGAAAAATTGAATGTAAATTGGGTGAAAAAGCTCTGCCTTGAGATTACAGCGGCGAGCGGGTCTGTTTTTGGTCAATCTCCATGTGGTCCTGATTGCTCCTGGCAGGCTGTCAGCCAACACTAACCCCACGATGAAACCCTGCTGCAGTTCTCCAAACCAAAACAACTCCGTTTCTGCATTTAACAATGCAGCGAGAACTCCAACTCAGTAGCCAAATTCCCTCCGATGCAGCCAGGTCAGAAAGCAGCAGAGATCAGCGCCCGCTGGCCTGTGAGGCATCAGACGGGCTATAAAAGCGACCCTGTGTCAGCACCTGTAAGCTTCAAAGCCTCAGTAAAAACACACGCCCGACCAGCACCTGCTCATCTGCAACATACCTAAGCAGCTATAATCAGCTTTAAAGCTTAACGCAGATCAGCACCTGTAGGCAACAAAAGCCATTAAGAAACCGTGAAACTCAACCCGTTGACCGGTTGTAGTAACGCGCGCGTGTCAGCTGCGGCGTTGAGCCCAGACAAACCCTTTGGTTTGGGTTTACGTATGAACACAAGGGGCAAACTTCGGATCTGTAATGCTAATGTCTGCGCAGAGAGGGAAATATAAATGAATCAGACGTTTCACCATGATTAGAAAGAAGAGAACGGCCCTGCAGCAACACGAGAAGCTCTGTAAGCTGATCCTTAACCTGAGTTATTACCCAGCAAGCGAACACGCTTAAATGTTCACAACCTGGGACCCGTTTCACAAATGGTGCCAGGAGATCCTTTCACAAGCATTTGCTCTGGTGTTTCTTTTGATAAGTTGATGTGTGAGAAGCAAAGCTTGCAGGTGCTGTTGCAAAGCTTGTCCCTGATGTTTGGCAGATGTTGTTAAGTCGTGAAACCAAAGCACTGGAAAGATTTGACCCAACGACGGGGTTAAATAGAAAGGTAGTTCCCCAAAGTTGTTACCGTAAATCAATGTCAATGTCAACTGATCACCAAATTCAGTTTGATTCATTCTCAGGGGATCTTGATCTTGAGATATTTCACTGGACAACTTCAAAAGTGAAGGTAAGTGTGTCAAGGTGACTTTATTCCATCCTGGGGAGCATCAACATGTGCTCAAAATGTCACGGCAGTTACTGAGATATTTAAGGCACCGTTAAAATGATCTCTTTCAACGCTCCTCCACCCATTCATTCATTTCCATCCCATCCCTCTCTCCCTCAACAGCCTCATCCGTCTCCCCACTATGTCCTCCCTCGGTTCCTTCTTCGTCCCTTCCTGCCGTGCCTTTTATTCATTGACTGGACGCGTCTCAGGTTCCACACTCGCTGAAACTTCCAGATGTATCCTCTGGAGCTCCTTTCTTACCCTGGTGCGGAAAACATGTCGGCTTACAAGCTGAGACCCACGCATGACATCACCTCCCCAGACGGGAGTCAAAGCTTTCATCCCCCCCGAATTCACTGCGCATGCTGCACACACAGCGGTGATCAGAACGGTTTTAACATACAGGGGAGCAGCTGGGATGGGAAGGGGGGGGGTCTGGGATAGATCAAACACCTCTGGGGGAACTAAAAATATACACACACCCAGGGGTCAAATAATGACCTTCCTCCAGAATCAATAAGCAACATGCAAAAGCAATCACGCTGCGCCTTACTGTAACGGCGAAACGACATTCTCCTGCAACTGTTACGGCATCGCGGCAGGTTTATTTTGCAAAGTCAGTGAAGCCGAAAAGACATTTCTAAGGAAAACACGGGAACAAACTGGAATCCAATGAACAGTAAAGAAGGAGTGTAGTTTGTCGCCACCCATCCTGTGAAAACACACAGTATACGCAATCACTTTGACTGAAAGTTTCATTTAAATGTTCTTTAACCATAGTTTAAAAGAGCAGCAGTACAATTTATTTGCGGCGTGTTTAGTGTGTGTTTAATAAGTAATACTTACGCTCTCGGCCAGACTACCACTTAGCGGAACAACACACACATTAATCTGCACTGACCACTTGTGTTGATGTCATTTTAATTGGTTGTAGGATAATCCACAAATAGTAGAGTGCTTCCGACTCACTACCTGCTCGTTACGAGGATCTATGCAAATTCATCTGCTCTATAGTGGTTAATAGCTCACTGTTTAGTTATGAATCTTCCATGCTGATCAGGCTATTTCCAGAATAACTAACTAAAAAGAATAGTTTAGTAAATATTTGCTTCTTTTTTTTTAATTTAAAAGTGAACCACTGAACGACATCATAAGGCTGATAAAGAGACACACATATTTTCTGGAAACAGATCAATTTCATTGCATCTGGTGAAAGCAGAGGCGTGATCACACCGGACGTGAGGACTGTGAAGACTCGGAAGGAGCTAGATGAACAGCAAAAGAATCAAGATCTACGCACAGAGGTTTTAAATAGTTAGTTCCTTCCTCAACAGGCAACATTGCGGTTCTTTTTCACAACCAAAGAGTCAAAATCACCGATGTCTCATGAACTAGTTTTTCCTCCCTTTCAAAACTCTGCTGCACCTTCTCCTCACATGCACAATGCTGGGCAAATAGATATTTCCCATAGAGCTGCAGCTTCTTTAACCTGGACATATGTTTCCAGATCAGGCCGGCAAGTCGCTACAACATCAGGAAGAATTCAGAACGCGAAATACTTGGCACATATGCATTGGGATATGCAGCCCGAGTGTGCACAGCATTCATGAAAAATGTTTCCAAGAGAGTTTTGTGAAATTTTGCTATTGGTATGAGGTTACTTGAGAAAATTCCAGCATTCTTCTGTCAGTCAACAGCCAAAAAGACATGATTTTATGCCACATATTTTTGACTGCAGCTTATGTGTAAAATCGTAAAACATATGTGAGGTCTGGTGTCAACAACGGCTCATCTGTGAGGCGTCAACCTTAGCAAACAGGGAACAAAGATCTAATTTACTTTCAATAATATATATATTATTTTTCTGTATTAAAGTGGATGAAAGTGGCTCTGGTCAAGTCTTGTCCAGAGATGGAAGATATTTGTTTTATACTGTGTCAGTGCTTTTCATTTAGTCATTGAATTTAGTTTTTTCCTGAAATTATTACTATGAAATAACCACTTTTGGTGTCGGGGACAGTTTTTTTTCCCCGTTGAATCAGTAGACTAGTCCGCCTGACTCATTGATCCTTTATCTGACCCAGGTTTGTGACCCCTGAACTAACTAACGGTAACTGTGCTGCGTATCATTGCTCATATCAAGTCATTGTTGCTGTCCGTAGTGCTGAAGAAGCCCCGCCCCCCATTATCTTAACTCCATCCAAAAATACAGAACCAAAAGAAGCGTTCATGAGGATCATCACGATATTCTGACTGACATCATGAGCGACTGACACCTTGCGCCTGGGAGACATTTGTGTGAAGGAGAACCTCGCGACTAGCACGCCTGGTGTTGTCGCTAGCACGCCTGGTGTTGTCGCTCTTGTTGGGAGGTGTTAATGCGAAGACGTTTCCCCCGGGCGGACGCCACGGCATGATGCCAGCGTGATGGATGGCTCTGGGAGAGTAACACGGGAGGGGCACGGAGGGGCCGGACAGGCCTGGTGCACAGATGCAGCATTGTGAAAACACACCCATCCAGGATCTGAGGCTATCAGCACTTAACGGCCAGAGAGAGGCAAAGGAGCACATGCATGTGCGTGTGCAAGTACTCCTCACGTGTTTCTTCTGGCAGGACGTTTCACACTCTGAAAAAAACAAGAAAACGACTCCAGAAAGGCCAAAATCCTCTTTTGGAGAAAAGTTAACGCCAAGAAAAGAGAACTTTACCAGTACTTTTAAAATGATCTTGTTCTTTGAATATTTCCCAACAGAAAAAAATGACTTCCCTAAATGTAATGAAAGAGGCGGTAAACAGAACCTGTTAGTTTCAACCACAGCAAACAAGTTAGATGTGAAACCACACGGAGCTTCTCCACTACACCACACGACGAAGGTTAGGGTCAGGTAATGGTTACATGACCGAGAGCCGTGTATAACATGCTGTTATCGCAATGTGCTCCCACATCGAGATATCCGAAATGGACTCCCCCCCCCCCTCCCCGCCCCCCCTTCGGCTAGCTGCCATCTCGCCAGCAGCTTTCCTCCCCCGACAGCCCTCCGCGACACTCTCCCCCTTTGCCTCCTCCGGCCCTCCTCTTTGCCCCAGATGCCTCACAACAACTGTTTGGTGCCTGAGGTCACATGACCTGAAAAATACATCTGCGCACACAGAGAACTGTCTGCGGACACGATAGCGTGGCAGACAAGCGTGTATGACCTCCCGAAAAAAAGAGAAACCGACCGTAAAGAGCGGCGGCTCGTTGTTCCCGGAGAGGAGTTCTTCAGAATCAACATGGAACCGATTAAACCTGGACGTAACGGGGTCGAGAGGATGCCCCTGCAAAGGTCAAATGTAACACCAAAGCGAAAAAGTGGCGACGCGTGATGGAGTGTGAAACGCATGCAGAATGCTTTTATGTCTTCAGTGTGTGTGTGTGTGTGTGTGTGTGTGTGTGTGGCTCGACCTTCCCCAGAGGTCAAGACCTACGTAAGCCCAAACGACCAGCAGTAATCGCACCTTCACGGGCACTTTGTTTATTTATCAAGCTCTTTCGTGACAGACATCAGTTTCTCTCCAGAGTGTGTGTATGTTGTTGGGCGAGTTTTGGGGATTATCTCACCATCATGTTTGGGTTTGAGCTCAGGGGGCACTGATAAGAAGATTATTTATTCAAACACTTTATGGAGTCAGGACCCACATACGACGATAATCACAGTCACATGTCGACTATTAAACGCATGCAGTACATCGACTAGATTTAGGCAAAGCTTAAACCATAAGACTCAGGCTGAGATGGTGTCACATTTGCGGTCACGGGGCCACACAAGCGTCACCTTGGCAACCCCAGAGTTTCCTGTTTATTTCTCGCTCGCCTTCCTCTTCTGCAGTGATGGCAACCGCCGAAAAACATAATGATGACTCGGTTTAAAAGGCACATGTTTTATGGAACGTGAGCCTTTGCTTGGTTGAGTTATCCAAGCTTTAACGGTTTTGGGAGATTCAGTTATGTAAACCTGCAGAGCGTCAATTATGTTCTTTCTACATCCACATTTTTATGTTTTGAAACCCGTCAACCATTTTACCGTTGATTATTTTCTGCTAATCAGACATCGTTCACTTTGCGAATGCTAGTTGCGTGTTTGCCACATGCTGCAGAGACAGCAGTGGAACATGTGTACTGGGTTGAGGCTGCAGCGTATGAAAGTCACGTGGGTGGGCCTTGTGGTTTCACAGGCTTTCAGGGAGAAACGCATCTTACACCTGAAAAACACCAGCACGCGCATTCTGTTGTTCACCATCGGGGTCTGTGTACCGGATACGTACTGATATGAGAAGCTTTCCCAGAAACAGTGCGTTTCTGTCACCGCGTGTCTTATCTAAAGGTTGTGGATTTCTTTGTGGCAGCGGCACTTCTCAAATCTTGAGAAGGAGGAATCTTCCTGTTTTCATGCCGTCAGGAAGCGTTTTTAAGCGACGGCGATAAAAGAAAGCCAGAGAGCCGTGTCTCCTCTGCGTCTGAGCACTTTGCCCCACGGCCCCTTGTCACACCTTCACGCTCGGAATGTAAACCACGAGGAAAGGGTCCAGTGTGCGCACATCGTGTGTGTGAGAAGTGCGAAGATATCTGTACCCATAAACCGACAGATACTTCCTGTGACAGAAAATGTGATCGTCTTCATGACATGACTTGATTTTGCAAATGTACTCTTGCTTCTAACTAGTTTTGAGAGTACTGTAAGGAATACGCAAAGTCATCCTGTGTGACATATTCCAGGCAAAAATCCTCTGAGTGATTTCCACTGTGATTTCCACGCGGCTTCTTTCACGCCTTCAAAGTGCGTTTCATCCAGTGGATTCAGATAGTTGCACTTAACGGTGAGTCAGGAAGCTTAGAGCGAACCCATCACGGTTGCAGGATGAACTAGCGTCGCGATCAGAGCTCATTCACACGCCATTCCAGTGAAATCGCCGAACCCGTCCCGGCAGACTGACAAACAAATTAGTGATGATTGCTGCTACCGAGGGAGTGAGCTGATAGAGGAGATAGTAGAGGAGGAGGCATGTTTCTAATGAAGGAGACGGCCACGTACACTACTCAGGCTCATCAAATCCAGAGGATTAATGTTTGAACACTTATCTGAATTAACCATTTTCTCCTTGCTCATGAAATTGTAGAGGAAAGACAAATCTGAGGTGAGGATCTGCAGGAGTCCTCAGAGGAATGTTGAAGGATCTACAGTAAATCAGCCCGACTAACCCACAACTTCTCTCCACCGGTGTCCTTTAACACAGCAAAAAGACAAAGGATCCGCTCATCGCGTGTGTATACAGACACACCAAAGGCAGATTAATAGACCGAGAAAGTGATCATCATCTCCAGCATGTAGGTGTTCATGCCGCTCGCGTCTTTAGTGAGCTCGGTCACCTCAGTCCGACACGCGCTGATTGAGGCCAGATGCCGCTCTCCTCCTCCGCGGTACCAAACTCAAACCACCTGTAGCTCCATCGCCGTTGTAGGAATTCGTACAGATTAAATGCTGCCGCTACAAATGTGGGCCTCTGAGGCAGGCGGGGGTGAGGGGGTGGGGGGGTCCGGTATGGGACCGGTAGTGCGGAGGGCGGGACGGGAGGGAGAGGGAGCATCTGACTCTGTTGATGTGATGGTAATGATTTCCATTTTGTGAGCCCCACAAACGCACACCTTTATCTCCATCATCGTCCCTAACTCAATTCTCTAATGAACATCACAAGCCGGCGTCACATGCGAGTGCAGGAATCTGAGGGCTGAAGAGAGACCAGCGCCGTTTACTTGGCTCTCTTTCCCCTAACCTCCAAAATCAGCGAGGTGACTCAACTTTACCGGGACTTTTCCGTCGTGTTTGAATTACTTGAGTTACATGACCTCGAGAGTTAATTCACTTCTGGAGCTCTGGAGCCGAACCTGAGAGCACACAGCATCACCGGCGGGATGCCAGCACAGATATCCACGAGAGGCAATATTCATTTCACGTTTCACCTTCTAATAACTCAAATCAAATGATCAGGGAGGAGCTGTAAAGGAAAAGAGAAAACACCCTCCTGCAAACCAATTCAAAATGCATTGAAGGATGAGCTTTTTCATGAGATCAGACACTAATTCCCATGACGAATGCTTTACAAACGACTCATTTTTCGGCAGAAACTCAATGACACCCCCCCGCCCCCACTACAGTGTCATTGAGTCTCTGCAGGGAAATTTGTCATTTGCAAAGCATTCGTCATGGGAATTAGTGTCAGATCTCATGCGTTCTGCAGACAAAACAAACAAAGCCAAACGCGCCTCTCGCCCGTTATTTCATTTCGCGATCAGCGCGAAAATACAAAACAACCCACCCACTCATTTATTCCTCTTGTTATTATTACTCACCAACGACTGTTGCCAACGTGAAATCACTTATCCCGGGCATCCCGGCGTCCCGTCGTGGCTTCACTTATTCCGCGGACTCCCGGAGAAGTCGAGTCGCTAAACGGCGCAGAAGACGAGCGCGCACACGGCGTTTCCTGCGCTCCCAGTTCGCGCGCGACCGAACTGTCCGAGGTGCCGTTTCAGACTGACTCCGCCGCTCGGGATGCGCGACGCTGCATGGAGCCGAAACAGGGAGGAGGAGGAGGAGGAGGAGGAGGAGGAGGAAGGCGTGCACTCGTGCACAGGACCTTATAAGCCACGTCGGGTGGGGGCTCGGTCTGCAGGACCCTGGGAAAGTGTTACCGGTCACAGCAGAGCAGTTGGTGTCTGGGGAGCAAGTCTGTGACATTCACTCGAGTGACTCGTGAAAAATGGCAGACGTGTGTATTTGTTAAAGCCTCATTATGACTGCATGTGGCTGCCAGGGGGACGTCAGCCTGTTGGGTCAAAGTGCATCACAGATCAGGCCAATTTATGGGAGATTCAGTGTGCGAAAGGGATTTTTACTGTGGAGGAAACACATATTTTTAATATTAACAAGGAACACTAAATGAAGTGAAAAGCTGCAAATGTGAATTCAAAGTAATTCAGGCCACATTTCCAACATTTGTTTGTCTGGTCTCCAATAACATTATTTGAAATTGCTCTCTGTGCCCCTTTGGCTCTCTGTCTTCCACGACATTCCCCAAGGGCCGCTCCCCTCTACCAGCTGTGGTTTGGTGTTGAAAGTGGCCACAGTACTGTATTAAAATATGTTTTACCATCTGTGTTCAACTGTAATGTTTGTCTGTATTCCCACTGAATGCAAAATTATGTTTATAACACTAGCAACTGCCAAACAGAATCTAACATTTCAGAGATTGCTGTGATTTATCGTAACTTTTCGTCTTTTGTTTCACATTTTTCAATTTCCTCTTCAGCCCAGTGACTTTTTTTGGGGCCTTGTTGTTTTCTTTTTTTTGTGCTAGTATCCTTCTGAGTCATCCTTCTCTCTGTGTGTACATATTGTGAATGTCAAAAGATCACCAACACAAAGATAGTTTCATCAGCTTGCATGAACAAGTTATTTGCTCCGCATTCAGTACGTCGTAACCTTCCTCATTACAGCGACGCAGACTTCAAATGCACACAAAGTCACGCATGCACTTGTGTCGGCATCTCGGGAACTACTTGTCACAGGAGGCCTTCCTGTCCTCAGCCCTGCAGATATCTGACTGAGGCAGTCTGAGTAGTTTTCCTGTATTTCCTCCGTATAACGTTCCCTTCCTCATCCTTTGACACACCTCGGCCTGCTTAGATGTTTGTTTTTTTCTCTCCGCGTAACAATGTAGATGGGAGTAGAAATGCCTTTCCGTGTTTTGGTTTTGGTTTCCCTCTCTTCCTCCGTGCCCTGCCTTTACATACCATATTCCTCCATTAGCCACGGAAGTCTATTCTAATGGGGTTTTCTGCTCTCAAACCCTTTGACCATCCGTATACATGCGCAGACGAGGCTCTCAGTCTCCTTGATGAGTCAAAGACACATATTCGATACTTTCTTTGAACCGATCCTCCACGAACATTAATATCCTCCATTCATTTCAGCCTTTCTGAGCTGCATTTTGTGGTGGAAGCCACTTTGGTAATGAAGACGAACTGCGTATCCCAGACTCAGTAAATCCCTTTAAGTGAGGGAAATTAGCTTGGTTCGTCCAGTCTGACATCTAAAGCTGAGCTGGAGACCCCCCCCCCCCCAGAGAAAGCTATTTACATTAAGCATCGAAGGAATCTGTAATGTACACAAGGGGATAGTGCTTACATGACAGCTCACTGTAAACATATACTATGTTTGGTGTTGTGTTATTGCAGTGAATTATCGTTCTTTGCCTGGAAATTTGAGACAACATTTAACTAATGTATGTCTTCGCAAATTAGCCAGTAGAGGTTCACTCCTGCAAATAGCTCACGGCAGACGGATCGAAGCGGCACTCGTCAGTTTTAGAACATTATGTAATGTTGCGTACTCTGCTGGATTTCTAAATAGGCAACTGTTTGCTTGATTAAGAGCTAAAAGGAGGTTTGTTTACAGGCTGTTACGTTGTCAAAGTGGCCCAAATAAATGAGGTTTAAATGGAAAAAGAAGTAAAAATAAAATCAGCCAAAGGGGAGTTGTCAGAACCTTTTATTCCATAATATTGGGCTTCAAAAAACCCTGGATCATATACGTCCTGGAACACAACCAATAACAGTCCCTTCCTGTCTGCCGTGAGTGTGTGTATTACACTTCACAAGGCCAGTGTGCAACACAATTTGGACTTTCCGAGCCCAAGGTGAGATTAACCACAATATGGACCTCCGGAGTTGTTTTCATGGACTTGAGAAAGCTCCTCCGCAGCCACAGAACGACTGTTTTCGCAGGCTTCCGATGAAAATGAAAGTGACCTCGGCGAGCGGCCGTTCTTGCGCCTTCGTAAGCCTGACTGATGCTGTTGATGTGATGGCGGTGGCCTCGCACGCGTGGCTCAGCCGCACCGCTGATGAACTGTGAGTTCAGCGTGAAGGAAAGCAGGTCCGTCCTCACTGATTCCTCTTTGATGAGGACAACGTTCGACTATGTTTTGAACTGGGACATTAACCAGACCGAGGAGAACCAATGGAAATGTCTTCACCCCCCTCCCCTCCCGCCCTCTTACTTGTGCATTGGGTTCACGATTCTTTTTTTATTCGTCCTTTAATAAACAAATGCTTGGACATCTGTTAATAAACAGGAAATGCCTCATAATAAAAAGCAGATGGAAACTAAAGTGAAATGTGGATATGTTTCTCGTCTCTCTCCATCATGGTGCAGCATCCTTCAGATTTAAACTCTGAAGCAACGCTTTGAAAACAATGACAAATCTTTAAGTACAACAGATTTGGCGTATTAGTTGTAGAGTCAAGTAAAATAGATTAGGACACGTATTACTGGTCAAGAAATGCTCACTTTAAGATGCAGGTCATGCCTGCACGTTCTTGGAACCCAAATCCGTCTCTTGGTGTCGGCATGGAAGCACGTGAGTAGAAAATTAGCGGGCAACTTCAAAGTGCCCCTCGAGTCCCCCCCCCCGCCCGACCCCCCCAGCTCCGGCAAAAAAACACCGTCTGACACATGTTGACAGCGATTAGAGCTCTTCAGTCCCCTCCTTCCCGGGGCTTTGTCTCCCCTCTCTGTGGAGCTCCACTTCACCCCGCGCAGGGTCGCGACCCTTTGACTCTTGTCAACACCGAGTCGGAGTGTCGGTTTCAGCCGGGCCACGGGCCACCTCGGGCCGGCACGACAACATGACACCTTCTTCTCTGCGGAGCATCGTGCATCACGTTTAACAACTTGACACGCGGTGGATGAATATGTACTCTTTATATGAAACCGTTTTATTCATACTACCTGCAACCTGCATAAGGCTGACAGCGGTGGCTCAATCTGAACTTTAATTTAATGCACACATCCATGACCCCCCTCACATGAATTGTAATAACTGTCGCCTCAATCTTTCATCCTGAAAATCCAGTCAAATATAAATAGACCAATACTTCAGTTCATGTAGAAAGATGCGAAAAACCCTCAATATTTCCATCAACTTCAGCTGTAGTTTGATGATAAAAAAATGTTAGCATGCTAACAGGCTAGTTCAGCATGGTGAACATGGTAGACAAGTCAAGCGCTTATCATGTTATGAGCAAAGACAGCTAGCTGACGTTAGCATTTAGCTCAAAGTAGGACGGTGCCGCTATAGAAGGAGCTGCTGGCGTGACTCGGCGTGTCTTCCTGTGTCCTCTGACAACACTGGGCGGCATTGTTGTGGAAGTAGAGTCAAACGTTCGGAGGCCATTCTGTTTTTGTGTGTTACTGTGTAGCAGTAGGAGAGCCTAACAATTACAGGAATGGGATTTTTGTCGCTTGTCCCCGGACCCTGGGGTCAGTATACAGGAAGTTTGGCTGGGCTTCGCTCTGTGGATTGTTTAAAGGATGATGGACAAAACTGAACTGCTGTAACTGTCTACCGGAAGCTTCACACCGATTTTACTTTTGAAATGTTATAGCCTGCAAACTGCTGAAAGGACCCGGCTCTTTTTTTCTTCTTGACAGACAAGCGTGCATGCTCATCAACACAGACATGGGCACGTGTGCGCACACACACACGCACAGTTGTGGCTTTGCATTCTTGGCCTATCATAAGGTCATTGGTGTTGGAGAATATCGTATTCTGGGCACTGATTTCTTAGCACGACATTTGACACAACAACATAGTGGACACCTGGAGGAGACGTGAACCGGGGTGGTCGTGCACGATTCCTAAAGTTATGTTCTGTATTAAGCACAAAAAGAAGTTCTGCATGGTCCAGCTTTTTCAAATTTGGAATAAGTTGACCTTTGACCCCCCCTCCCTCAAGTCACTGACCTAGCATAAAGCAGACAGTGGCTTTTCACTAATCCGCCCACCGCCTTTGTGAACTTGCCACCATTTAAAAAATGCACACAGGGCTCAATCTATGCCTCAGAAACCACATGTCAAAGTGAGACGTCAAATATTGAGCGCCATGACGCCGCAGCATGCACAGAATCCTTTGTCAAAGTAAGAAAAGCACAGCTGTGAACGGTACAATTACTGATGGCTGATCCAATTAGGTGCTTCAGTTTCAGGGTCCTGGTATTGTGCCTTCTGGCTTGCTGTCGTCACTGATCAACCTAATATAAGAGTTGGTTCGGCGAAACGTAGGACATTTTACTCAGCAGCTTAAACTGCCAGCAAGACTCAGAAGTTAATGCATGTTGTAGATGGTAATTAACTCTGATATTTACAACCATTTTTTAAAGTTTAGGTTCACTTTCTTTTCCAAGGTTGTGTTTTAAAGCCCGTACATATCCCTCGTATGATTTTAGTGTAATATTATAGTTATTGTATTCATATACAGGGCAGACATTTGTTTACCAGTGGGCTGGTTGGTAAAGCAACACTACACCACAAGCAGCAACAAGGAACGGTGAAGACGAGATTCTGTTACTGCGTCCCGCGGAGTATCTTCCAAAAGGGACACCCTACAATGATTAAAACAGAGGCCGAGGGCCTTTTTGTTTATGAATACCTGTGTCACACCCGAGAGGTAGTTAATCTTCGACAGATTTTGTTTTTGGTCGCCTTGACAGG